GTAGAAAGTTACCAATGGGAAAGGGTGAAAGACTCATAGTTCTCCATGCTGGTTCTGCTTGTCAGGGTTTTCTCCCAGACTGTGACCTCGTCTTTAGAGCCAAGGCCAAAGACAACAGGGACTACCACACAGAAATGAACGGCAATGTATTTCTGGAGTGGGTGAAAGATAAATTAGTCCCTGCTTTGCCTACCAAGTCTCTCATTGTCATGGACAATGCACCGTATCATAGTGTGCAGGATCAAGAAAGCAAGACTCCAACCTCTAATAACCGTAAAGGAGACATGGTTACTTGGCTGCAACGGAGGAACATTACCTTTCCTTCTCGAGCGACGAGACCACAGCTCTATGATATCATCAAAACTATGAAACCTGACCCCGTGTATAAAGTTGACAGTTACATCAAGGGTCAGGGTCACGCTGTCTTACGACTGCCACCTTATCACTGCGACCTGAATCCAATCGCGGTGGTATGGGGCATCGTCAAGGGTGACGTTGAGCGATCGAACACAACGTTCAAATTACGAGACGTTAAACAACTCGTAAAGGAATCCCTTGGTCGGGTAACGGTAGAAACATGGGGGCGTCGTGTGGCCACAGTCGTTGACGAGATAGAGCCACGTTATTGGTCACGAGATGGACTACGGCCAGCAACAGTCCAACCTATAATAGTGGCAGTCAGTTCAGGCACCAGCAGTTCCGACGACGAGATCTATGGCATGAGCGAGTCAGATTGCGACTGAAATGATCATGAGACGGCCCCTCTAACGCTCTGTCATTTCCCCTACCACAGAACGTGCAGTGCATGCGTGCTTGCGCTGTGCCTTCCACGGTTTGTCCCCCCTACGTGTCATGTACACATTTCTATACAAAATTACATGATAGTTTCTTAAAGAACTTCATCCGTCATGGGTCTTAAAATAAATGAAATCCAGATTTTGTTGGGTGCAGGGTATTCATTGTCAATTACCGTATTGATGTTTCATACACGGTGGCCTACACCACTTAAAGCTGATTTTATCGACCAATTTCAGCTCTACACCACTTAAAGCTGATTTTATCGACCTATTTCAGCTTGAATAACATGGGTCGATAACATTAATAATAGGTTTGATCCGCTGGGATATATTAAGCACTTATTCCAGGCATGTCCATGACCTCTGTGCCGGGACACCATCATCCCATCAGATCATATCACAGTGTCTACTGAAATGCAATACCCTATCGGGGGGCACGGGGGGCACGGGTGGCCCAGTCGTCTAAGGCGCCGCGATTCGCTGTGCAGAGTTGCGTCCCTTGGGCACGCCAGAAACCTATGGTTGTGGGTTGGAATCCCGGTTCGCCCCGATTATGTTTCTAGGTTTGTCAGCACCATACCCGTGCTCGTGGGTTTCACCGAAGTGGTAAACGCCTGAGACCTGCATCACTTCCGGCTTTCCTCCCACATTAAGCTGACACGCCGTGATATAACTGGAATAGTGTTAAAAGCGGCGTTAAACCAAACTCACTTACTCATACACTATCGGCATCAACTGCCGACATTAAGCTGCCCTTGGGAAATAACAGCGCCTCAAATATCCTGTCTAGACCACTGCAATCAAATGTTCTTCCTCAAGCCCGACCAGAAGACGTTATCTGAGAACAGGATCCAGTCCAGAAAAATGGCTGTTTTGTTGAATGGGAAGCAGAGTCGAAGAGCCATGAACCTCGTAAATAGCCATTGGCTAAGGCCATGGAAGCATTGGACTATAACACTGCCTTTTTATCGCTCTGATCCAATCACTTGCGTGGGTAACATGTCAGTTATATAACTAATTGAACAAGAACTGTGCATTACTCTTCTCCATTTAAACTTTGATGGTATCTTCAAACCTGAATTTGATCTCTTTTAAATACTAATGAGCGTCATATTCCTAGACTGTCTGTTTGGATGATGTCATTTCTTACAGACACTCGAGTCCTCCACATTGATCCGTGCTAACTACGTTTGGATGAGTGAATGAACTGTAGAATTTGTCGTTTGAATAGAAACGTAAAGCCTTCACGTCATTTGTCAGCTGAGATGAAAGCGAAGATGCAAGTTCTCGGAATAAATATCCAGATTTATCAACCTTTAGTACGCGTGTGTGCGTGCGTGTGTTTGTGTTTGTGTGTGTGTGTGCGTGCTTGTGCGTGTGTGTGCATGCACGTGTGTGTTTGTGTGTGTGCATGCACGTGTGTGTGTGTGTGCGCGTGTGTGCATGCACGTGTGTGTGCGTGTGCGTGTGAGTGCATGCACGTGTGTGTGTGTGTGTGCATGTGCGCGTGCGTGTGTGTGCATGCGTGTGTGTGTGCGTGTATGTGTGTGCGTGGGGGTGCATGCATGCGTGTGCGCGCGTGGGCGTGCGTGTGTGTGCCCGTGCGTGTGTGTGTATGCGTGCGTGCGTGCGTTTGTGTTTGTGTGTGCGTGTGCGTGCGTGTGTGTGCATGCACGTGTGTGTGTGTGTGTGTGCATGTGCGCGTGCGTGTGTGTGCATGCGTGTGTGCGTGTATGTGTGTGCGTGTGTGTGCATGCGTGCGTGTGCGTGCGTGTGTGTGCCCGTGCGTGTGTGTGTATGCGTGCGTGCGTGCGTGCGTGCGTGTGTGTGTTCACAAAAGGTTGGGAATACTTGGAAATAACTGCATATTTCCAAACTTGTAAGAGATTCGTTTCTAGTAATAGTTGATTTGATCATCTCGGACGAATGTACAACCTAAAGTGAAAGATGTTATGACTGCCAACGATCTTGAAGGTGAGGTGATTGGAAATGGGGTTTAATGTCGCGTTCGAGATTATTGCAATTATATAGCGACGTACATGCATGTGTGTGTGTGTGTGTGTGTGTGTGTGTGTGTGTGTGTGTGTGTGTGTGTGTGTGTGTGTGTGGCTGCTTGTACTAGTCCGGGCTAATGCGAATTATATTGCGCTAGTCAATTGATATTTCATGCCACATGAATAACCCACTCAGACACAGTATACCGACTCCGAGCCGCACAGTCCTTGTTTTAGCTCTTGATGCCGTACCAGGCAGGGTAACAATAAGTAGCATTTTAGCGTTTTTGGTTGGGGATCGAAACCCCGAACTTTCACTCTCGCACGCTCTCCCATTAGATAAGGAAGGCGGCGCCGATGTTGAAGGACGATAGGTAAAGATGGTAAATTTCAAAGTTAACGTTTTTGGATCAGTTGTGCCTAATACCGCCACAATTTGTGAAACAAACATATACCCGACGAGGCAAACAGCGTATGAGTCTCCCAAAGACGATTTCAGGGAGTCTTACCAACTCCTCTCCCAGATCCTGTCCAAGTTACAATTCATCATTAATTAACTTTTACATGTTCCCATCAATTCTAAATAACACAACCCGTAACCCTTTTAGTGAATCGGAGTTGGAATAAAAAGCGGATGTATTCGATCAGTCAAAGTTACAGAAAGTTACAAGTTACAGATTTACCAGGGGGTACGGGTGGCCAAGTCGTCCAAAGCTCCGCGATTCGCTGTGCAGAGTTGCCTCCCTTGGGCACGCCAGAAACCTATGATTGTTTCTAGGTTTGTCAGCACCATACCCCTGCTCGTGGGTTTCACCGAAGGGATAAACGTCTGAGACCTGCATCACTCCGGGCTTTCCTCCCACATTAAGCTGACACGCCGCGATATAACTGGAACACTGTTAAAAGCGGCGTTAAACCGAACTCACTCACTCACTACAGATTTACCAGGTCTGACATTATAGATTTTTTCTTCATTGTGCGTGTTCAACAAATAGGATATTCAGTGATGAAACTTGTGGTTTGAATTGGTTTCATTTTAATTTCTCAAAATCGTTACTGAAGACAATGATTGAGGCATTTTTTATCGTTAATGTATGGGTTGCAATATTTCTGTAAAATCCAGTCTTCAAGGGTGGCACAGTCGTCTAAGGCGCCGCGATTCGCTATGCAGAGTTGCCTCCCTTGGGCACGCCAGAAACCTATGATAGTGGGTTCGAATCCCGGCTCGCCCCGATTATGTTTCTAGGTTGTCGGCACCATGTCCGTGCTCGTGGGTTTCACCGAAGTGGTAAACGTCTGAGACCTGCATCACTTCGGTCTTTCCTCCCACATTAAGCTGACACGCCGCGATATAACTAGAATACTGTTAAAAGCGGCGTTAAACCGAACTCACTCACTTTGTGGCTTTATTTAAACACTAAGGGAGGTCAATCTTTTTGGTGAGCTGTCTTGGGCGTGCCACTAAATAAAGTCCTTGCCACATTCTATGCGTGTTTCATTTGATGCAATAGCAATTAATAGTTAAAAATAAATAGTTCTTAGTTTCTAGTTAAATGTAAATACATTCGAATTCCTCGAGAGAAGGAAAATGTGAATTATCAGTCCTAAATTCAAATGTGATGTGTCTAGGACAAAAAGGGTTGTCAAGTCACCGGGTACATCTCGCCTAGATCAGTTCAAACCTGGAGACCGCCTCCGTGGTGTAGTGGTAGAGCGTCCGCCCGGAGAGCGGAAGGTCCGGGGTTCGATCCCGGGCCGCGTCATACCAAAAGACGTTAAAAGATGGGACTTGTTGTTACCCTGTCTGGCGCTCGGCATTAAATGGCTAAAACAAGGACTGGTCGGCTCGGAGTCAGTATACTGTGTCTGAGTGGGGTATTCATGTTAAACTGCGGCATGGTATCTCAGTGAGCTAGCACTATAAATCGGCATCAGTCCGGACTAGTACAAGCAGCCACGCAAACACACACACGTACATGCACGTCGCTATATAAGTGCAATAGTATTGGACGCGACGTTAAACCCCATATTACCTTAACTCACCATCTAACCTGGAAAGAAATCATTATGTAAAGGATATTAATATATCATATTTTTAAAAAAAGGTCCGATCACTTGTAGAACAAGTTTGCTTTGTGAATGATCATTCGGAGCATTACACAATGAACGTTCAGCCGCACCCTTCCCCCGATACATGCATTCCTCGGGAATCGCAAAGTAAACAGAAAGAAGAAATCAATCAGGACAACAAACACGCCTTTCGTGTTTCGACTGTGGTTTGGCTATTTATTTGAGTCGGTCAACCTCGTCAAGCAGTGAGGGCTGTTCACTGCAGAACAGGATTGAAGTCAGTTGACATTTGTGCTGATATCATGAAAACAAGACGTTATTGGAGTGCATAGGATAATGCACAAACACCCCTCTTATCACGCAAGTATATTTCTCCTCTTCGTAGAAAACGATGTGCGTTGAATGCTCCAAAGACTTCAATCTACATTTTCACATTCTAATTGTGCATTCTGATACTTGTATAATTGCGTTTGATGTCGTTTAACAGAAATATCAATATTTCTTACCAGACAACAAGGACAAAATAAACATAAATTCTTTATTATGGTGATTCAATTCATGGAGTAACAGATCAGTTTTCTTTTCGGGCCTTCAAATCGTATTACCATGAACATCACCATGATAATAATACATATACTACTCATATTCAGTCGTGCACAAAACTGACCAATTCTAAAATGGCATGATTAATAAATGACACAATGAAAGGTCTAACACATTTTTCCCCGAAACCTTAATAGATTGCCACCGAAAGCTGCCGTTTGCATTTTACCTGTATAATCGATCCTTCACGAGAAAGGTAGTTGGAATATTGCCGCGGTCGGATTGTATTCGGGGAATCATCATTATATGAAAACGGGTTAATAATGTTAACGCATTTTTCCCTTTTATGAACATCCAATAGAATACAATGGGAAGAGTAAACCCATTGGGGGTGCGCACATCACGGTTTATTCTCTCTTCGGCGTTTTATTGTACGATAAACAATTCCCACTCGTCGTTTGTTACTAAATTAAAACATGCTTCACGTGTCCAGACTTGCCACGAATGTTATTTGCTTTGACAACTGGAAGAATATGATCACTTGTTGAAATGCGGTGCAGTTAAAGTCTCGTCAGCAATTCAAATGAATAGACCCAGTAGATATGTTATATCATACCTTAACAATACACAATCTTTAGCATTCGATTTGACTCATTGTTTATTTAAGTTGTTATGGTGACACTGTTCCTTTTAATAAATTTATTTCGGTAAGCATGTCAAATTAGTTACAGGAGAGAACGGAGATTGACAGATTGATATATATTGCTAAGTTAGTAAACAATCAACAAATGTATTACAAAAAATAACTAGGTTTACATATCAATACAAATTACTGCACAGTAATTACAATGGCGGTACACACTAGAGTGGTAGTACAATATCCAATGGCAATGAATAATATGATCGCAGTGGTACCAAGTACTAAACTACAGTGGTGATAGCAAAGGTCCGTGATAATAATATATATTCATCTAGCGGCGATAGTGGTCAAGCTCCCGAGATTGGCGAGGCAGGGAAACAGGGACGATGATCGATCCTCACATGAAAACTGGTATACCGAACCGGAAGTTTACGAACCACACTAACATCTAAATATCGTAACTTCCTGACGACTGATCACTGTCCAAACACAATGCAATGAGTGTTTTCCGAATCCCAACAAAAACAATGTAACAGATGTTACTGAGTGAGTGAGTTGGGTTTAACGCCGCTATTAACAGTATTCCAGTTATATCACGGCGTGTCAGCTTAATGTGGGAGGAAAGCCCGAAGTGATGCAGGTCTCAGACGTTTACCACTTCGGCGAAACCCACGAGCACGGGTATGGTGCTGACAAACCTGGAAACATAATCGGGGCGAACCGGGATTTGAACCCACAATCATAGGTTTCTGGCGTGCCCAAGGGACGCAACTCTGCACAGCGAATCGCGGCGCCTTAGACGACTGGGCCACCGTGCCCCCTAACAGATGTTACTGTCATTGTTCAACAATCCACTGCAATAAAGGGTGGTCACATAGTCGGCATGCGCTCTGAGCTCGTCTGGCATCATGTCCAGAACTGCTACCCTCTGATCCTCAACCTGGAATGTAATATCAGTGTATGTGTTTGTTTGATTGTTGTTTAACGCTGCATTCAGCAATATTCCAGCTATATCATGTATATGACAGCTGTCTGACCACCCGATCCCGTTAGTGGCCTCTTACGACAAGCATAGTCGCCTTTTACGACAAGCATGGTTTGCTGAAGACCTATTCTACACCGGATCGTCACGGGTCTAACATCAGTGTAATGTCTGTTTGTTTGTTGTTTACCGCCGCACTCAGCAATATCCCAGCTATATGACGGCGGTCTGTAAATAATCGAGTCTGGACAAGACAATTCAGTGATTGATATCATGAGCATCGATCCACACAATTGGGATAGGATGACATGCATCAACCAAGTCAGCGAGCCTGACCACCCGATCCCAATAGTCACCTCTTACGACATGCATCGTCGCCTTTTACAAGCATGGGTTACTGAAGACCTATTCTACCCCGGATCTGCACGGGTCAGTGTAATGATAAAGGATTTTAAAACGATATATGATAGAATATATTAACGGGGGGTGTGGTGTAAGATGGAATATCGTGCTGTCAACTTTATTTGCTTCTACAAGTATATCAAAGGTAATTAATCTCTAGAATGTAAACAATCACCTTTCCGGTGGGCAAAAGGACAAGAACGTTGATACCCACAACCAAGTCATAACGTGAATTCATATATTATTGATTATTGATTGATTTGCTATTGTTATCATGACTCACGTGTCATATCGTGAACACTTCTCTATGCTTATTACATGAGGGGCGGTCGGGTAGCCTGGTGGTTAAAGCGTTCGCTCGTCACGCCTAAGACCCGGGTTCGATTCCCGACATGGGTACAATGTGTGAAGCCCATTTCTGGTGTCCCCCGCCGTGATATTGCTGGAATATTGCTAAAAGCGGCGTAAAACCATACTCACTCACTCACTCACTTATTACCTGAACACTTCACGTGTCATCAACGGAAGAGGGGGCACGGGTGGCCCAGTCGTCTAAGGCGCCGCGATTCGCTGTGCAGAGTTGCGTCCCTTGGGCACGCCATAAACCTATGATTGTGGGTTCGAATCCCGGTTCTCCCCGATTATGTTTCTAGGTTTGTTAGCACCATACCCGTGCTCGTGGGTGGTAATCGTCTGAGACCTGCATCACTTCGGGCTTTCCTCCCACATTAAGCTGACACGCCGCGCTATAACTGGAATACTGTTAAAAGCGGCGTAAAACCCAACTCACTCACTCACTCACTCAACGGAAGACTTCTCGTGCTATGCATCCCCTGTTCATGTCAGCCCGGTGAGGCGCTCCCGATTTTCTGTTTGCTTGCATTGTTCAGGTATTGCGTGCTGTACATTTAATCCGTGCAAAACATGAGGGGTTATTGATATCGACCGAACCATTTGCAGTGTAATTGAGAAGACATAACTGTCAGTTATAAGTCGTAAAAAACGCTTCCTATTGAAACGCAGGAAGTATTCCGAGCTGATTTGGCTTTCAGCCAAGACGCGACTCATACCCGTCCATGACAACACCATTGTTTGTGTTGACAAAGGAGAACATTGTTGGAATTGTCTCCCTTTGAAATGTTGCCTGTGCACAACCTCACACATGCATTCAGCAATATTCCAGCTATATGACAGCTGTCTGTAAATAATCGAGTCTGGACCAGACAATCCGATGACCAACATCATGAGCATCGATCCCCGCAATTGAGATACGATGTCATGCATCAACCAAGTCAGCGAGTCTGACCACCCGATCCCGTTAGTCGCCTCTTACGACAAGCGCAGTCTCCCTTTACGTTTTGTTTGTTTGTTGTTTAACGCCGCGATCCGCAATATTCCAGCAAAATGACGTTCGTCTGTAAATAATCGAGTCTGGGCCAGACAATCCAGTGGTAGATGTCATGAGCATCGATCCACGCAATTGAGATACAATGACATGCATCAACCAAGTCAGCGAGTCTGACCACCCGACCCCGTTAGTCGCCTCTTACGACAAGCGCAGTCGCCCTTTACGGCAAGCATGATTGCTGAAGACCTAACGACAAGCACGTTATTAGCACAAAGGCGATGCGCTTCGCGCGACGAACGGAAGGTCGCTCCGAACTCGCCCGGCCTTGGCGAATTGCACGAGCTAGTGTTGTTGCCGAGAAGAACAACCCGCCGAGACAAACAGACAGGGCGCACCTAAATGGTATTATATCAATGGGTGTTGTATCGCATGGCATGTGAATGTGTATTATGATTTCAGTGCCCCATTATCACTCAGTAAAACATAAAACGCCCCTATACTGGGTGGGTGGGTAGGTAGGTAGGTAGGTAGGTGGAGTTACAATTCAGTTTACTTATCACGCCGTTGAATGTGTCCACTACTGTTTTCCTCCATGACATTTTTGAACAAGTGTGAAAACAATGCTGTTTAAGACATTGCAAATCGACAGTGGCTGCGTTTTGACGCACCGTTTGCCGAATATCAGGCCACCAACATTTTCCAATAACAATTTATATACCGGATGTTTTGTGTAGTCAGTCTGTGCGTTTATTTTTTTTTAAGAATGTATGTTTGTCTTTCCATATTTCTTCATATCATATTACTGTCCGTCTACATGCTCATATCTGCTTACATGACTTTTGTGTGTAAGGTATACTTGTGAGAATTTTCCACATGCTCCCAACTCGCCCGAGCTGGTTTTATTGCGGAGAAGAACAACCCGCCGAGACAAACAGACAGGGCGCACCTAAATGGTATAATATCAATGGGTGTTGTATCGCATGGCATGTGAATGTGTATTATGATTTCAGTGCCCCATTATCACTCAGTAAAACATACAACGCCCCTATGCTGGGTGGGTGGGTGGATAGGTAGGTAGGTAGGTGGAGTTGCAATTCAGTTTACTTATCACGCCGTTGAATGTGTCCACACGATCGATGGTAGGTATGCCTTTAGCTTGCCTGCGAGTTCACTATTCACAAAAACAAAACGCAGGTAGATTTTAAGTAAATTTATTGTACCTAATAAAGTCGATATATTTAATTAAATATCATAGATACATATATGAAATTTGGTGCGCATTAGTCACAAGTTTTCGTTGTACAAAGGGCATTGACAACTGTTCATTGCCATGTCACATAAGGCCACAAGGTTGCGCTGAACACAGTATCTCGTGTGACCGCCCCAGGCAGGAATCACGGCTCTGCATCTCCTTGGCACTGACCGGATAAGTGTACGAATTCTGTCCTGCGGAATTCTGCGCCATTCTGCTTGTAACGCATTGGCCAGTTGTGGAAGTGTCTGCGGCGTGTTCTGACGTTGACGTACACGTTGATCGAGTTCATCCCAGAGGTGTTCGATTGGGTTGAGATCTGGAGATCTCGACGGCCAGGACAAGCCGTTGATGTTGGCATTATGAAGGTAGTCTACCGTGACACAAGCTGTGTGAGGTGGAGCGTTGTTCTGTTGAAACAGCTCCCTCTTGTGCGGTCAATGGTTGGAAGAAGGTGAGGTTGAAGAATTTGATTCATGTAGCGATTTGTTGTCAAATTTCCCTGAACCACAACCAAGTCAGATCTCGTGGTGTAGGATATGGCCCCCTACACCATGACACTACCACCACCGACATTGTCGAATTCACATACACAATGTGGGGCAAAACGCTTCGACGACGATAAACACGTTGTCTTCCATCTCGCCGGTGAAGAAGAAATTGTGATTCATCGCTAAACCACTCACGTCTCCTGTTCTCAAATTCAAAGGCTGTAAGGTATGGCACCAAAGCAAGCGTCGATATCGATAGATCTGTTGCAAAACAGGAACGATAACTGGTCTTCTGGGTCGGATTCCAGCCTCGCGAAGATGGTTCCTGACAGTCTGGTCCGATATCCTTCTCAAACCAGGGATGCGTCCTGCAGTCTCCTTAGCTGTGGCATTGCGATGACGTAGGTGGAACAGTCGAATGTAGCGATCCTGTGCAAGGGTGGTAACTCTTGGTCGGCCGGTTGCCGGACAGTCTGCAGTGGAATAGAACTGTGTGTATCGGTCCCAAAGGCGGCAAATGGTGCTGTGGTGGACGTTGAAGTGGCGTGCAACAGAAGACTGCGATTCCCCTTTGAATACGTCCTATGGCGATGTTCCGATCGGTGGCGCTGAGTCTCGACTTTAAAAATGTTGACAATTGAATGACAAATTATTGGCTTATGCTTGCCTTTTTATAGCCACTACCACGCGTTGCGAATGCCATAACTTGCACGTGCATTTTGCTTTACTGTTTTCCTCCATGACATTTTAGAACAAGTGTGAAAACAATGCTGTTTAAGACATTGCAAATCGACAATGGCTGCGTTTTGACGCACCGTTTGCCGAATATCAGGCCACCAACATTTTCCAATAACAATTTATATACCGGATTTTTTGTGTAGTCAGTCTGTGCGTTTCTTTTTTTGAAGAGTGTATGTTTGTCTTTCATATTTCTTCATATCATATTACTGTTCGTCTACATGCTCATATTTGCTTACATGACTTTTGTGTGTAAGGTATACTTGTGAGAATTTTCTACCTGTGTATATACCGCAAATCCCCGTTCACATGCACCAGTATACATTTCTACGTTTGCATACCTGTTTAAATATACATACCTGAGTATACTCCTGATGCGAACCCGTTTACTCATGGATGTATATTTACACCTGGAGCAAATTTGCACCTTGTTTCCAGTAGGTGCAATTGTAACTTTACACGAGTGCAGATTCCACCTCTCATATCACTTTCAATAGCCTCAAACAAGATGGCGTCGCCCAGTCAAGACGATCTGATCGATAATCAACATCTATATTGTGATAAAACGGGTCTTACTTCGCGAAGTGCATCAAATCACGTGAGCACCTGGATTAAAAACATGAAAAGGTTGGAACAATGTCTGTTGACGCCGAGTTGGCTTTCCAAAATGTGCAATCGACCGAAATCTACACGGCAGTTTACGAACCGGATGTCGATTTCGTAACGCGATTTTTTATTGGACTACGCATAGACTCGTTAGTCCAGCCAAAATATAACTCCATAATTGCAGCCTAGTTCGGCAAGGGTGGAAACTGGACTTTATAATCACTTAACGCGCGTGCATTCAATCGCTTTATAAATGAAATAATCGGGAACGCGAAGTTGAACCCCAATTCACCTTACCTCACATTCGTTCAACATATTGGTTCATTTCTTTAAGTTCTAATAGACAGTCCCAATAACAGTGTGCAATTATGCTTTCTCGTGATTTGTCGTGAAAAGTGAACGGTGGATTTTGGTAAACTGTGAATTTTGATACACACGATGTTTTGTTTGTAATTTGGAAAATTCGTATTCCTTGCCTGTAGTTGTCACTTTTCCTAATCTCGGAATGCGGAGTACCTAGCTTTGCAAAGTTTTGTATATCAACTATGATGTACCAAGGTATCGAGCCCTGCGAAGACCCGGGGTAGAATAGGTCTTCAGCAATCATGCTTGCCGTAAAGGGCGACTGTGCTTGGCGTAAGAGGCGACTAACGGGGTCGGGTGGTCAGACTCGCTGACTTGGTTGATGCATGTCATTGTATCTCAATTGCGTGGATCGATGCTCATGACATCTATCACTGGATTGTCTGGTCCAGACTCGATTATTTACAGACGAACGTCATTTTGCTGGAATATTGCGGAGTGCGGCGTTAAACAACAAACAAACAAACAAAACGTAAAGGGAGACTGCGCTTGTCGTAAGAGGCGACTAACGGGATCGGGTGGTCAGGCTTGCTGACTTGGTTGATGCATGTCATTGTATCTCAATTGCGTGGATCGATGCTCATGACATCCATCACTGGACTGTCTGGTCCAGACTCGATTATTTACAGACCAACGTCAGTTTGCTGGAATATTGCTGAGTGCGGCGTTAATCAACAAACAAACAAACAATAAACCAAGGCATCGAGAATCGTTTCTGCAGTGCTATAAATATCATCATCTTTCACATGTCAGTTGCTGTGCTACAAACGTTAATGAACGTATGTATTGTTTAATGTATTTATTTTTTTAATGTTTTTATTGTTTAATGTATTTATTGTTTAATGTATTTATTGTTTAATGTATTTATTGTTTAAAGTATTTATTGTTTTGCAGTTTCTATTAAGTGAAACCAAGGTACGGCACATCCTATCATTCCTGTCTCTACTTGCAAGCATTGTCTGGTTCTTAAGTGGTAGGTGTAAATGCTGTTGTTTACGCACACCATTTATCAGTCAGCATCAAGTACAATTTCCTTTGCTCCAAATTGCAATATGCCAACCTAATTGTTTTCTTGTTTAGCATTGTCTTTCAGTATGATATCAGACCGGAAGATCTGGGTTAGTATAGGTCTTCCTTGTTTTGTCAATGTGAAGTTTAAAGCCAGAAAATCTGTCACAGAAACTGAGAACCGGTAGTACATTATAGAGGCATTGTTCTGAAGGGTTTAAAGAACAACTTGAGTCGTCTGCAAATTGTGAGAATAAATATTCAATATTACCTATCTTAATATATTTTATCTAAGTGTTGTTTATTATCATTATTGATAGTATTTCAGCACTTAGTATAAAGATAGAGGGAGAGAAAGGATCACCTTGTCTCGACCTCTATATGTTTTCTTTTTCTTTTTCTTAAATTGGGATCCAAAGCCACCAACTAGTACACATGATTGAATTTCGTTATAAAAGGTTTTTATTTATCTTCTTATTGAAATTCCGAAACCAAACAAGTTTAGTGTTTTGTCAATAAATTCCAAATCATCTGTATCAAAGCTCTTCTCAAAATGTACCTGGTATCTGATAGGTATTAGCGTAGTCCAGTAGATCATAGATTTGTCTTGTTATTTCACCAATGTATCTTCCAGCCATAAATATTTTTTTATCTTCGCTAATCAGGAAGTTTAAGATTCAAAATAAGCGCCAGTAACGACAGAAAAGTTGTTTAAACAATTTTTCTTATTTAACTCTCCTGAACATGATTTGATAGAAAAGGACGGAGAAGGTGCCTTTGCCAGCGGAACCGATTCAGACATATATAGTGGTTACAAAGACGCATCGATGCTTTAAAAAGTTTTTTTTTATGATAATTGGCATGTGTTAATTTGGATAAGACCAAGGTCATTGTTATCATGAATGGAGGAATTTTATCTAAGCATCAGAAATGGAGGTATGATGGACAACCGCCTGCTTGTGTACCTTCATAATAAATACTTAGGATTAACGTTTAATAAATCTTTATCATGGTCCAGACATTCTTTTTAAATGTGGTGTTTTTAAATGTGGTCAATACTTAAACCAGTACCATTTTATTTATTTTTCAAAATATTTGGCCGAACATAAGTCCAATTTTACTTTATTGGGCAGAAATATGGTTTGCAAATCGTGAATTATGTGAAGAAGTTAAAACTGTACATTTGGTGGCCTTTTAGCGCTTCCTGAATCTAAAAAATCTATAACTGTACATCATGTTGTTAGAGGTGAATGTGGAAGATACACATTTTGTATTTATGCCTGTAAACGCGTTGTCACATATTGGTGAAAAACTTTATATATGCCTGACTCAAGGTTTGTTATATTTGTTCCTAAATGTAAAAAGAAGCTCGACCTCCACAGTTAGACACTATTGTTATGTTCAGGTTTTTGCTATCTATGGGAACAACAGTCAGTTCCAAACGTATCAACATTTTAGTCAGAATTCTTTCAAAGAAACTATCATATACTTCATAAACTTCAATACCGAATACTATATCTCAGCTCTAACATTTTATAAATTTAGAAACGCAATGGCAAATGCAGTTCCCATCGCCTAAGAATTGAATCAGGAAGGTTCACTGAAGTAGAGAGTGACGATAGAATATGTGTTAATTGAAAAGAGAACTTTTTAGAATACGAACATCATTTTATTTTGATGTGTAAAACACATCATGATCTTAAAGCCCAGTTGATAGCACCAACAAATTATACCTATGCTACTAGACATGAGTTTAACGTATTAATGTCGTGCACTAACCTATCGCTGCACAGATACAAAGCAAGGTCTATAACAAACAAACTGTCACTCTGAGTCTCCAACACCCTGTATTACCACTGTGTCAGGGGCCTACAATACTGAATGAATAAAGTTGATCGATTAATCAGGAGGTTAAACACAGATTTTACCCTTTATGATGTGGTTTTATAGAATACTGATAGTAAGATTATTGGCGCCAGTTTTACAAATATTGTTTTAGTTGATTTCCTTTTGGGAAACAGGTTATTAATTCGTGGCTTTGTGATATTGATAATAGTCCGTTATTGTAAGCTTCATTTAAAGATTTCATTAGATATTTCTCAAGGTCATTCGGGGGGAAAATCTATCAGGTTCAGGACTCTGGTTTGTTTTTGCGTCAACAGACATCCTGATATTTACCCTGTTGTGTTACTGTCCTTTGTTTACAGATAATTAATAATGATTAACTTGTTCTCATCGCTGTATGGCTTCATTGTTGCCGATGAGCTATAAAAGTTTAACTCACTAACTCACTAGCCTAGTCTAGCCTAGCCTAGCCTAGCCTAGCCAGATATATGGAGCATATGTATATTTTCTGTCAAATACAATGATCATTGTGATTCATAACTCACTCCCTTTTGTGTGATAGAAAGAGCAAAAGAGATTTTTCACAACCCATGTTTTTCAGTACAGCATGTCCAACGAACAATGCTATGATTTTGTAAAAACCCTGGGCAATGTTTTTTCCCCGTGAGAGTCTCTAGATCTCAGAATGGAATCCTACAAGGGATGTTTTCGAAAATTTCAAATGATGGGTTTAATGTAATATGCATGAAGATCATTTATTGAAAGTTTGGAAGCATTTCAGCCTATAGTTTCACGGAAGTTTTTTGGAAGGACGCCAAGCGACGCGACTTTTCATCTGGAATGGAGAACAAAATTTTTTTTATCATATGAGCTTTTATAAGGTTGTCATATTGTAATATATAAATTTATAACAGGACATGGTACTTGATTATCCATTTACTTCATTTTCAATATGAAAGAAAGAAATACACGCAAGACTTGCTCTGCAAAAGCAACAAATCTTATCTGTTCCTCTCAAAATCTATGATATGTACGAGTATTGCTAAGTAAACAATATCAGCTACACATAATTGATTTGAAATGGTTTAATGCCTTTGTCTTTTTCAGGTGCCAGTGCGCAGGGTTTAGAGCGTAAGTTCGTTTTGATCAATCCTTTTCTTTCAACTTTTAAATTAACTCTACTTTTCAAAATGTCTGTACGTTCTAGAAATGTCAAACCTTGATTTACTTTTTTTCTGGTTTGCCTTCATTTTCATTGTTCAGGATTTTCCCTTGTATTCACATTCCACTATATTTGAAGGGTGAGAAGAAGTCAGTAATACAATCATTTGTCTTCTTTGCCACTGTATTAAATATTCATGATCGCATACAATGAGAGAGTGAGTGAGTGAGTTGGGTTTAACGCCGCTTTGAACAGTATTCCAGTTATATCACGGTGTGTCAGCTTAATCTGGGAGGAAAGCCCGAAGTGATGCAGGTATCAGACGTTTACCACTTCGGTGAAACCCACGAGCACGCGTAAGGTGCTGACAAACCTAGAAACATAATCGGGGCGAACCGGGATTCGAACCCATGATCATAGGTTTCTGGCGTGTCCAAGGGACGCAACTATTCACAGAGAATCGCGGCGCTTTAGACGACTGGGCCACCCGTGCCCCCTGATCGCATACAAAATTAAAGGAGTGCTAGGGTCTGGCGTCTACCCAGCTATCTGACACTGTTCATTGAGGCTTATTACTTCCAGTGAATCAGGGGCGGTCGGGTAGCCTAGTGGTTAAAGCGTTCGCTCGTCACGCCGAAGACCCGGGTTCGATTCCCGACATGGGTACAATGTGTGAAGCCCATTTGTGGTGTCCCCCGCCGTGATATTGCTGGAATATTGCTAAAAGCGGCGTAAAACCATACTCACTCACTCACTCACTCCAGTGAATCACTTTCCTAGCTTATGCACCTGCGTGTGACGAAAGGCTTGGCTACTGCCTGAAGGACAGCAGAAAATGACTTTGATTTTTAGCACTGATTGTTTAGCGCAGATTCTATTAACATTTCCATGTTAAAAAGGGCGCACAATGATTTCTTCAACATAAACGATCAGACAAAACCAACACTCTTCAGATGTCCTTTGTTGAAATAGTAATCAGCTTTCTCTTTGCGTGGATGACTGCAATTAATATCGATTCCATTTCTATTTTTCATTGCTTTATACTTACATCTGTCTATAGACCTATACTATTAGAAATGAACATGCATCTGTCTATAGACCTATAATATTAGAAATGAACATGCGGTAAAACAGTTTCCAGTCCCTAACTTGAGCCCATTTTCCTATCTGTTATTTCTTTTGGAAATATGTTCTGTTCATCTTGTTGGAATCGGCTGTGTAGGCTTGTGAACAGACTTCAGAAATGCCAAGCATTTGGAAAGGGTGGCTGTTCAGTGTCACAATACCAGGTTAGATATGAGCCTCAGATACTCAACAACAAAAGTTCCTGTGACACCAATATTTTAGTGTATTTTTCAAACAAGTAAAGTTCGGTTTTCAATATTGTAGTACATGTATGGAATCAAGTCACAAAAACGCAACTGCTACAGAAAAGCAGGCATTCCATGCAAAAGTTGACTTTTATGAAAGCCCCATGCATTTCACTACCCAAGAATGGGTATAAAAACATGTGCGTTAACGGGATTCCATATGCGTTGTTTAGCATCGTGCTGACAACAACCACTCAGAAAAAACAACAAAATTACGCAATTATTCAACGAAATGCCACGCCTGTCCGAAAATGAGCGTCTGCGAGCCATTGGTATGCTTGAAGCAGGATCGAGTCAACGTGATGTTGCAAGACAATTTAACGTCCACATAAACACCATTTGGTGTTTATGGCAACGTTAGCAACAGACGAATGCACTCAGAGACCATCCTCGGAGTGGCAGGCCATGCGTAACCAATAATCGACAACTGGATTCGAACAACAACCTACGAAATCGATTCCAGCCAGCAACAGTGACTGCAAAAAGTATCCCTGGCCTTCGACGAATATCTTCACAAACCGTACGTCGCCGCCTCAGATGTGCAGGGATTGTCGCCAGAAGACCCGCCAGACGTCCCATTTTGACAGGAAACCACCGTCACGCACGTCTACAGTGGTGCAGACAGCGTCTACGCTGGACGGCCATGCAGTGAGGACAAGTTCTATTCACTGACGAGTCGAGGTGAACGTTACGTCAATCATTGTGTCATGGAAGAAGATCGGTTCGGGGGCGGCAGCGTTATGGTATAGGGTGGGATTACAGCAAGACAGAGGACCCGTTTGATAGTGGTAGTTAGAAATCTCAATGGACAGCGCTACCGGCACGAGATCATCGGCTCCGTTGTTCTACCGTTTTTGCGTCGACATGGCCCAGGCATTACCTTTCAATATGACAGCGCCCGGCCTCATATTGCTCGACTTGTTCAGGATTCTCTTCAACAACACAACGTGAATGTCATCCCCTGGCCGGCTTGCTCCCCTGATCTCTCGCCAATCGAGTACATGTGGGATGAGATGGATCGGCGCCTTCGACGCCAACCACGTGTTCCACAGACACTCCAGGAACTTCGAAACATGCTCCAGCAGAAATGGATGGGGGGGGGGGGGGGGGGGGGGGGTCGGGTAGCCTAGTGGTTAAAGCGTTCGCTCGTCACGCCGAAGACCCGGGTTCGATTCCCGACATTGGTACAATGCGTGAAGCCAATTTCTGGTGTCCCCCGCCGTGATATTACTGGAATATTGCTAAAAGCGGCGTAAAACCATACTCACTCACTCACTCCAGCAAATATGGACAGATATCCAACAGGTCTTTGTGCGACGCCTGGTCTATTCCATGAGACGAAGATGTGTTGCTTGCAACGCAACCAGAGGTGGACACACACGCTATTGATTTGTAAATTGACATTTTGGCATGTTCAAATATTTTTTTATGAAATCACGCATTTTCTGAAGTCAGTATGGCAAATTAAACCATTTGAACACTTACATGAGTCTTTTATCTGTTGCAAACCGAAATTGTTTCACATTTGGTAAAAAACGTAACTTTGCATTAAATCTTATTCAATGTCACAGGAACTATTATTGTTCAGTATATTTCTGCTCAAACATACCACGGAGCTTGGTGAAACAAGGGTGCAAGAGCCACTGCCAAAAAATGGATTAAAAAAAGTTTCCCTTCGAGGGAAATCTGATATACTGTCTCTCCATTGGGTGCATTGTTACCGGGGAATAGTCATCTTCCGGGAGGGCGGTCGGGTAGCCTAGTGGTTAAAGCGTTCGCTTGTCACGCCGAAGACCCGGGTTCGATTCCCGACATGGGTACAATATGTGAAGCCCATTTCTGGTGTCCCCCGCCGTGATATTGCTGGAATATTGCTAAAAGCGGCGTAAAAACATACTCACTCACCCACTCATCTTCCGGGTCCAGTTTACACAAGGATATCCTCTCCCTGTGATAGGTCCCTAATACTATACAGCTTTCTTCTGGATAAAATATCTTTTCAATTTCTTAATATTTTCCACACGACAATTCTATCAAAATTGACATGTTTATTTCCTGAACCATTTGTTGTTGTTTTTGCAGAGGGCATTGTGATAAACGTCACCAGCGGTAAATCAATCGTCGTAGAAGAATGGGGGAATTTGACAATCACTGCACTCTGCGAATCTATTCCGAATGCATCTCACAAAATGTTGATCAGGAACGATGCTTTCGTGGTGCCATCTTTGGTAAACTGCACGTGTCACATAACGCAGCCGAGCTGCACATTTACGATCAGAAATGTGGATCGCAGCCACTCTGGCAATTATTCAATCTACGTCAACAATACGCAAGGAGAACACAAGAGTATCATTACCCATGTTAATGTACAATGTAAGTACATGTGTGTCGTGTGTGGTAGAAATAATTTGTACATTGTTACATATACATAATTATTATACACAGCGCAACTATTGGGTCAACCCTATACATCCTGGACTGAAAAAAACAAATTCCAAATATAACAAAAGACATGTTGGCTGAAAGTTAATGTAATGTTTCAGTTCCAAATTCATTACAATGAAAACAGATACAGACAAAAGAAAGCCAATGAGTCGAGCATTCAATGGGAACCCTCTGACATCATGTCCACCAAACTGCTACCACTAGACCCGTGAAGATCCGTGGTAGAATAGGTCTTCAGCAACCCACGCTTGCCGTAAAAGGCGACTATGCTTGTCGTAAAAGGCGACCAACGGGATCGGGTGGTCAGGCTCGCTGACTTGGTTGATGCATGTCATCGTATCCCAATTGTGTGGACCGATGCTCATGATGTAAATCACTGGATTGTCTGGTCCAGACTCGATTATTTACAGACCGCCGTCATATAGCTGGAATATTGCTGAGTGCGGCGTTAAACAACAAACCAACAACAACTAACTGTATCTATTGACATCCATGTGACCGTGTAGCCGTGCATATAGTTGCTTTCGTGTTCACGAAACCATCATCTGCAAACAATTATAAAACGTTAACCCAAAACATGTTTGCTCTTTTTCAGACGCCCCGATCTGCATCTGGCTCCAACCCCAGCAGATGTCCGTCATAGAGGACGAGAGAGTGACCTTCGATGTATCCGTACCGGTGCCGAACCCCCCTGTCTCCTCCGTCCAGTGGCTGTATCAGGGCAGCCCCATCAACATCACCAACCCCAGATACAGTGGCGGCACAGTCGCCACACCACCTCTTACTATAGGCCCAGCAGTCAGGAGCGACGCCGGGGTGTACAACTTCACGGCTAGCAACATCATCGGGGGGCTCACACAATCAAACTGCACTACCAATCTCACTGTTTACTGTAAGTACCTTTCATACATGTAAAACGACGGGTGGCCCAGTCTTCTAAGGCGCCGCAATTAGCTGTGCAGAGTTGCGTCCCTTGGGCACGCCAGAAACCTATGATCGTTGTTTCGAATCCCGGTTTATGTTCTTATAGGTTTGTCAGCACCATACCCGAGCTTGTCGGTTTCAGTTAAATGATAAACGACTGAGACCTGCATTACTTCGGGCTTTCCTTCAACATTTAGGTGACACGTCGTGATATAACTGGAGTACTGTTCAAAGTAACGTTAAACCTTACTCACCCACTCCTTGATCCATGGGGCATTTGTCACAAAACGTGATGACAATAGATATCATTACATCTTCAAATCTTCGAGGCAGTTTGTCAAAAATGAAAGCCAATATCATCTGAAAGAGTGAGTGAGTTGGGTTTAACGCCGCTTTTAACAGTATTCCCGTTATATCACGGCGTGTCAGCTTAATGTGGGAGGAAAGCCCGAAGTGATGCAGGTCTCAGACTTTTACCACTTCGGTGAAACCCACGAGCACGAAAACCTAGAAATCCAAGGTTTCTGGCGTGCCAAAGGGATGCAAATCTGCACAGCGAATTGGGGCGCCTTAGACGACTGGGCCACCCGTGTCTAAGAAGTCTAACTAAGTTATGGGGTATGTCAATGAAATAATGTTGGTCAATTAGCCAATTCCCCAAACAGATTTATCCACCTGAACTAGTAATAAAAGAGACCCATAAACCGCCTCATCTTTCATATTCAGATGTATACCTTAAGATTTTGAGTGACAAAATAACTCAAAATAAGACTGTACGATAAGATGGGTGACTTCAATGTTCCAGTTGTCAACCTTCCCCTTAAGTCAAGCAATATTCCTGCAGCTCAAGCCTTTCCAAATTTGACACATCAGTGACCAAAATGATGTCCAATGCAATACCCCTTTTTGACTTCCTCTTCATGTGTGACAGGTGTCGTCGGTTGGACAGGATACGCTCATCTTTTCGCGGCATATGGCATCGTCAATATTGTATAGTGATTTAGAACCTCATACTTCTGAAACAGCCAGACACACACAGTGAGGTCAAAGTTTAGCAGATTATTTATTATTATTATTATTATGGAAATACTTTTGTCGCTTATATTTGTGTCCAGAGTTGCCTAAGGTAAACTAAATGTATTCCAAAATATCCACATCAATGATTTAACACTATAAGTGCTATTACTTGTGTCATGCAGATCGTCACACCACTACAATCTAGAGTGAGTGAATGAGTGAGTGAGTATGATTTTACGCCGCTTTTAGCAATATTCCAGCAATATCACGGCGGGGGACATCAGAAATGGGCTTCACACATTGTACCCATGTCGGGAATCGAATCCGGGTCTTCGGCGTGACGAGCGAACGCTTTAACCACTAGGCTTCCGACCGCCCCCTACAATTTAGAAGCGTCATTACTTCATCACCATTGCATTATATATATAGTATTGTAAGTACTAGAACATGTTAATGATCACAACAATTGTGTCGATACCATCGTCAACACTAAAAGTGTTGCTACCTCCAGCATCGAACGCCATTGTGAGCAGTGCTGTGGTATCAATACATTCGTCATCGCTGAAACACGTTTATGACAAGTGCCATGGTATACATTTTATCGTCAACACTAGAACACTTATGTGTGGCCATTCCTCTAAGACCACATCAGTGTTATCAATATTGTTGTCGGCCCGTGAAGATCCGGGGTAGAATAGGTCTTCAGCATCCCATGCTTGCCGTAAAAGGCGACTAAGCTTGTCGTAAGAGGCGACTGACGGGATCGGGTTGTCAGGCTCGCTGACTTGGTTGATGCGTGTCATCGTATCCCAATTGCGTGGATCAATGCCCATGATGTCAATCACTGGATTGCCTGGTCCAGACTCGATTATTTACAGACCGCCGTCATATAGCTGGAATATTGCTGAGTGCGGCGTTAAACAACAAACAAACAACAACAATAGTGTTGTCATAAGAAAGCGACCTACCTCAAAAATGCAAATACAGGCTGGGTCACACAAGAACTTCATCACACCCACTAGCGGCCAATATATGATTATTATGTGTCCGTACGCAACAAAACATATTCAATTTGACAAAATCATCACAAAGAGGTTTCCGTCACATGACGCCATTATTGCTAGTGAGGATACAGAGGCAGTTTTGGGTAGAGCCTCTGATTTTGTATGTCTTTGATGCTTAGCAAATGATTATGTTTTGAGCTATAACTGCAAATAACGTTTGTTTTACAGATGGTCCTGATCTAGACTGCGTGGGCCCACAAACTGTAACAATCAATGAGACGGACAGTTATACATTTGCAATTGATGTTACGTCTTATCCGATCTTATCACGTGTCGACTGGTTCAAGGGGGGAAACCTTGTAGACAGAAGTGACACACGTTTCGTCCATGGTAACGTCTCCAGTCCGTCCTTAACGCTGAACAACGCTAACCGTAACGACACCGGGCGCTACAGCGTCAACGTCACAAGCGACGTCACTCGACGTTTTGTTTACGGTTGTTTTACCAACCTTACAGTTCAATGTAAGTTCCGAATAGTTTTCAAATGTTCAATGATTTGTTTGTTTGTTTGTTTGTTGTTTAACGCCGCACTCAGCAATATTCCCGCTAAATGAAGGCGGTCTGTAAATAATCGAATCTGGACCAGACAATCCAGTGACTGATATCATGAGCATCGGTCCACGCAGTGTATATACTTCGATTACCACATGCAGAACATTAGTAAACCAACAGCTGTCTATTTTTGCAGGTCTCTGATGCTGCACTTTGTGAACTTGCTATTTGCGATTTGTAGTACCTTATTTTCAATATTCGAAAGTCTTCACGGTTGTAACAAATGTTAGAAAAATCGGAAATAACAGGTGCGAACTTTATTCCAATTAATATGAAATTAGAAATGAAATACATCTCATTTCAAGCAATTCACGTTCATGTGAGAGATTGTCATTAAAATGTCAGGTTTCTCAGGGAAGGGCAGCTAGTCACAGAGTAAAGTCAATTCTAGTTACTTTTCTCTCGTTGAGCTGACAATCTCCTTATGTCCTGAGATTGAATTATATATATCATGTTTATGACATGACATTACATTGTCAGACCGACCAAGCTGTCAGCTCCTACTTCCACCTCAATATGACATCACTGAAGGTAGCAGCATTACAATCAACGTCACAGTGATGTCGTTACCTTCTCCAACGTTTGTGGGCTGGAACCTGAACGGCACCGCCATCGCCAGAAACAACTCTCACTACAGTGGCGGTAACGTTACAGTCCCATCCCTTACCATAAGCGACATACGGCGAAATGACACTGGGTTTTACTCCATACAAATCAACAATGTCGTGGGCGGAGTTGTAGATAACTGCCGGGTCTTCGTCCGAGTCCTCTGTAAGTATTTTTGTATTACCATTGTAGCGAGCTTGATAATGTACACTATATATGTCATACGTTTTTGCTCCTAAGCAATGAACTATGGTATAACGAAACATAGGCCAGCTAGAACGATCGCACGGATATGTCCATATGATCGCCCCAAATGACCTATGTGTGTGTGTGTGTGTGTGTGTGTGTGTGTGTGTGTGTGTGTGTGTGTGTGTGTGTGTCTGGTTCTCCGTGGTCCTGAGGTACCACAACTCGCCCTCTAGAGTTAACCACTAGGCTACCCGACCGCTCCTTGTCATGCAGTGACAGAACCTACTCATTCATGATAAAGGTGAAGGAATAATCACCATTCATACATATACTCACACGCAAAAGAAACGCAAGTCGAGTATGCAGTATACATGACAGTTGTTATTTATTTTCAACAGTAAAGACAAGAAATACTAATAGGGCAAGATTGACAAAAATTTGACTGAAGACAGTTTAATGGATGAAAAGGCAGATGACATAATTGTTTTTTTCAAATGTTAAGGGCTTGAGTATATAATGAAACAAATAATCTTATTTTGTCTTACAGATCGCCCTGAGTGCATTATCCTGTCAAACACCTCCTTATGGGTCAACGAACATTCTTCCCTAACAATCCACGCCGCCATCGACGCCGTCACGCCACCGACCGTGGTCGACTGGAAACTCAACAACACCCCTGTCAGTAGGACCGGGGGTCGGTACACTGGAGGCAACAGCTACCAGAACCCATCGTTGAACATTTCGGGTATCACACGTGGAGAAGCGGGTACATACACCCTGACTGCTTCGAACGCCGTCGGAAACGTTGTGAACGAGTCGAACTGCAACGTCAATGTTGCCGTACAATGTAAGTAGTTTGCCAGATTCCTTTTTTTGACTCAAAACCTATCTTTTCACCAAATCTTTCTTGGAGTATTGAGGCTTTGTGTTTTCCTAGCTGTGTAATGTCTCTTCTTTGTGTAGACCCAAATGAAGCGCTTTTGAGCAGTTCTTCGAACTGGTTACCAGCGCTATATAAATCTGTAGTTATTATTATTATTGATGGTTTGTAAACGCAGGTTTGTGAGGGTGCCACCGGTGGGGCAGGATACGCTCACCTTTTCGAGAACACCTCGTATCATCACCATTTGGTATAATCACATGCTCAAGATATAGTCGGAATCGTACACTCGACTCTGCTTTTGGCAGAGTGAGTGAGTGAGTGAGTCTGGTTATACGCCGCTTTTAGCAATATTCCAGCAATATCACGGCGGGGGACACCAGAAATGGGATTCACACATTGTACCCATGTTGGGAATCGAACCCGGGTCTTCGGCGTGACGAGCGAACGCTTTAACCACTAGGCTACCCGATTGACCCCTTTTGGCAGAGATTTCTTTTGAATATGGAAAGGGTTTTGTCGTTGTTATTGTACATGCGGGAAATACGTCAACAGGATCTTTTGACAAATTTCAGCCTGTGTATAGTCTAAAGTCTTTCGGGTAAACCTACCACATACACTGAAGATATACACGTGTTCCATCTCCATTGTATCACTGAAGTATGAAAAATCACTTTCAATACCTGTAATCTTTTAATGTGACATCTCGTTACAGTCACCTGTACTTCTATCATTTAAAACTGACTTCCACGGGAGATGTCAGTCAATTGGGTGACAGGCAATTGTGACGTCATCGGTTACCGTGACGTCACAATCAAATAACGTCACTTATCACTTTCACTCTCCTCCCCAGATTTCCATGCGGCCAGCGTAGTACCTTAAAGGGGAAGTGTACACACAAAAATCACTTTCTATCTTTTTCTAAACAAAACGCAATTTTAGAATTAGTTAGTATCTGTGTTTGAAAATATACACTCATTTTTTTCACAGTGAAAGTAGGAAGCTCACAATAGTGTGAAAATGATATGCCGTTATGAGGCCTTCGTTTTTCGAGCTAAACAGGCCTGAGTTATCCCCCTTAGATTATGACGTAATTGGTGCCAATTCAACTGGGTCCCTGTCTATTCTGAACGCAAAAGATATCAAGTACCAGCTTGTGGTAAAACAACATGGCCTACGACACACACCGGCGCAGTGGTGACTCAGCATAACACTATGCTGGCTGGCATCTGATACGCTAGAATCACACACCTGTACCTGCACCACGTGAAGCGGCTCTAACAAAGCATGATGACGTCATAATGTTTATCAATTGGCACCAATGACGTCATATTGTAAGGGGCATAAGCCATGGTGTTTTTGTTATGGAAATAGAACACTTGGTAAATGTGAAAAATATAAATCATTTTAATGCAAAAAATATGTCAATTATTAGTGATATTTTTATATTTTTGTCTATGACACTTCTAGGTTAACACTTTTAATGTGGAAAAAGTACAAGAAAAATAGGTTCATTTCCGTGTGAACTTGCCCTTTAAGCTGGTTCCCGGCTCCCTATGCGCGTCGTCAACTTTGATTTGTTCTACACGTGTATATACATCATCATCATCGCCATACACCATCATCATCATCATCCGTATTTTTATCAAATTACAGTTATGAATATGAATGTTTATGGTTGTGATATTAGAGACGGGGCCCAGCTTATGTAGTACCTCTGCCATAGGCCAGCGCCATGTGACGATTTGTCACATGTCACACAGCCCATTCAATATATTGCATATGTTTTTAACCTGTTGTATTTTTGACGAGTCTACACGTTTATAGAAACATATGTCATAGAATGGTTAACTTTCATTGAGGAAATAATCTAAAATATATTAAGATATATTAGTTTGCACCGCACTGTCGCAGTTCTAGTGGCATATCTATAAAATTATGCAAAATATTATGTAAAGCGCTCCGAAAAGCCAGTCGGTTCTGATTTCAGAATAATCGCGTTTGTTTACAAAGAAGAGAAAAGTCCGGTGTTGCATCAAAAAATATACCCAAGACACAGTTAAATGTGTTCAATCATACTGTGTAATTTCGCATGTCCTGATGTGCTTTTAATTACGTCTGAAATATAAATGATATATGGGGAAATATATGTGAACCATTGCGCAACGAGTTGACAATTGTTTTATGTATGCCCGTTTGCGCTAAGACGGAACCCGGTTGCAAAAATGGCCACGAGAGGGGCACGAGTCGCTATTCGGCTTGTCCCGGAATAACACGAGTTGGTCACGAATGCTTGCGATATGATAGACGGGGCCCAGCTTAACTAAGAGTAACCTTGTGTTTTATTGGAGATGGTTTTAAAATCAGATCTGTTATAAGCAGTGCCGTTAACTGATATCCTCGAACAAGACATATAAACTGAGATAAAGTACAGGTTTTAAATACACGCACCTAACCTACTCAGGTGAACTGTTAAAATGGCCCACAACCAAATGAGCGTTTGTAACGACATATAGTCCGTTGTTCTGTTAACGCTTCACAGTTGTTTAACATATCCACCGAAACCACTCTGTCTTGTGCTTAACGTCAAACTTTAAAACATCATCGAACTCATTACATTAAACTTACATGGTTTGTCAAGATGTTTTCATGTTTAACCAAATTTTACTGTGAACGTCGTAGTATGTTACTCGGATATTTGTCAATAAAGCTGCGGTAACGATGTCTGTGTATGGCTCCCTATAATACGATTTTGATATTGATTTGTCGCCACACAGATATCGCATGTCGAAATCAATATCAAAATCGATACTCAATGGGGAGCCATAGGGAGAGGTATGTCAAATATTTTTGTCCATGTTTTGAATGCTGACCTTATTTTCACGCGTGGAATGACTCCCGATATAAGTTTAGAATATTAACATGATCAAATGACTGAACTGACGAGTGAGTGAGTGAGTACGGTTTTACGCCGTTTTTAGCAATATTCCAGCAATATCACGGCGGGGGATACCACAAATGGGCTTCACACATTGTACCCATGTCGGGAATTGAACCCGGGTCTTCGGCGTGACGAGCGAACGCTTTAACCACTAGGCTACCCGACCGCCCCATTGATGGTAGGACTATGACTATGACTATATATATGTTATATGATACTCATCTAACATTGAATATGACACTTGTGCCAACATTTATTTTCTGCACAGATCTGGACAATTGCCCCGACCGCATCTATTCGGCGTGTGAAAATGGATCACAAATCCTTAATTGTTCGGTGAGATTTCTGCCATCTTTGAACACTGTGACGTGGAGAAAGAACGGGGCTGTACTGGATGTGTCCAGTCCCCGCTACGGCGGTGGAACTGTATCTTCACCTGATCTCACAATTTCCTCTGTTCTGCCAAGTGATGATGATGTCTACACCTGCGAAGTAGAGAACGTCGTTGGTGTAGCTGGATGCCAGATTACATTGAACGTCTTCAGTGAGTTTACCTTCATTGTGAAGTCCGTGAATAGGGATAAATCATAATGTGTAGATCTCCAGGATTTTACAGTGTAGGTGGTTATATACAATATAATTGTCTCAATTGTCTATAATTGTCTATAATATAATTGTCCGAAATGGGGATATATCATGACACGTGCCAAAGTTAATCTAATGCGCGCGACAATAAAGTATTATGATTTAGTTGTGTGGTTCCATGACATATTGACGGTTACCCCCAATAGGTGAATGATGTATGTTTTAAGGGACCAGCCATTGGGGGAGGGGGAGGGGGGGGGGGGGGGGGGGGGGGAGGGCGCATTTGATGTACAACATTTCTTACAGTCAAGAGAAATAAATTGTAAAATTTATCCGTAAAGTCTCTCACAAACCTACACCCCACACACACACACACACACAAGGGAGAGAAGGGGTTTTGGGGGGACAGAGGTAGATGGGGATATATTGGTTTAAAGAGGTAGGACGTCGGTATAAGTAACGGTGCCCAGAAACATTTTTTTACTATTCATTACATTCCAAAATGGTGAACGCATGATTGAATTTCAGCTCGACCCACCGTCTTCGTGTCACTCAGGAACATAATGTTGGTGGAGGGACAAACCTCTTCCATAGGCTGCTCCGTGGACATGCGCGTGAAACCAAATCCCGCCGTCGTTCACTGGTTTAAAGATGGCATCAATCTCAACTCTCCCTCTGGTCGGTATGGTGACGGGGATCTAAACAATCCCAGTTTAAGAATCTCCGATATCAAGCGCCAGGATGCAGGGTCGTACACGTGTGGAGCAGTCAACGGTGTCGGCGACAGTCACTCTGACGACATTACTGTCACGGTGGAATGTAAGTGTAGAGATAGATGAAAATGATACAACCTATATTTTTGTGCTGTGTTAGAGGGCCAGGCAGTGAGATAGGGCGCCTAAACATATGTATTATTACACAAACTCTCGTGTGAGTCTGTCTTTGTCCTTTATGTCATCAAAGTCGATCAAGAATAATCCAATTAACAGTGTAAGTCTGGTGTGGAACTTAAATGCATAAACTAGATTACATTTCGAACATTATTCTTTGACTCACGGGTGGCCCAGTCGCCTGAGGCGCCGCGATTCGCTGTGCAGAGTTGCGTCCCTTGGGCACGCCAGAAACCTATGATTGTGGGTTCGAATCCCAGTTCGCCCCGATAATGTTCCTAGGTTTGTCAGCACCATACCCGTGCTCGTGGGTTTCACCGAAGTGGTGAACGTCTGAGACCTGCATCACTTCGGGCTTTCCCCACACATTAAGCTGGAATACTGTTAAAAGCCAAATCACTCACTCAATCATGAATGAATGAATGATGAAATAGACCTAAATCAGACGCAGAAGGATAGTAACTCTATGTACAAGATATTTTACTTGAGATGTGGCGACAACACAGGGGTCACGACTCTGTTTGTTTGTTGTTTAACGCCATGATAAGCAATATTCCAACTATTTGATTGCGGTAAATAAACAAACTAATGATTGATATAATGTGCACCGACCGTCTGACCGTCCGAACCATATGGACCTATTTTAACACGTAAGCGAAATGGAGGATAGCATTCATTAAGCTTATGTGTTTTTCGGGAGGCCAAATTGAGCTTTATCAGTGTTAAAGTGTCATTCAATGGAAAAAAAAGTAAAGAACAAAATCCCACACCCACTTTGCGTCTTATCGATACAGTGGAGGATCAATTCACTCACCCAGTGTCGGACCGACCCCATGGTCTAGAAGGTCCGGGGTTCGATCCCCGGCCGCGTCATACCAAAAGACGTTACAAGATGGTACTTGTTGTTACCCTGTCTGGCGTTCGGCATGAAGGGACTTAAACAAGGACTGGTCGGCTCGGGGTCAGTAGTCTGTGTCTGAGTGGGGTATTCATGTTAAACTGTGGCATGGTATCTCAGTGAGCTAGCACTATAAATCGGCATCAGTCCGGACTAGTACAAGCAGCCACACAAACACACACACGTACATGCACGTCGCTATATAAGTGCAATAATCTAGGACGCGACGTTAAACCCCATTTCACCTGCCCGCACCTCACCAAGTGTCAACTGTTAACCTTTATGAACTGAAGCGTCTCACTGTGTTCATCGGTTTTGCTGTAAAAACCAGAAATTATAACCAATCATGTACACTGTGTGTAATGAAAGCATCTTCCCGAGGCAAGAGAGTTAACTGACTTTAAAAGTCCAGTTTCCACCCTTACCGAACTAGGCTGGAATTCCTGGGCTCGATCGTAGCGCCACCAGTGGTTATTACGAGTTATGTCCCTTCCAAACCTCTCCTATGGACCAATCAGATTCCACCTCTCGTATCACTTGCATTTGATTCAAACAACATGGCGGAGTCCAGTCAAGACGATCTGATCGATAATCAAGATCTATATGGTGATAAAACGGGTCTTACATCACGAAGTGCATCAAATCACGTGAGCACCGTTATTAAAATCATGAAAAGATTTGGAAAATATCTGTTGACAACGAGTTAGCGGTGCACATGCTTTGCAAATCCTGCAATCGACCAAAATCACGACAGTTTACGAACCGAATTTCGACTTCGGTGCCCGATTTTGATTGGACTATGCATAGACTCGTTAGCCTAGCCAAAATGTAACTCCATAATACATCCCGTTGCTCAGTACATTTAAATGTTGATCAGCAATGTATAAATGTAGCTTCATTTTCAGATCCGCCAACGGTCGTGGTAAAATACAATAACTACGGTTTCCACGAGGGATCTGACACAACGTTGTGGTGCTATGTCAACTCATACCCTCTCGTGTCTCCATCAAACATCACGTGGGTGCGTGATGGGCAGTTTGTTATACCCAGCACGTCCTGTAGTGACGTCAGACCCAACTTGCGGATGTGCAAAGTGGACACGAATACGGCTGGAAGATACATCTGTAGAGCCCGCCATCGACTGGCATCTGTTGGTAGCGATATCATTACTGTACACATCAGAGGTAGGAACCCGGCACAAATTTGACAATATAGTGTCAAATTGTAACGTCAGTGTTAACGTCTAATAAATTCTGTACGTGGCATAGTTCCAGTGGAAATAAGGAAAATGGGCATGCGCTACAATTAGCTACATACTCAAATGCGCTACAGCCACTAAATGTTCGAAAGTACAGCTACAGTATAGTAGAATGTCCGAAATCTCGCAATTATTTTCGCACGTTAAGCTTGTTCGAGGAAAACATTTGCATCTACCCAAGTAAGTAAGATAACAGAAATTTATATTTTCTTAGTGACTCATTGATCTGACACATTTCGGTACTGTTGGTCACTAAAAGATTTTAAGAGACCAGATTATTTGATGCAAAAATGATCATTTATGAAATGAGGTGAGATTCGTATACAAATCTTTGTTTTGCAGATGTGTGTCCTACAGTCGTTTACGAAAATGTTACCCTAGATGATTCCACAAGTACAAGCTCGGGGTACGTCGGTATAAAGTATTAGAAAATGTTACCCTAGATGATTCCACAAGAACAAGCTCGGGGTATGTCAGTATAAAGTATCAGAAAATTTTACCCTAGATGTTTCCACAAGAACAAGCTCGGGGTATGTCAGTATAAAGTATCAGAAAATGTTACCCTAGATGATTCCACCGGTACAAGCTCGGGGTACGTTAGTATAAAGTATCAGAAAATGTTACCCTAGATGATTCCACAAGTACAGGCTCGGGGTACGTCAGTATAAAGTATCAGAAAATGTTACCCTAGATGTTTCCACAAGTACAAGCTCGGGGTATGTCAGTATAAAGTGTCAGAAAATGTTACCCTAGATGATTCAACAAGTACAGGCTCGGGGTACGTCAGTATAAAGTATCAGAAAATGTTACCCTAGATGATTCAACAAGTACAGGCTCGGGGTACGTCAGTATAAAGTATCAGAAAATGTTACCCGAGATGTTTCCACAAGTACAAGCTCGGGGTATGTCAGTATAAAGTATCAGAAAATGTTACCCTAGATGATTCCACAGGTACAAGCTCGCGGAAAGTCAGTATAAAGTATCAGAAAATGTTACCCTAGATATTTCCACCGGTACAAGCTCGGGGTATGTCAGTATAAAGTATCAGTAAATGTTACCCTAGATGTTTCAACAAGTACAAGCTCGGGGTATGTCGGTATATAGTATTAGAAAGTGTTACCCTTGATGATTCCACAAGTACAAGCTCGGGGTATGTCAGTATAAAGCAACAGAAAATGTTACCCTAGATGTTTCCACAAGTACAAGCTCGGGGTACGTCGGTATAAAGTATAAGAAAATGTTACCCTAGATGATTCCACAGGTACAAGCTCGGGGTACGTCAGTATAAAGTATTAGAAAATGTTACCCTAGATGATTCCACAAGTACAAGCTCGGGGTATGTCAGTGTTAAGTATTAGAGAATGTTACCCTAGATGTTTCCACAAGTACAAGCTCGGAATACGTCGGTATAAAGTATCAGAAAATGTTACCCTAGATGATTTCACAAGTACAAGCTCGGGGTATGTCAGTATAAAGTATTGGAAAATGTTACCCTAGATGATTCCACCGGTACAAGCTCGGGGTACGTTAGTATAAAGTATCAGAAAATGTTACCCTAGATGATTCCACAGGTACAAGCTCGGGGTACGTCAGTATAAAGTATCAGAAAATGTTACCCTAGATGATTCCTCAAGTACAGACTCGGGGTACGTCGGTATTAAGTATCAGAAAATGTTACCCTAGATGTTTCCACAAGTACAAGCTCGGGGTATGTCAGTATGAAATATAAAAAAATGTTACCCTAGATGTTTCCACAAGTACAAGCTCGAGGTATGTCAGTATAAAGTATCAGAATATGTTACCTTAGATGATTCCTCAAGTACAGACTCGGGGTACGTCGGTATTAAGTATCAGAAAATGTTACCCTAGATGTTTCCACAAGTACAAGCTCGGGGTATGTCAGTATACAGTATCAGAAAATGTTACCCTAGATGATTCCTCAAGTACAAGCTCGGGATATGTCAGTATAAAGTATCAGAAAATGTTACCCTAGATGATTCCACAAGTACAGGCTCGGGGTACGTCGGTATTAAGTATCAGAAAATGTTACCCTAGATGATTCCACAAGTACAGGCTCGGGGTACGTCGGTATTAAGTATCAGAAAATGTTACCCTAGATGACTCCTCAAGTACAAGCTCGGGGTATGTCAGTATAAAGCAACAGAAAATGTTACCCTAGATGATTCCACCGGTACAAGCTCGGGGTACGTCAGTATAAAGTATCAGAAAATGTTACCCTAGATGATTCCACAGGTACAAGCTCGGGGTATGTCAGTATGAAATATCAGAAAATGTTACCCTAGATGATTCCACAAGTACAAGCTCGGGGTTCGTGAGTTTTAAGTATCAGAAAATGTAAAGTAAACAAAATAATGAATACTAAGCCGATCTCAACATTTCTATTAATTCTTTGAATGACATTTAGAAGCCATACACATAAGGAAGAGAACTTATGGATGTCAACCTTTTTATTATGATTATGATTTTGTATGTTTGTTGTTTAAATCCGCACTCAGCAATAGTCCGGCTATATGACAGTAGTCTGTAAATGATCGAGTTTGGACCATAAAATCCAATGATTGACATCATGAGCATCGATCAACGAAATTGGGATCGATGACATGTTCCGTGAAGATCCGGGGTAGAATAGGTCTTCAGCAGCCAATGCTTGCCGTAAAAGGCGACTATGCTTGTCGTAAGAAGCGACTAACGGGATCGGGTGGTCAGGCTCGCTGACTTGGTTGATGCATGTCATCGTATCCCAATTGCGTGGATCGATGCTCATGATGTCAATCACTGGATTGTCTAAAGATTAATATTCTTTAAAGAGAAATAGAACAGAACGATGACGTCATTTGTGACAGCGCATGTGACGTGTGATTTTTTTATTTTTAGTCTTAGATCAGAAAATATTTTGAAAATAAGGATTTTGAAGACGAATATTCCCGAATGTACATACACCATACATAATGAATTATATATATTTCCAATTGCAACACAAATACGCATCGTGCAGGTGTATCAGCGGTCGTCTCAAGGTCCAGCTGAAAGGAACGTCATCTAGCGGCACTGTCTGTGGTAAGACATGGACCTCGGCGGAAACGGGAGTTGTCTGTGGCATGATGGGATACAGGTATGTATCAATATAGGTTGCGTCAGATATTTGGATATTATTACTTGACCCTGTTCATATGTGTGTATGTACAATTACAAACTACCAATCCCTGAATATTTTTCAAATACAAATTTTAATGAACATTTAAAATAATAAAACTTGTGTTTATGTCCCTCCTATAGTTGTGATCTCTCTCTCTCTCTCTCCCGCTCTCTCTCTCTCTGTATTCCTTTCTCTCTCTCTCTCTCTCTCTCTCTCCCGCTCTCTCTCTATATTCCTTTCTCTCTCTCTCTCTCTTTCTCTCTCTGTATTCCTTTCTCTCTCTCTCTGTATTCCTTTCTCTCTCTCTCTCTCTCTCTCTTTCTCTCTCTCTCTCTCTCTGTATTCCTTTTTTATGAGCTCGCTCATTTGTAGCATATATATAGTAAACATGGATATAGTTTCATGGGGTACAGTCCTGCTTACAAATCACAACTGTAATATGATTTTCCAAGTCTATAGAATAATAACCAATCTCATTAAAATCAGATCTTAGTTCTCGCTACCGCTAAACAAAGATCTGAGGACATCCCATTGCGGGTCACGTCAGACCGACCTTGCGCGAACTTTGACCGACCAATGGAATGACCAATCAGAAGGCAGCTTTCTCGTGCTTTACGGTACTAATTTCAAATTGGCGACTACGCTTCGAAACATATTTTAACAAATTCTCGATTACAAATTTGATACCTGAAAAAAGGACATTCGGGAATGGCTAATAGATGTCTTGATTGTATGGATTCAGTCGTGAAACCTGTAACTATCGTTCGGAGTTAAAGTTTTCGAGGCTGCATGATCAGAAATCACATTCCGACTGTCACTTTCATAATCTGGTAAGCGATGCTCTGATTGGTCGGATGAAAGGTCGTTCTGACGTGACCCGTAATGGGATGTCCTCAGGTCTTTGTTTAGCGGTAGCGAGCACTGAGGTCTGATTTTAATGAGATTGAATAATAACATTTGTGTCCACAATATACAGGTATGGCGGTCATTGGATGAGGGGTGGAGGCGGGGGACCAATACATCTCGGTGACGTCACTTGTTTAACAGGGGCGACAACTCTAAATCAATGTCGACTTTCCTCCATTTCAAACTGTACTCACGACAATGACATCTGGCTAATGTGTTGTCATATAAGAGTGACGTCTCCAGGTACGATGTGATAGGATATGAACAGATTATTAAAAAAATACATATAGGCCAAGTTGCATGTACTGTTTGTTCAAGATTCAAATCACAGAGAATAAGACCCGTGAAGATAGGTAGAATAGGTTTTCAGCAACCCAAGCTTGCCGTATAAGGCGACTATGCTTGTCGTAAGAGGCAACTCACGGGATCTGGTCGTCAGGCTCCATGACTTTGTTGATGCATGTCATCGTATCCCGATTGCGTGGATTGATGCTCATGATGTCAATCACTGAATTGTCTGGTCTCGATTATTTTCAGACCGCCGTCATATAGCTAGAATAGTTCTGAGTGTGGCGTTAAACAAAGCATAGAGAATAAAAAGAAATGGATATAAAGGACAGCTAAGAATTAAGATTGGATTGCATTTGGATGAAGATATTGTCAAAGAGACTAGATGCAGGCCAATTATTATTTTCATACAGCTTCATTCAAGTCATTCAAAACACAGTCAAATTTTGTGACGTCATTCAATTTAGCAGTTACTGATTACATTAATTACACAGAGACAGTGTCTACAGTCCGTTTGACTCCAAATGAGAACGATGAATTGCAAAATAACTCGAAATCCAGAAAAGTGTATGAAACATCAATACGGTACTGGACCATGAATACCCTGTACCCTGTACACACCTTCCACGGTTTGTCCCCCCTACGTGTCATGTACACATTTCTATACAAAATTACATGATAGTTTCTTAAAGAACTTCATCCGTCATGGGTCTTAAAATAAACAAAATTCAGATTTTGTTGGGTACAGGGTATTCATTGTCAAGTACCGTATTGATGTTTCATACACTTTTCTGGATTTCGAGTTATTTTGCAATTCATCGTTCTCAATTGGAGTCAAACGGACTGTACGTATTTACACATAACACTAATTACAAAGTATTCACTCTAACTTAAAAGTTGAACGTTTTTCCTCAGTTGTAAATGGTCTCCAAATGCAAAATACAAAGTTACCAACCATTGGCAGCATATACATGCATTGCAGCTGACATAATGACACTGATCAACCCCACAGATTACCTTCCAAATGCTATTTAATGCTTACATCTTTAGATGATGTTGGGCGGGTAACTTGGGCGACTGATGTTAGAAATATTTTATTCCAATTTGGGTTTGGTTTTGTATGGCTCAATCAAGAGGTGGGTGACTCTAAAGCTTTTATTCTCCATTTTAAGCACAGGCTCAAAGATAATTTACAGCAATTCTGGAGTGCTTCTGTCAACTCTTCTTCAAAATGTGATCTTTATAAGCATTTTAAATCCATGTTAAATGTTGAAAGGTACTTGTCATGTCCACTCACTACCCATTTAAGAATTGCTTTTACTAAATTCAGATGTTCAAATTGTAAAATAGCTTTAGAAACTGGCAGATATAGTAAAACAGACCTTTCACTCAGATTCTGTAACTATTGTAGTAGTAAGGTAGTTAATGTCATTGAGGATGAATTCCATGTACTCTTTAATTGTAATTTATATTCTGCCCTAAGACAAAAATACCTTGTTAATCTTCCTATGCCTACTCATTACAGTAATTCTCATGTAATAAATATTCTTAGTAATTATAATAAGTAAACATTATTTCTAGTTTGTAAATTCTTATATTATGCTCACAAAATAATTAATGATAAATTCTGTGCCCTGTAAATGTCATGCTCACATGTCTGTATTTTGGGCCATTGGCCTTTTACTGAATAAACATGTCTGTCTGTCTGTCTGTCTGATATAGTTCTTGGTATTCGTTACAGCTGCGGCGGTGCTAACGACCACAGCAATCCCAACAACCCCATCAACCTCATCAACCCCAACAACCCCAACAGGTAACAGTTTTCATTTTAGTAACATACCGTAACAGGTAACATCAACTTAATCGAGAGTCAGCGATCAAACCCACTCAGCCACCGTGGCTTCCAAATGTTACATAGCCAAATACCACAAAATAGAAGACTCGGTGTCTGATTGGGTTAGATCGACTTTGTGTGCTGACTATTAGGTGCCTCACTCTCAGACTGTGGACCCGTGAAAATCCGGGGTAGAATAGGTCTTCAGCAACCAATGCTTGCCGTAAAAGGCGACAATGCTTGTACTAACGGGATCGGGTGGTCAGGCTCGCTGACTTGGTTGATGCATGTCATCGTATCCCAATTGCGTGGATCGATGCTCACGTCAATCACCGGATTGTCTGGTCCAGATCCGATTATTTACGGACCGCCGTCATATAGCTGGAATATTGCTGAGTGCGGCGTAAAACAGCAAACAAACAAACTCAAACTGGGTTCGAATCCCAGATAGTACTCGCCTCAAAAAGTACTACAATTTGTACTTTACCAAGTAAGTGTTATCCCAAATATAACGTGTTACATCTGACCACGTTCTCAAAGGTATTATGTTTTAATACAAATACTTGTTATTTAAATAAAAACACAGTTGATTTTTCTCCTAAATGACAGTAAAAATTGGTTTGTTACTCCAAATACTCACACACTAAGTGCTGTTTTTCTCTTTTCGTCAACAGCAGGATCGACTTGCCAGTGCTGGGATGAAGTGACCTCTCTCAAAATGATTGTGATTGTCCTCGGTATCGTTATCGGCTGCCTGATTATCGCTATAGGTCAGTACGTCCTTCGCAACCGTAGGGGCGGTCGGGTAGCCCAGTGGTTAAAGCGTTCGCTCGTCACGCCGAAGACCCGGGTTCGATTCCCGACATGGGTACAATGTGTGAAGCCCATTTCTGGTGTCCCCCGTCGTGTTATTGCTGGAATATTGCTAAAAGCGGCGTAAAACCATACTCACTCACTCACTCACCTTCGCAATCGTATTTCCGCGGGACATGCAGTGGATTGATACCACAAAACATTTATGTCCTTGGGAATACTCGTGGACATATATTTACTCGCGGAGTAGATATCTTGGATCCACCTTTGGAATTTTAGGCGGTTAATGTTTAAATTCATGTTTGTTTGGAGAGACCTGTTTCTCATCAATTCTTTCATACCGCACTCAGCAATATTCTAGCTATATGACGACGGTCTGATAATAATCGAGTTTGAACCTGAAAAATCAAGTGATTGACAACATGCGGATCGATTTACGCAAATGGGATCGATGACATGCATCAACCGGTTAGCGAGCCTGAGCCTCCGATCCCGTTAGTCGCCTCTTACGACAAGCTTGGGTTGCTGAAGACCACTTTTAACCCGGAGTGAGTGAGTGACGTTTTACGCCGCTTTTAGCAATATTCCAGCAATATCACGGCGGGGCACACCAGAAATGGGCTCCACACATTGTACCCATGTTGGGAATCGACCCCGGGTCTTCAGCATGACGAGCGACCGCTTTAATCACTAGGCTACCTGAGTGCCCCTTTTAACCTGGATGTTCGTGAATGTAGGGTTAGGTAGAGCCAAGTGATAAACATCCAATACTAACTTTGAGATTTATTCTTACGCTGAGCTTAAATACTGTAATACAACTAAAATGGTGGCGTTGATAACCCGATATGTACCTACTGTTCAACGAACAGAGGTTAAATATTACATGCTGTCAAATGCCATTTTAATTCATATACAATCTCCTGTTTCAGTCGTCATGTGCTGCGGGTGGTGCGGGTGGTGCGGGTGGTGCGGGTGCTGTTCATGCTTCTCGAAGTGGCCCTGTGGAGGTATTTACAAACTTCGTTAGTGCAAAGTTAACACAACCTATACTTCATAACTAACGTCCCTTCATCTCCATTGTGGTGCAAACAGACAGCCTCCGTGGTATTGTGGATAGAGCTTGCCCGGAGAGCGGAGTGAGTGAGTGAGTGAGTGAGTGAGTGAGTGAGTTGGGTTTAACGCCGCTTTTAACAGTATTCCAGTTATATCGCGGCGTGTCAGCTTAATGTGGGAGGAAAGCCCGAAGTGATGCAGGTATCAGACGTTTACCACTTCGGTGAAACCCACGAGCTCGGGTATGGTGTTGACAAACCTAGAAACATCATTGGGGCGAACCGGGATCCGAACCCACAATCATAGGTTTCTGGCGTGCCCAAGGGACGTAACTCTGCATAGCGAATCGCGGCGCCTTAGACGACTGGGCCAAAGACTGGGCCAGCCTTTGGTGTCAACATTTCACACCATTCGACAAAATAAATTAATTGTCCACGAAAATTCTTGAGATAATACTGATGCTTCAGACTGTTGAAGACAGTCTGCCACAAATATTACATCATTGCATTGTTTTCTTTATACAGTCAAGTACGGTTATAACGAACTCAAAAGGACTACTAATTTTAGTTCGTTATAACCGTAGTTCGTTATAAGCATATATACAGCATAACTACAGCAAATAGTCGGGACCAAAACTGTAAGTTCGTTATAAGCGTGTTCGTTATAACCGTAGTTAACTGTAGTTTTAATTGATGAAATATCTGGTTTTGCACCTGCAGCTGAAATCTATCGAATCTCTAGACAAATTCCAAGCCCCCACTCCACTCCACCCCACCCCACTCCACCCCTCTCCACCCCACTCCACTCCACTCCACCCCACCCCACCCAACCCCACCCCACCCCACTCCACACCACTCCACTCCACCCCACTCCACCCCACCCCAGTCTATCAAATGAGCAGTGGTCCCTAACCCCTTCACGTCAACAAACGCCCATTTCATGAGTCAAACTGTAAATATAACACAAGTATTTTGTTCCCTTGATCTCTTCCGAGAGATTATCATACTTTGGTGGAATTTATGCTCATGCGGATTTGTAAACTGTTCTTCGCATAACACCCCATCAAAACTCTTCAAGTGACGATTCGGCAGCTATACTTGTTAACCACTTATGTAGTCATATTTAATGTAATAGATATCGATTTCCTTTTGATGTCATTACATACAAGATGCGGTTTCCTAGCAACTGACATCAGATGAAACTTTCATATCTGATTACGGGCGGTGGGGTAGTCTAGTGGTAAAAGCGTTCACTCGTCCCGCGTTCGATTGCCCACATGAGTATGATGTGTCAAGCCTTTCACTGGTGTCCCCCGTCGTGCTGCTGATGGAATATAGGTAAAAGCGGGGTAAAACCATTCTCACTCACTCACTCACTCGCTCGCTCATATCTAACTACTGTTGAAAAAACAGTACAAATTAACACGATCTAATAACCTCGAAATTATCTCACGTAATTTACCCTTTCGAATACTGTATTGTTACTACGGGGTCGCCTCTCAGTGATGTAACATTTTACTTAAATTGTTCTTAAATTTTACATCTGGTGTTTTAAGTGGAAACAAAATCTTTCATTTTCTGTTATTACTTACTATGTGGGGGCTTTCGCTGATGGTTGACCTCGATCACTTTCTAAACATGTGACAGACATAAAATTGGCACAATTCATACTGAACTGTCTTGTATGTTTAAGTTTTAATGTTTTAATGTGACTGCAGTTAATTCAGCCTTTTTATTATAATCCCAGTTTAACGCGTTCACATTTTCCCGTATCATCCCGCCATTGGGAATGGATAGGATGATTATTTTCATTTTTCACATGGGTGCTGCACAAGTGATTATCAGGTACACGCTGTGCTGTCACATACATGTTTGTTTGTTGAACGCCGCACTCAGCAATATTCCAGCTATATGACGGCGGTCTGTAAATAATTGAGTCTGGACCAGACAATCCAGTGATTAACATCATGAGCATCGATCCGCGCAATTGGGATACGATGACATGCATCAACCAAGTCAGCGAGCCTGACCAGCCGATCCCGTTAGTCGCCTCTTACAACAAGCATAGTCGCCTTTTGCGGCAAGCATGGGTTGCTGAAGACCATGGTACCCTGGATCTTCACCGGTCGTCACATACATGTGATGAATGAGATATCTTTGACGAAAAGCCCGAAAGTGTGCATTCCTGTCTGCTTATAACTGAATTTCCCATCTCTTTCACAATAGACTTCCTCCGTGGTCTAGTGGTGGAACGCCCGCCCGGAGAGCGGAAGGTCCGGGGTTCGATCCCCGACCGTGTCATACCAAAAGACGTTAAAAGATGGTACTTGTTGTTACCCTGTCTGGCGCTAAAAAAGGAGCTTAAACAAGGACTGGTCGGCTTGGTGTCAGTATACTGTGTCTGAGTGGGGTATTCATGTTAAATTGCGGCATGGTATCTCAGTGGGCTAGCACTATAAATCGGCATCAGTCCTGACTAGTACAAGCAGCCACCCACACACACGTGAATGTACGTCGCTTTGTGCAATAGTGCAATAATCTTGGACGCGACGTTAAACCCAATTTAACCTCACCGCCTCTTTCACAATAAAGCGACAAAATCCTTTCTATATTTATCAGAATTCTCTGCCAAAAGCAGAATGGATTGTACGATTCTGACTGCATCATGAACATGCGTTAATGAATCGCTATCAAATAGTGATGATACCAGGTGTTCGGGGTCAGGCGAACCCGTCCCAAACAAAGAACTTAAAGAATCCAATCATACTATGCAAGATGACTAAGCACAATCGGTACACTACCTACATATAACGCGTGCAACCACCTCGTTCCGGGTTCATCCCAAATTGTGGAACTAATGTCTATGCTGTCTGTTTCAGGTGGAACGAAATGGGGTGATTGTCGTCGTAACAACGTTGGCGAGGGTGGTTACGAGAGTGGGTATGTGCATCTTACATTGCTATACAGACATACAAGGGACCGCGATCTGCTCTTTTTTGACTGAAGCATGAAACGTCCTCTGACTCCCTCAATTCTGCAATTGTATCGTTGATGTGGGTAGGACTGGTAGTTAAAGCGTTCCCGCATCACACTGAACACCAGGATCCCTTCCCTTCCCTTCGTGAGTGAGGCTCCTAATCTGATCACTGTACCTTTCCCACACTCCGGCGCCACATAACACCACTGCCACAGGCTAATTTGCATATCATGTGACCGGACCTTTCTCTTGTTTGTAAACAAATGCGCTTTTTCAGAAATCAGTATAGAACAGACTAATGCAAGTATTTGGGGGCGCTTAACATATTGTTTTGCATAATTATATAGATATGCTACTACAACTGCGACAGTGAATTTCATGACATTTTTATATTTATACATCAAAGTGACCGTATCGCTAGCTCCCCGTTGGCACGTGGAGACGTACAACCAGTGTAAACAAAGGATAACTACGCAAAAACAAGTAGATTTTCACGTATTAGGATACTTTCTTAATGAACCGAAACCATTCTTTGACATTTGTTTATGAAAATGTTTAGACTTGTCAAACATGAAACGGATGAAAAGCATATGCAATATCTTGAATGGACTGTGAAAGATGTGATGAATCGTCACATGGCGCTGGCCTGTGGCAGAGGTACTATGCTGGCTGGCTGCCGGCCGCATGGAACTCTGGGTAGGAGAGTGTACCTTTCCCTAAAATGATAGCTGTTTGATTTTAGATATGGTGGTTTTACAGTTGATTATATTGACTGTAATGAATACCTTGGATTATGGTTAAATGTGAACCTAGACATGAAGAAGACTGTCAGAGAATTGTATAAATCTGCGAGTCACACCCTCTCATCTTTAATTACAAACTGCTATGTAACATATCCTGTTTTTAAGAAATTAAATGAAAACCTTGTTGAACCTGTGTTATGGATTGGTGATTTGTGGTATAAATACTTATACAGAAAAAATCTTTTACAAAACAAAACTTGCAATTCTTTTCATGGTGTCACTAAGTGATCAACTATTGTAGCTTCCAATGGATATATAATTTTTACATCACCAGTTCTCAAACCATATATACATGTATTTAGACTCTATATAAAGCTTAGTGATAATGCTGATACTCGTTACGTGTTGAGCAAGAGACTATTTAGTCCAAAATCTATATTAAAAAGTGGAGAAATAGAATTGTAAAAATTGCCTATTATAAACATCTTAATGACATTTTCACCTTGCCCGAGGCAAGAAATATATAATTGAAAATATCAGGTGTTCACGAAAGATGGAGCCGAGAATGGTGGGATGGATGAAATAAAGTAAATGGCATTAAAACTTTAAGACAATGTAAGACAAAGTGTTCTTGAATCATATTTTTAAATGTAAAATATAGTGACCACCAAGTTTTAGCATTGTGGACCTTTACCCCTTGCCATAGACCTGGACGCTTTAACAAACCACCAACCCATCTTCCAGACAACCCATCCTCTTTGTCCACGGTGCTTTAAACAGTGCAATAACAAAATTACTGAAGGTGAATTATTTTTAATATCACGTCCATTTTGTAAAGAATTGTGTAATTAAAATGTCGCTAATTAAAATAAACCTAAATTTTTTTATTTTAAAGCCAGGAAAATTTACAAGTTGCATGGGCAAGCACACTTTACACTGCAAACACGAAAACGTCGGGGTTTTTTTCATATATGGTCATTAGACGGAAAAACGACGTTATTTTGACGCTTTCAAACCATCGTTTTTCCGCCCAAATTATCAAATGATAAAAGAAAACAATTATTTATTTCATGAACATTATATTTACGCACTATGTATGTAACCATGTATTGTTTTAAACAGGATACGAAAAGTATCCTTCTTCTGTTTTTTTTGTATATACATGTATCTATTTATTGTTGTATTGTGTCATAAGCCGAATAGATGGACGTTAAGTGTATATTTGTACATGCCCAGTTTGTGTAAGGTATGAAACCACAGCTTTTGAAATTTAATCCTGTCATTACACTATCTGGTAATAAAAAAGTTTTCATTGTATACCTTGAATTATGTTTATAATCTATTTTATTCATATCTTCAATATTGTTCACATTAATTTCTTTTGACGGGACAGGCATAACAACAAATCGCAATATATTTCATTGATAAAGAGTGTTTTAAGACTCGATGGCAAAAAAACCCTCTTAACTGAGAATGATTATTTTTCTACTTTCTTGATTTCGTTGCCCGAAATCCTGATAACATTTGCTAAGTTTCACACTTTTGAATGGCATTCTCTCTCATTAACGTCACATAGTAATTGTTATAGCATCATATATAGTACTTAAATTGTTTTGTTTTGACTCTTTCAGGCCTGGCTGTCTATGTAAGTATTATAAGACTGGACAGATAAGGATCACACAGACTCTTCACATTATCGTCCTTTGCCTTAACTAGATGTGTCTGCAACCTATGGAGTGAGTGAGTTCGGTTTAACGCCGCTTTTAACAGTATTCCAGTTATATCGCGGCGTGTCAGCTTAATGGGGGAGGAAAGCCCGAAGTGATGCAGGTCTTAGACGTTTACCACTTCGATGAAACCCGAGAGCACGGGTATGGTGCTGACAAACCTAGAAACATAATCAGGGCGAACCGGGATTCGAACCCACAATCATAGGTTTCTGGCGTGCCCAAGGGACGCAACTCTGCACAGCGAATCGCGGCGCCTTAGACGACTGGGCCACCCGTGCCCCCTCAACCTATGGACAATATGATTAATGGTTGACTGGTATGGCACCTGGAATCGAACAGCCTCCTCACTGACATTTAGTGTGGTTTCAGAGGACACAGGGGCACTGTTTACCATCTGGTCTGACTCCCTTGGTATCCAACAATCTGTCTCAACTCAATATTTCTAGTTATCCGTAGTTCGGGACAAACGGAGTGCCGATATTAGACCATAGCTACCATGATCTGTTTCGACATAAAAGGACATCGAATAACAATGTTTCACTGAAGATACTTCTCTATTTCAGGTACTCACAAGCCACACTGTAGCTGTAAAGGGTGAGTACAGGACAATCAACAGTGAGTGAGTGAGTGAGTTGGGTTTAACGCCGCTGTTAACATTATTCCAGTTATATCACGGCGTGTCAGCTTAATGTGGGAGGAAAGCCAGAAGTGATGCAGGTCTCAGACGTTTACCACTTCGGTGAAACCCACGAGCACGGGTATGGTGCTGACAAACCTAGAAACATAATCGAGGCGAACCGGGATTCGAACCCACAATCATAGGTTTCTGGCGTGCCCAAGGGACGCAACTCTGCACAGCGAATCGCGGCGCCTTAGACGACTTGGCCACCCGTACCCCCCGGTGGATGCAACGGTTAGCATGTTTAGGACCGATAGTTTGATATTCGAAGCGTGCGTGTGTGCGTGCGTGCGTGCGTGCGTGCGTGCGTGCGTGCGTGGTGTATGGATACTCGACACTTTTTCTTGTTACAATGAGTCTAACTTATTATTTTTGTGCCTGTCAGAATCATGATTATTTGATATATTTTTGGAGCATTTTCTGAAAATACAAATGTTCGATTTGTCTCTTCAGGTTGGGACAGTGCTTGCGTGTTAATTGGGGACGTGTGTGGTCAAACGTTAGCAGCATCTCATTTGTTTTTTCGTTGATAGATTTAGTTCGCAATAGGATAAACTTTGATAATGCAAAAGTCTGTGCACCCACCTCAGTTATTAGAAGCTCACATGTCATTTTCAGTGAGTGAGTGAGTGAGTATGGTTTTACGCCGCTTTTAGCATTATTCACCAATATCCCGGTAGGGGACACCAGAAATGGGCTTCATACCTTGTACCCATGAGGGAATCGAACCCGGGTCTTCGGCGTGACGAGCGAACGCTTGAACCACTTGGCTACCCGACCGCCCCTCATTTTCAGCTGTACAACAATTCTGTTTCCGTATTTTTTTCAGAAAGAAGACAAAAGGACAAAAAACGCAAACTCCACCAACAAACCAATGGTCAAAACCCACAGACCCAATTTGTAAGTAAGAATTACCAAAACAAGGCTGTTGGAGTGAGTGAGTGAGTGAGTGAGTATGGTTTTGCGCCGCTTTTAGCAATGTTCCAGCAATATTACGGCAGGGCACACCAGAAATGGGCTTCACACATTGTACCCATGTCGGGAATCAAACCCGGGTCTTCGGCGTGACGAGCAAACGCTTTAACCACTGGACTACCCAATCGTCTCTTCCCCCGCCACGAAGTGGTTGGGAGATATAGGAATGGGTGATGTCGGTATGTCAATAGACCGTTTAATGTTTCTTTATAATGTTTGCTCAGCCCAGCACTGACCTCTTGCCTTTGCTGTGTAGGAATTTTGAAATCTTTCATTTTATGGAAAAACATTGGACTCAAAGTCTTTTTTCTGCTTGGGATTTTTTTATTTTTTATATTTGTTCTTTCTGGTTTTCATGACAAAAAATACAAGTCAATGAAGCATTGATAAGGATTTGGTTTTAATCAGTGTAGTGGTCAAATGCTTATTTTCATGATTTGTAATTTTTTCATCTTTTAAAAAAATATGAACAAGTTTAAATAGATAAATAGATAGATAGTGCCTATACTTCAGTTTCATTATTTCGCGTGAGGTGCATTGTATTTTTTACAACTTGTTGACTTACAGTACAGAAACCCAGGCCAGAAACAGAGCTTATTATATAAGTAAAGCTTTGTACACGATTCAAAATCCTCATCTGTGATTACGAATCATACCTAGATAGAAAAACGTTGAAAAAAACACAATACTACCAAACCCATTTCGCCTCACCACCTCCCTCAAGAAGATTATTTTCATTACAGAATTGATTTTTTTATGTATAAAAGAAACGCATCCATGTACTCTGTGACCTCGTGATCAGGTTTAGGCATAGGATGTACGTTGTAAGAAAGATGAAGAATGTCAAATAGCCACAAATATGACATATGTAATATCCGAGAGGTAAATTACATCATGTGACTTTTTATCCCCCCCGACATATAATGACGCGGGGATATAGCCATCAGTTTGTCCGTCTGTCCGTCCGTCTGTCTGTCCGTCCGTCCTTCTGTAATCATTGTTTGTCCGGAGCATATTTCCTAAACCGTACAACCTAGCTTCACAAAACTTGGTACATTTACCAATCAGACTCAGTAGAAGTGCCTTTTGCTATTTAGAGATTTAAAAATATATATATTTTTGTCGTTTCCATGGAAATATGATGAACTTAGGAAATTTGAGGGTACTGCTCTTTTGGAATTTTGAAATCTTTCATTATATGAAAAAACATTGGTCTCAAAGTCTTTTTTCTGCTTTGGATTTTTGGAATTTTTATATTTGTTCTTTCTGGTTTTCATGACAACAAATACAAGTCAATGAAGCAGTTTTAATCAGTGTAGTTGTCAAATGCTTATTTCCATGATTTGTAATTTTTCCATCTTTTTAAAAAAAAGAACGAGTTCAATAGATAAATAAATAGATAGTGCCTATACTTCAGTTTCATTATTTCACGTGAGGTGCATTGTATTTTTAACAACTTGTTGACTTACAGTACAGAAACCCAGGCCAGATACAAAGCGCCGTAAGCGTAAGTAGAGCTTTGTACACGATTCAAAATCCTCATCTGTGATTACGAATCATTCCTCGATTTTTTCATCTTTTAAAAACATATGAACGAGTTTAATAGATAAATAGATAGATAGTGCCTATACTTCAGTTTCATTATTTCACGTGAGATGCATTGTATTTTTTACAACTTGTTGACTTACAGTACAGAAACCCAGGCCAGACCCAGAGCCCCTTAAGTGTAAGTAGAGCTTTGTAAACGATTCAAAATCCTCATCCGTGATTGAGAATCATTCCTAGATAGACAAACATTGAAAAAAACAATACTACCAAATCCATTTCGCCTCACCACCTCCCTCAAGAAGATTATTTTCATTAAAGAATTAATTTTTTTATGTATAAAAGAAACGCATCCGTGTCACATCCATGTACTCTGTGACCTCGTGATCAGGTTTAGGCATAGGATGTACGTTGTAAGAAAGACGAAGAATGTCAAATAGCCACAAATAGGACATATGTAATATCCGAGAGATTAATATTTAATATTTAAAATTGCATTTCTGTTGCAGGTAGCGACTCATCAAGAAGTGGCAGGTGAATGATTTCTTGTAATATATTTAAGTGAATTATTTTTTTGATCGTGTACTTAATTCCCACAGTGAAATAGGGAAAAACACTGTGGCATTAACATCCATGGGAAATGGACGCTACTTAATCTACCTGCTGGAATGCAAAGATAAAACCTGGAAATGCCTTGTTTCATCGAAAAGAACAAAAAACTGTCATGGAATTAGTAGTAGTAGTAATCGTAGGAGTGAAAGAGAGCCTTACTTTCTATAATTGTTGTAATCCCAATTTATTAAACCGACAAGGGAACTTCATTCGTCACCACTCGCCCCTTTCCGTAACCTGCAAGAAGACTCGTCCCCCTATCAATAAATGTTATGTGCGAAAATACGACAAACCAATCAGAATGCGCGTATGATTTCAAGTTCTTCGTCAAAGAATCCCTCAGAATAATTTCTGTTTTTACATATGTCTTGCATCTAAAAATATACCCAAGACACAGTTAAATGTGTTTAATCATACTGTATAATTTCGCATGTCCTGATGTGCTTTTAATTGCATCTGAAATATAAATGATATGTTGGGAAATATATGTGAACCATTGCGCAACGAGTTGACAATTGTTTCATGTATGCCCGTTTGAGCTAAGACGGAACCCCGTTGCAAAAATGGCCACGAGAGGGGCACGAGTCGCTTACTTTTTTTTATTTCACGACTGTCTCGAATCTTCCGAACTGATTTTCTACTGAACTTCAAACGTACCGTCATAAATTTGGGGTCCAAATCATTTCATATCTCAAGATAATAATACTTGTATCAGTAACACCATTCCACCGTGGGGATTCCTGGGCAAAACATGGCTTATTCAATCAACGTTTGTCATAATCGACGACTAATTGGGATAACGTGGTGACCTGGCAGTGTGTCTCATGCTGACCCGCTGGTGTGTCGTGGGTTTGTCTTGTACATGGTAGATTAAGGTAGATTATCGTTAACTACTGTGTAAAAGAGAATACAAACATACACACTTGATAGTAACCACCCATAATGTGTATACCCGTGAAGATTCCGGGGTAGAATAGGTCTTCAGCAACCCATGCTTGCCGTAAAAGGCGACTATGCTTGTCGTAAAAGGCGACTAACGGGATCGGGTGGTCAGGCTCGCTGACTTGGTTGATGCATGTCATCGTAATTGAGTGGATCGATGCTCATGATATTAATCACTGGATTGTCTGGTCCAGACTCGATTATTTACAGACCGCCGCAATATAGCTGGAATATTGCTGAGTGCGGCGTTAAACAACAAACCAAAAACCAAAAACCATAATCTGTAATGTGATTTTGTTGTTTTTTGTGTTTTTTTGGGGGGTAACAGTGAGGATGAATACAACAAGCGTGAACATAAAGAAAGAATGCCGGCGTCACCCAGTTCGAGTTACTCGCACGTTGAAGAGATATCTACACACCCCGTGGACAACACACACACTTCAAAAGATGACAATCGTGATCTGATGTCTCCACCTCTCAAAAAAGATGGTTCTAGCTCAACTGGCGGAGACCGTAAGGCAAAGAAGCCATGGCAACGACCGATAACTGAGAATGGTTTGCCAAGTGTGGAAGAAGATGACCGCCCAACAACAGGTTCTTCTGATTCGAAAGAAAGAACGATGGGTCATAACTTGCCCGCGGATGATGATGTGAATAACGCAATCAACGGTGTTCTGCCGAGAGAGAAGAAAGTCAAAAAGAAGAGGAACAAATTAAAATCGAGGAGACACGAGGCATTGATAGATGCCTCATTCCCAGATGTCATTCTGCGTGATGATCGAAAGTATAGCGCCATGGAGGACTCAAATGCCTGATTCACCTTTATATAAATGTCATCGCATCCCAGCTGTGTGGATCGATGCTCACAATGTCAATCACTGGATTGTCTGGTCGAGACTCGATTATTTATAGACCGCCGTCATGTAGCTGGAGTGCGGCGTTAAACAACAAACAAACAAACAAACAAATTATATAAATGTAGAGGGGTTGCATCGGACATTATTAATATATCCGAAGTTGGAACAAATGATTATTTTGGGGGAATCGACGAAGCTGAAACCTTATATGAAAAGGTAAAAAATGAAAGATATGTAAATATTAAGATAAACATCCTCCCTATAAAACAAAGAAACTGTGAATGATACCAGGTAGTTTTTGTTAAGTGAGTGAGTGAGTGAGTGAGGTTTTACGCCGCTTTTAGCAATATTCCAACAATTTCACGGCGAGGGACACCAGAAATGGGCTTCACACATTGTACCCATGTCGGGAATCGAACCCGGGTCTTCGTCGTGACTAGCGAACGCTTTAACCACTAGGCTACCCGACCGCTTCAGTTTTTGTTAAGACATCTTGGGTTTCGTGATCAACGTATGCTTGTTTCCTATAATTTTATGATGAAACATAACATTGACATATTGTACAACGCAACTATTTCAAAGTCTTTTGCCAAACAGTCAAATAAAACTCTAGCGTAAGTTCATTGCAGTCGCTTTGGTAGCACTGAAGTCAGCTGTACAAAAACAAACCAGATCAAAATTAAAACAAATCATTGTTCAGAAAGTTAATTAAAACCATACTTTAGACAACTAGGAAGCCAATCTAGACCAGCTTACTTGAGATCAGACCCGTGAAGATTCCGGTTAGAATAGGTCTTCAGCAACCCATACTTGCCGTAAAAGGTGACTGTGCTTGTCGTAAAAGGCGACTAACGGGATAAGGTGGTCAGGCTCGCCGACTTGGTTGAAGCATGTCATCTATCTGAATTGCGTGGATCGATGCTCATGTTATTGATCACTGGATTGTCTGGTCCAGACTCGATTATTTACAGACCGCCGTCATAAAGCTGGAATATTGCTGAGTGCGGCGTTAAACAACAAACGAACCAACTTGAGATCAGGGGGTCAAGCTTACAGTGCTTCTGCCTCCTGCAGGCTATGCCATCACTTTGGATTGTTCTACGTCATGCTGGAAAATATAAAAAAAATTCAAAGAACAATCAAGGCTATATAACACTAGTTTATATTAAATACTTCAGTTTTGATGAACTCGCATGCAACTGTCAGGGCAACAATAATTTTACACTTCTTTAACCCTCCATTTGGTAACCCCTTTAATAGTCTCAGTTGCTGATTACAACAATTCCAAAATAATTTAAATAGTCAAAAGTTATCAAATAAATAAATCATATTTCACTTTAGAAACAAGATGTAAACGAGCGCTGACATTACTAAAAAGAATCTTTAACGAAATCTGCTCGGACAAGCAAGAATGAATTTCTCATCAGAAAGAACAGAGAATGGACGATCTTCGCCATCAATACATATTCACGTGTAAAACGTGCATCCTTAAAGCGAGGTGCCTCAATAATGACTTCTTTGTGTCCAGATTGAAAACCCAAGTACATGTATGTATAACCTAGTTTGTGCTTAAATAACCTACCTTTTCAGCATCAAATTATGAACATATTCTTTGAATATTTTTAATAAATGATAGTGTATTTAGTATTTGGAGTTTTCCTTTTCGGTTGATTTCTTTAATGAGTACTGAAGGTGTTCCAGTCAGCCAAGGAAAACTTCCATCTAGTAATGGGCGTGTCCATACAGGGGTGTGTGTGGAGGGGGGGGGGGGGGGGGGGGGGGGTAGATAGTTTGAAGCATGGTCGGGAAATGGTCATCATGTGCTGACCATGAAAGGTCATATAACATACAACATTACCATCAGTCCCAACGTCCATTATTATACTGGTCACTTTATGGCTGAAATAATGCCGATGCGACCTTAAATTATAACTCACTCAACCATTGCTTTACTGCCACTCCCAACACCATTTACGATCTGCTATTTGTTGTGGCCTTACTGCACAGGACTTGGTTTTCTTTGTTTGCATGTTTAACGTCGCAACCTGCACGATTCCAGCTATATTGTCGTAAGAAGCGACTAACGGGATCGGGTGGTCAGACTTGCTGACTTGGTTGATGCATGTCATCGATCTCAACTGCGTGGATCGATGCTCCTGATGTCAATCACTGGGTTGTCTGGTCCAGACTCGATTATTTACAGACCGAAGTCATATAGCTGGAATATTGCTGAGTGCGGCGTTAAACAACAAACAACAATTTAATCCAGCGGCTGACCACCTCATCCATGAAATCAGTTCTAACCAAGAATTTTCACACTGTCAGAAAATAACTGTTGATTGGTGAGGACAGACAGCTCATACAGATCCTTCACAGGCTAGCTTGTCAGCCCAGGGAGTGCACAATCAATCAACAATAACAATATATCTTCCAGGTTTATTGAAGGTATCTTTCATACAATACGAGGTGTACAATTTCAAGATAAAAAGGCGTTCCTTTGTGAGTGAGTGATGTTTTACGCCGCTTTTAGCAATATTCCAGCAATATCACGGCGGGGGACACCAGAAATGGGCTTCACACATTGTACCCATGTCGGGAATCGAACCCGGGGGATGAGCGAACGCTTTAACCACAAGGCTACCCGACCGCCCCTTCTTGGTTTGACGCGTCCGGGGATCGAACCGTGCGGCATGGTAACAACAAGTACCATCTTTTAACGTCATTTGGTATGACGCTGCTGGGATCGAAACCGCGCGGCAGGATAACAAGGACCATCTTTTAACGTATTTTGGTATGATGCTGCCGGAGATCGAACCGCAAGCAGGGTAACAACAAGTACCATCTTTTAACATCTTTTGGTATGACGCTGCCGATCATCGTACCCCTGACCTTCTGCTCTCGGGGAGGAAGCTCTACCACAAGACCACAGAGGCGGTCGAGAGAGTGAGAGGGGGAGTTGTGATATTTGCTTCTTGGCCCAGTATTTCAATAATATCACCACATTCAGCATGAGTGAGTGAGTGAGTGAGTTATGTTTAACGCAGCTTTTAACAGTATTCCAGTTATATCACGGCGTGTCAGCTTAATATATGGAGAAAGCCCACAGTGATGCAGGTCTTAGACGTTTACCACTTCGGTGAAACCAACGAACACAGTATCGGTATGTGTTGACAAACCTAGAAACATAATCGGGGCGAACCGGGATTCGAACCCACAATCATAGGTTTCTGGCGTGCCCAAGGGACGCAACTCTGCACAGCGAACTGCAACATCTACGACGAGTGGGCCAGCTGTGGCCCCCTCACAATCAGTATGAGCTGAGAGAAAGACGGCAGTAATGGTCACCGTCCTGATGGACCAAGAAACATAAACAGGTAAAATCTGGGATTCAAACCCAAACTGACCGCTTTCTTGCATCCTAGGGGACACAACTCTGCACAGTGAATTTGATGCCTCAAATGACAGGGTGCCCTAAACTCCCAGCTGTGACTAGAGTCACACATCACCATGCAGCAATGTTATACAATGAATGTACAGAATATTGTACGGAATGTGTGTCCCTGTCAAAAGAATTCAGGCTATTGGAATGGTGCTTGATAAACTTGCATTACACCTTTCGGCCATATTTGTTTTATGTTTTTTAATGTGCAGCATGCATCACCAAAAAACACCTATTTGAAAATAAGCAGAAAAGATTATCCTCTTCACTGTGTATGGTTTAATGATAAAACTTTGAACCTGAATATAACTGCCATTCATAAACATCGATAATGAAATAAACATCAGAAGATTACACAATAATAGTTCCATAATGGCTGCAACGACCTCATCAGTTACACCACTAGTTATTAATGCATATTAATTGATACAAAATGTATTTGTGTGAAGTGGATGCACATACAGATCAAAAGTGATTCCAGCGTTGTATTTGTTTCAATCTCATTAAAATCAGACCTTAGTTCTCGCTACCGCTAAACAAAGATCTGAGGACATCCCATTACGGGTCGCGTCAGACTGACCTTGCGCTAATTTTGACCGACCAATGGAATGACCAATCAGAAGGCAGCTTTCTCGTGCATTCAGCACGAATTTCAAATTGGCGACTACGCTTGGAAACACTTTTTGACAAATTCTCGATTACAAAAGTGAAACCTGAACAAAAGAACATTCTGGAATGGCTAATAGATGGTCTAGATAGTATGGATTCAGTCGATAAACCCGTAACTATCGTTCGGAGTTAAAGTTTTCGAGGTTGCATGATCAGAAATCACATTCCGACTGTCACTTTCATAATCTGGTAAGCGATGCTCTGATTGGTCGGATTAAAGGTCGTTCTGACGTGACCCATAATGGGATGTCCTCAGATCTTTGTTTAGCGGTAGCGAGAACTGAGGTCTGATTTTAATGAGATTGTATTTGTGTTTTCTTCACATGAACCTATCATAAATAACGTAAGACACCATCTTCCATCTTCCCGCGTCAAGAAAGTTAACTGACCAGTCCAGGTGTTAACTGGACTTTTAAAGACACAAATATTCCTGTATTTATTTCGACAATGATTAATTACAGTGACCTTAAATCTTATATATATGTTGTCAAGGAGGTCAAGTGATACTAGTTAAGTTACTTATGCTATTCTTAATTTTCAAGTTGGTGCTCTCATATGGTTTATTCTCCCTACAGTGTTTTATTGTACGATAAACAGCTACCAGGAATCGTTTATTTCTTATATGAGATACTAACATTTTGTACAAAATGTACAAGCCTTTGAGTGAGTGAGTTTGGGTTTAACGCCGCTTTTAACATTATTCCAGTCATATCGCGGCGTGTCAGCTTAATGTGGGAGGAAAGCCCGAAGTGATGCAGGTTTCAGACGTTTACCACTTCGGTGAAACCCACGAGCACGGGTATGGTGCTGACAAACCTAGAAACATAATCGGGGCGAACCTGGGATTCGAACCCACAATCATAGGTTTCTGGCGTGCCCAAGGGACGCAACTCTGCACAGCGAATCACGGCGCCTTAGACGACAGGGCCACCCGTGCACTCACTCACTCACTACAAGCCTTTAACATATTTACCTGTATTTTTACAATGATGTCTTCCTCAATCGAATCCAACCACAACAATGTCGGACAAGTCCATTTTATGCACAGGTGGGTATTTCATCGCCTTTATCTGCGTTGCCCAGCTGCATCTATGGGATACAACTCACAAGACACTGCCCTCTCCAGGAAAACGTTGTCCAAATCATGATGTCATTAGTTGCGAGCGGATTTTCGAATCTCCAGAAATGACATCATGATAGAGTGAGTGAGTGAGTATGGTTTTAGGACGCTTTTAGCAATATTCCAGCAATATCACGGCGAGGGACACCTGACATCATAGAACAATGGTTTATTGTGAAATAAACAACACTTCGCTCTTCATTGTTCCTTGCGATCGGGAAGCTATCTTATATGAGAGACTAATCGCCTGAACATATATCACAGTTGCCCACAGTAATCATGCAGCAAACAATAGTCACAATCAATATATTACAAACACCCAACTGAACAAACGCATTGAATTTTTCAAAATGAAAAAAAACCCTCCACTGTAAAAAAACCCAAACTCATCAAATATACTCGAAAGTCTGAGTGAGTGAGTGGGGTTAAACGCCGCTTTTAACAGTATTCCAGTTATATCACAGCGTGACATCTTAATGTGGGAGGAAAGCCCGAAGTGATGCAGGTCTCAGACATTTACCACTTCGGCGAAATCCACGAGCACAGGTATGGTGCTGTCAAACCTAGAAACAATTGGGATTCCCACCCACAATCATAGGTTTCTGGCGTGCCCAAGGGACACAACTCTGCACAGCCAATCGTTGCACCTTAGACAACTAGGCCACACGTGACCCGTCGAAAGTTTGAACACAATACAATGTATGTCCCAAATTTTTGTGGAGAAGGTATTGTCACGCAGGCTGTATTTTTTTTTTTAAATGAGAAGCATCAGTTGCCATTTCTGATGGCAATATTCAGCCCCTGCAGCAAAAGTCAATAAAATTCCCACCTTTGAGTTAAGATTTTATTTTGTCTTCTACATGTTGATATATAAGTATAAGGTTTGGACTCAAGAGTAATCTCAAGTGACTAACTTAGGGGCTCTCAGCACACTGTAAGTGGGTAGGGTAGATCCTCATATTCACTTTGTGTTCCAATATGTAGGTGAAACAAAACGACACTTCTGCATTAGACTTAAAGAACACTTTGCCTACATCAAATTTCAAAGGGACAAACCAGTCACCAAACAAATTAATTCTGTAGAACAATTTCACGGCGAGGGACACCAGAAATGGGCTTCACACATTGTACCCATTTTGGGAATCGAACCCGGGTCTTCGTCGTGACTAGCGAACGCTTTAACCACTAGGCTACCCGACCGCTTCAGTTTTTGTTAAGGTTTCGTGATCAACGTATGCTTCTTTCCTATAATTTTATGATGAAACATAACATTGACATATTGTACAACGCAACTATTTCAAAGTCTTTTGCCAAACAGTCAAATAAAACTCTAGCGTAAGTTCACTGCAGTCGCTTTGGTAGCACTGAAGTCGGTTGTACAAAAACAAACCAGATCAAAATTAAAACAAATCATTGTTCAGAAAGTTAATTAAAACCATACTTTAGACAACTAGGAAGCCAATCTAGACCAGCTTACTTGAGATCAGACCCGTGAAGATTCCGGGGTAGAATAGGTCTTCAGCAACCCATGCTTGTCGTAAAAGGTGACTATGCTTGTCGTAAGAGGCGACTAACGGGATCGGGTGGTCAGGCTCGCTGACTTGGTTGATGCATGTCATCGATCCCAATTGCGTGGATGGATGCTCATGATATTAATCACTGGATTGTCTGGTCCAGACTTGATTATTTACAGACCGCCGTCATCTAGCTGGAATATTGCTGAGTGTGGCGTTAAACAACAAACCAACCTACACTATCAAATCATACAGCTTAAAACAGACCATGAGTCAAACCAGAGCACGGCTAGGCCCCGATCCATTGAACTTAATATGGATTTTTTATCTGAAAACTACCCACCCGCAAGGCATGGACGACAAGATCTAAACCTGGAATTCCCCCATCCCCCTTTTTTGTCTCATGTTAATAAAGTTATAACTAGTTAAAGATAGAGGTGACTTATTGATAACAGGACAATATAGAGAATGACGCAATTATTGTATTGCAGAAAGTGTTATAATACCCGTTGATTTAAAAAGAAATAGAGAGAAAGAAATAGAGAGAAAGAAATAGAGAGAAAGGACTAGAGAAATGATAGAGAAGAGTTGTAAAAAAGAGATATTAAGTTTTAGTGCTAATAGATAGAAGGACCAACAGACAAGACATAATATATTGAGCAAAGAAGTTAGGGATCACAAATAATTTGGGGATGCTTTTATTTAATTGTGCTCAGTCTCGCTGCAAAAAAAGAAATCACTAAAAATATTCTTGATCTGTACCTTTTTTTGTTCAGTAAATAATCTCACATTTTGACAAAAAAACGAATATCACATTTTTCAAATCTGGGACTAAATAAATCATATACTGTAAATCGTGAAATTAATGCGTCTCCAAAAGAATGCGACCACTGGACCCTAGCCAAAAATGTGACTCAATATGAATGCAACACCTATCCTCTCAAGCATCAGTGGATTTCCATCTAAAGAAAAATGTTCTCTGTCGGGTTTAGAATCCTCACCTTAATCCAACCTTACATTAATCCAATCACACACAAAATAGCTCCGCTTATTAGCACTTAGTAAAGTACTTCCCAAAAACAATACATGCGCCCTGGCTCGTGTCGGCCTTTGACGCAGTCACAAAGGGTGGCGTCTGTCTGGACTTGCAGGTGTGATCAGTGATGACATAAGCGAGTGGAACTCTTGTCTTGACCCCAGCAGTGACAATTCACAGGATGTAATTAGTGTTTGAAATAACATTGTTTATATACTTTATATACAAGTGCTGCTCAATAAACAGTGGTGTGGAATACATCAGCGTATGTCTAAGTTGGTATTTTTGCTATCCAAAATGTCTTATTGTTGATATCAATGCAATGTTTAAAAATGCGAGCAAAGACCACTCGCATTTTTCGCATTTAATTCACGCTCGCGTTAATTTCAAGATTTACAGTATTTATGAGTATCTGGAAAAGTATCACCAAGGACAATAATCACCAAATTCAACAAATCAACAAAGTTTAAACAATCTGATTAATTTTACAAACACATTCACACAAAAAACAATATTCGAGACAAGTAAACAGTGAACAGGGCTCACAAACACCCCAGGCTTTTACTCCAACATATTTCTATGTTCAAAACAAGAAAAAATCATATTTTTTTCAGGAAATACACATATAAAAATTAAACTTTGCACTGCACCTCTTCTATTAGAATGGAAAATGTTTCCTTAATCTGAAAGAACCCATGCAGTAGTTTTCAATTTATAGGTCGCACAAACGTTTCAGTAAAAAAATGAAAAAAAAAGCTGTATTTTTTCAGAAAATCCAAACATTGAAATCAAAATTCACACTGCAACTCTCCTATAGTGAGTGAGTGAGTGAGTATGGTTTTACGCCGCTTTTAGCAATATTCCAGCAATATCATGGCAGGGGACACCAGAAATGGGCTTCACACATTGTACCCATGTCGGGAATCGAACCCGGGTCTTCGGCGTGACGAGCGAACGCTTTAACCACTAGGCTACCCGACCGCCCAACTCTCCTATAGATATCAAGAGTGTTCACCAGTTGGAAAAGAATCTATGTAGTTGTTTTCAAGTTGTAGGTCACACAAAAAAAGTCCTTGTACCGATGGATGGACAGACAGAATTCCTCAGCATAACTATATACCCCCACCCTTTTTAGGTTGGGGGTATGATAATACATAAAACATGGATGTGCAATACTCTTCTTTCATTCTTGTATTCACTGGCTTTTTCTACAACAAAGTAGCCTAGGCATGCTGTGTTCAAAATAACTTGGCTTACAGATTTCTCCACCACCAGTGTCACAAATGTAGAATCAATTTACTGTTTTTGGCAAAAAAGGTTTTTAGTTGGTTTACGGAATTTTGTTTTGTTCTTACAATGTTGGTGGTCAAAATATAATGGTCTTCAAATGAACATGTCAGAGGATTGTCTGATAGGTATTTCTTAGAAGTTGATGGATGACAAAGTAGAGACAATTTCTTGTTTGCAACGGTAAAGGGTCTATACTAAAATGTTGCTATGAAAGTATCAAGAAGACGTTATCCATAAATTGTGTCTACTCTGTGAACATGTAAATGGTCAATTTTAACAAAACTCCTTATAAACTTTCAGAATCTCCTGAACTAACGCCCCTCCACAGCACTCATGAGAAAAACGAATGCTACCATTTCGCACCTAAACAACTGCACAACCTCCTGTCCTATCAAAGGGCCGTAAGTCCTATCAGTCGACATCACTTCAAACTTTGTGGTAAACACTTCGCTATGCATTTCATATTTCACAATAAATCCTCTTTTCAGCATAAACTAATTTCAGACTTATTTCGATTTAACATTTTAATTTAGTGGTATTAAAAAAACAGAAAAGTTATTAAAATTCTATTTTCATTTTGCTAGTTTTCATTTTGGTGGGTGGATCCGTAAACCAACAAAGATGAAATGTATAATAATTTCCATATATGAGCAGAAAAGCAATCCTTTGTCTTGTTACTGATGCAGAAACACTTGGGCTTGGGAGAAACAAATGTATACAAAGACACCACATGAAAGTCTATGGGGAGAGTCTCTCATACACCCAGCCATTGTCCCCCTGGTGGGTGGTTTCTGTATTGATTGTCTCCCCTGGCTGAAGGTGACGGAAGACAATGCGGTCATGAAGTCGGTTGGACTGCCCCTGCCAGAACTCAACAACTGTGGGACGAACCAGGTAGCCGCCCCTGTGTGAGGAAACACAACAGTCAAGTTACATTGTCAACAGAGTAGTCTCCCTTGATACAGATAAATACATACAATCTAGATCCAGGTTAGAATAGGTCTTCAGCAACCCATGCTTGTCATAAAAGGCGACTTTGCTTGTCGTAAGAGGCGACTTACGGGATCGAGTGGTCTGACTCGCTGACTTGGTTGATTCATGTCATCGCATCCCAATTGCATGGATCGGTGCTCATGATGTCAATCACTGGATTGTCTGGTCAAGACTTGATTATTTACAGACCGCTGTCATATAGCTGGAATATTGCTGAGTGTGGCATTAAACAACAAACCAACCAACTCTAACTTGTTTACATGGAAAGTGAGAAAAAAATCAATAAAAAAATCTGCACATAGCAAAAGGCATCATTTCAGGATCTGTTTGGTATAACTACCAATTTTTGTTGAAAAGTATTGAACGGTTTTCAAGTTGTGCTCCAGGAAACGAAATGAATACATACGGACGGACGGACGGACAGACGTGGCATCGACAATATCCCCCACTCCCCCCCCCACGACCATTTTATGCAACTGGGATAAAGGCAAAAGCCACCAGTTCATCTGATGAGCAATGCATATGGCAAGTTTCGTCGAAAATCATTGACCGTTTTTCTAGTTATAGCTTGGTATGATCAGAAAGAGGTTCAAGCAGGAAAGTGGCAGTACAGTCATTCATGTGGTCATGTGACTGGTCTCTCGTCCAAAGGAAAAGCCATATGTCGTTTAACCTTCAGATTGAATAATAATATGTACTCCTAATCCACCAAATCAAGCATTCAACCTTACTTCATTTTTACCCTGTATTCAGCGTATAAAGTGCCTGCTTCAATAAGCACCTTCCAACCAACTTCAAGACCTATCAGTAAGTAATCTTTACAAGCACCCACCTACTAAGACCAATGGTCTAAATGACAGTCTGTATTGTCTTGTGTGTATTACAGGAAACACCAGAAAATGACAGTCCGTATTGTCTTGTGTGTATTCTGTATTGTCTTGTGTGTATGACAGGAAACACCAGAAAATAACAGTCCGTATTGTCTAGTGTGTATTACAGGAAACACCAGAAAATAACAGTCTGTATTGTCTAGTGTCTATTTCAGGGAACACCAGAAAATAACAGTCTGTATTGTCTAGTGTGTATTACAGGAAACACCAGAAAATGAGTCTGTATTGTCTAGTGTGTATTACAGGAAACACCAGAAAATGACAGTCTGTATTGTCTTGTGTGTATTAAAGGAAACACCAGAAAATAACAGGTGTATAGTTGCCGAGTAACTATTATCAAAAAGTTTACATTTCAATGACGTTTAAACTAAGTTTGTTCACAACCACTCGATCTCTGAAAACAAATTTAACTAGCCTAAGTTTAATATATAAATTCCCTCTTTCAAATTTTCTAAGCGCCAATGGCAATTATTGTGTTAAATACAGTATTTGAGCTCACTTGTTAGAAGACACAGAAATACATATACCCAGAGGTAGAAAGTACCATGTTTAGCCCACTAGTCCTTGTGATGATAACATAAAGCAAAACCCTTAAAAATGGCAAATTTCTACTAGTCCTCATGATACCTTAATTATTGAGCAGTTTGGCAAGGACTACATGACTAGTGCCAATTTCTAAAGCCGATAGGTGGGTGGGGGTGGTCGGGTAGCCCAGTGGTTAAAGCGTTCGCTCGTCACGCCGAAGACCCGGGTTCGATTCCCGTCATGGGTACAATGTGTGAAGCCCATTTCTGGTGTCCCCCGCCTTGATATTGCTGGAATATTGCTAAAAGCGGCGTAAAACCAAACTCACTCACTCACTCACTAATGATGATGGAGCTACTTCCACCTGTCTTCCAAGAAATTATCTGAAAACTCCTGGTCTACCAGGTTCAAAGGAAAGTGGAATTGAAACCAGCCAAATACATTACCAGTAATCAGGCTTAGGGACGTCCTTGCTCTCACTGGAATATTCCTTCTGTAGTTCTCCATTCCTCTTGTCAAGTGCCTGGAAATACAGGGTTACACTGGAGTTCCTGCTCCGCTTGGTCATCATGTGTTAAAAGGACAAGCCAAATGAAAACATTGCTTCTGTCAAGCTCATCAAAGTGTATATAATGGTCTCCGTTATTTGAGGACTGGTTATTTATTATCGGGGAGAGGGGCATGATAAAAAGTTACCCATCCTTGACCTTCTAAGAGTCAGACCATTGGATATTCTGGGGAGGCTGGGCTCTTATGGGAAAGTAAATTGGGCCGAAAATTCTTGGAACAAATAGTTATGCTTCAGACTGTTGAACAAAAAGAAAATTGCCTGCCACAAAAAATACATTTTTTCTTAAATCTAAAAAACGTAATGGAGCTTATAGTTTCAAATAAAAACATCTAATAAGATTATCAAATGGTCGGTCCCTAACCCAACTTTATCCAAGAAGATTAGGCAGTGTCATAAATATAAGGAATACTCCCATTTAAGGTAACCCACAGTAACAGAATTAATAATCAATCATTGTAACATCGCATGTAACACATCAGTGAAACTACGTCAGACGGGGGGTGAGCACTAGAAACAAATTGAACATGGCCTGTCAGCCCTGTATTTGGCCACCAAATTCTATTATTATTCATAAAGATGCCTTGTGTCGACCTCATAAATTCATTATGACACCAATTATTTCAAATACCAACCCCAATTTGTACACTCTGGTTCTTTAGAAATCAGCTTTGATGTTTTGCATTGATAATTATGTTACTTTACTTGTGTGAGTGAAATTATGTTTGCTTCGGCAATTTAACGTTACACGGCCTGTCTATCATCACAGACAAGGCTATGACAGCTACATCAACAGAAAATGAAACCCACAATTAAGATGGCAACAACAAGATTAATATTGATGATGACTTCCATGGTTGTCAATATGTACAAATATCACACCAACTTTGATGAAAGAAAATTAATATCATCACCGTCACTGGATGAGATAAAGTCAGGCGTTGATCAAGGATTCCAAACAAATCGCAGGTAAATTGGGAAACAATCATCATATTTTTCAAAATTGGATTTCTTAATGTTCATGTTTTTGTGAATCCTGAAGAATTGGAAAATTTTGAATTCAAATTGGAAATTTTTACTGTCATTTCCTGCAGCTCTTTTGAGCAGGGGTAAATGAAAATCCTTGATATGGCAAATAGTGAGTGAGTATGGTTTTACACCTTTTAGCAATATTCCAGCAATATCACGGCGGGGGACACCGGAAATGGGCTGATGTTGCAAATAGGGAAACATTTGTTATATTGCTTCTCCATCAGCATGTATTAACAACGTCCAATCGATTGAAAAAATACTACTTTAGGACCCCAGGAAATTATGAAAAGCTGTGTACCATGCATAATCTTCGTGCATCACGTAAGGGCAACACGTATAAATACAGTTTACAACTGGTCTGGTGAATTTTTCAAATATTTCCCACAAGAATATGTTTTGTCAAAGTGGAAAAGTAGAGATGTGTTTTAAGTAGGGGAATATCCTCGTAATGCTGCATTCCTTAAAAATAATGGGTCACGGGTCCATTATTTATAAGGAATGGAAAGTTACCTGGACATTCCCCTCCAGGTTGCCAACTAAAAGACTTGTTGGTCAAACCTTGAAACATATTCCTGAGGCAAGAGAGTTAACTGACTATAAAAGTCCAGTTTCCACCCTTTCCGAACTAGGCTGTAATTCCTGGGCTCGATCCTAGCGCCACCAGTGGTTATTACGAGTCATGTCCCTTCCTATGGACCAATCAGATTCCACCTCTCATATAATTTGCATTTGTATCAAACAAAAGGGCGGCGCCCAGTCAAGACGATCTGATTGATAATCTATAGTTCTATAGTGTGATAAAACGGGTCTTACCTTGCGATCTGCATCAAATTAAGTGAGCATCTTGATTAAAAACATGAAAATATTTGGAAAATATTTGTTGACGAGTTGGTGGTGTACATACTTTGCAAATCCTGCAATCGACCGTAATGTACATGACAGTACTGACTGGATTTCAATTTCGTTGCGCGATTTTGATTAGACTATGCATAGACTCATTAGTCCAGCCAAAATGTAACTCCATAAAACCAGCCTAGTTCGGCAAGGGTGGAAACTGGACTAATAAAGTCAGTTAACTCCCTTGTTTCGGGAAGATGCCCTTGAAATGAATAATGATTATATTTGGCCCACCTCTCTGCTGGTGATCACCTGGCCCTGCTGACTGACAATGGCACCAATTTGACTGTCACGCGGCCGAGACTGGAAGTACGTCAAGGACTCCTCCTCCGACACCTTCTCCACGCTCCCCTCGACTCTCACCTGGTGGAAACATCCCCTCAGGTATAAAGTGAGTGAATGCAATATACACCAGATAAATCAAACAGACCATGTTGTATTCTGCGATTCCGTGGTCACAGATTATTTTGCAGAAATACCAGCTCGGTTCCGAAATGTACTTATCTTGCAGAAAATCATGAAACACTTGTGCAGAGCGTTGATAAGCTATACTATCCATGGTAGGGCTGGCTAAAAAGATCGATAATCAGAATTATCATCGATGAAAGAAAAATTAATGATAGGTAATCAATATGAAAATTAAGTGAGGGTAAGATTTATGGATGAGTGAGTGAGTATGGTTTTACGCCGCTTTTAGCAATATTCCAGCAATATCACGGCGGGGGACACCAGAAATGGGCTTCACACATTGTACCCATGTCAGGTATCGAACCCGGGTCTTCGGCGTGACGAGCAAACGCTTTAACCACTAGGCTACCTGACTGCCCCGATTTATAGAAGAACAACTTCTGTATTACAATTACAAGAGCGACGTTTTGGTGTAGGTTCTGACACCGCTGTCAAGCAAGTGATAATCAAAATTGTGCAATATTACATAAAATATTGTGATGAAATAAAGTTTAAAGTTACCGAAGCAGACTTGTTTTTGTCCACTGCCGACAACGGAAAGTATTTGATTTGGTTATACCTTAAATGTCCACAAAGTAATCCATGTTTAAATGTGTCACCACTCACCAGCGACCTGAAATATGATCTTTTGTCTCTGAGCTTTGCTCTGTATATTTGCAGAAAGTTTCTTCTCCGATATTTATTGATAATAGATTGATATTGAGTAAACGATTATTGATCTCTAAGATCTATATCGATAGCCAGCGCTAATCCATGGATATGTTTATCATGAAAAAGTCAGACAGGTGCCATACTATGACATTCCCGAAATAAAAGCTTAAAAGTTTGAAGAATTAGCTGCAGAATTTACAAACATTGACCAGAGATTTTTTAGTTTTTGGCTCATAGAGGGAATAGCATCATTGAGGGAATGGCATCATAGAGGGAATGGCATCATAGAGGGAATGGCATCATAGAGGAAATGGCATCATAGAGGGAATGGCATCATTGAGGGAATGGCATCATAGAGGAAATGGCATAGAGGAAATGACATCATAGAGGGAATGGCATCATTAATGGAATAGCATCATTGAGGGAATGGCATCATAGAGGGAATGGCATCATTAATGGAATGGCATCATAGAAGCAATGGCATCATAGAGGGAATGACATCATAGAGGGAATGGCATCATTGTTGGAATAACATCAAACTTTCAGTATTTTCTACCCTAACCATTAGGAAATGTGGTTACAACATGAGGATCAGTGCTAGGTTCTAATGCTGATGAGTCTATATCTCGCTGACAGTTAAGATTACCCTTCAGCTGATGCCATATATCTTAGCACAAGCAAAGTAGTTACAGTTATAAATGTCATACACAGAGGTTTGCTTTCAAATGTCATAAAAAACCCTGGTGATGGAAATACATAACCTTTGAAATTTGATTTTGCTCTTTTAAAGAGAAGCCAGTCTCACACACAATCCAATTTGTAGTCTGTCAGGTCGTCAACACTTCTCCAGTCTGCTAACTCAGGTTCATGATCTGTATCAATCTAGCAACAACTGACAACCATTTTTACAGAGAACTTGTCTCACCTACACACAGGAAACTCGACCGCCTCCGTGGTCTAGTGGTAGAGCGTCCGCCCAGAGAGCGGAAGGTCCGGGGTTCGATCCCCGGCCTCATCATACAAAAAGACGTTAAAAGATTGTACTTGTTGTATACTGTGTCTGAGTGGGGTATTCATGTTAAACTGCGGCATGGTATCTCAGTGAGCTAGCACTATAAATCGGTATCAGTCCGGACTAGTACAAGCAGCCACACACACACATACACGTGCATGCACATCGCTATATAAGTGTAATAATCTTGGACGCGACGTTAAACCCAATTTCACCTCACCTCACTACAGGAAACTCATTCCTGGATCTAGACGCAATCTTAATATGATGCCTCGCTGCATGACGATCTGACAGCCTCCCACAACAAGCTGATTCAGGTAAACCTTGAACAAACTTTGACCTCCGCCCAGTCGAAATGACGTGTACGTGGCATTTTGAGTGAGTATTGTTTTATGCCACTTTTCGCAATATTTCTGCAATATCATGGTGGGGAACACCAGACATGTGCTTCACACATAGTACCCATGTGGGAAATGAACCTAAGCTGTCAGAATAATGGGCAAATGAGAATGAGAATGAGAATTAAGAATCTTTGATGCAGATTGGCTGATTAGACAATTCATCTGACAAGGCCTCTGGTGGAGATGTCCTGAGATCTTCACGCACAGAGGTGTTTTGTATTGGAGTTCTGAGTTTAATGAGATGTAGGTGAGTTGAGGTGAAATGGGGTTTAACATCACGTCCAAGATTTTTGCACTTATATGGGTTATTATCAAAATATGTCAGTAATCTTTATCTTTCATAAAGTCTGAGGCTGCCCTTTACTTTCATCAATAACATTTCAGCGGGGAACCAAATTAAAACATTTGCCTTATCAGTGCTTTATTTGCTTGTGGTGGAGTTGTATATAGTCTGAAATTGTTGAAATATCACTGTCAACAGACACCAAATGGTTTTTACAGTGAACATGTCCTTGGTGTTACCTAATATGTCCTTGGTGTTACCCAACATCTCCTTGTGTTACCCAACATGTCCTTGGTGTTACCCAACATGTCCTTGGTGTTACCTAATATGTCCTTTGTGTTACCTAATATGTCCTTGGTGTTACCTAATACGTCCTTGGTGTTACCTAATACGTCCTTGGTGTTACCCAACACGTCCTTGGTGTTACCCAACATGTCCTTGGTGTTACCCAACATATCCTTGGTGTTACCTAATATGTCCTTGGTGTTACCTAATATGTCCTTGGTGTTACCCAACATGTCTTGGTGTTACCCAACATGTCCTTGGTGTTACTAATATGTCCTTGGTGTTACCTAATATGTCCTTGGTGTTACCCAACATATCCTTGGTGTTACCCAACACGTCCTTGGTGTTACCCAACATGTCCTTGGTGTTACCCAACATATCCTTGGTGTTACCTAATATGTCCTTGGTGTTACCAAACATGTCCTTGGTGTTACCCAACATATCCTTGGTGTTACCCAACATGTCCTTGGTGTTTCCCAACATATCCTTGGTGTTACCTAATATGTCCTTGGTGTTACCCAACATGTCCTTGGTGTTACCTAATATATCCTTGGTGTTACCCAACATGTCCTTGGTGTTTCCCAACATATCCTTGGTGTTACCTAATATGTCCTTGGTGTTACCTAATATGTCCTTGGACGGACTTTGAATGGGCAGTGGTTAAACATGTCTTGTGCCATTGAAATTACAACTCTTTAATCAAATCAACATTTAAATTTGTATTAGATTAGATGTAAATTAGATTTGTATCAAAACACTCTAACTTAGGGATAGATGAAGCTAAATGTCTTTGGTGTTACTTAATATGTCCTTTCGTGTTAAACATGTCTTGTGCCATTGAAATTACAACTCTTTAACCATATCAACACACAGGAACTCGATGATAGCGTGTATAGCATAATAAATTTGTATTAAAAAAATCACACCCCTCCATATACATATAGATAAGGAGTGACCCCCGCTGAGGTAAACAAGAAAAAGGAGGCCGGAAATTACGGCGCTACACGGGCTTGAACTCAGCGAATGTTCTCTGTTCTATTTGTTAAGTTAAGAAGTGGGAATTTTCAAGTTTTATTTTTGTTTATTCAACAGGACCAAAAGGGGTACAAATTTTGATAATGTGTGCGTGCGTGAGCTTGTACTAGTCCAGACTGATGCCAATTTACAGTGCTAACCCACTGAGATACCATGCCGCAGTTTAACATGAATACCCCACTCAGACACAGTATACTGACTCCGAGCCAACCAGTCCTTGTTTTAGCCCCTAAACGCTGAGTGCCAGGCAAGGTAACAACAAGTACATTCTTTTAATGTCCGGGGACCGAACCCTGGACCTTCCGCTCTCTGGGCAGACGCTCTACCACTTGACCACAGAGGTGGTCTTCATGAGATGAAGACCAAGACTAGAAATGAGAACAATGGTGAGTGAATTGCAGGTCCACTCAGGAGATTTTACTGGTGCCTCTAACACTGTCCTCAACCATGAGTTGGAGCTGAGCTGTGAATTTTGTTCCAATTAAGCTGCATTCAGTGATATTTAAGGCTTCGTATGTATGTTCAGGGTTTGTTTTGTTGTTTGTGTTTTTACCCTGCACTCAGTGTTGAGTCCAGACTAGACAATCCAGTGATTGACATCATGAGCAATGGGGATAATGATGACATGCATCAATCAAGTCAGCGAGCCTGACAACACAATTCTGTAAAGATGCCTCTTATAACAAGCATGGGTTGCTGAAGACCATTTGTAACCTGGCTCTTCATTGGGAGAGACAAGCATGGGTTGTGTGGACTGGTGAAGACCAATTTTAACACAGATCTTCATGAGGGGGGACAAGCATGGGATGCTGAAGACCATTTGTAATCTGGCTCTTCATTGGGAGAGACAAGCATGGGTTGTGTGGACTGGTTAAGACTAATTTTAAGACAGGTCTTCATGAGGGGAGACAAGCATGGGTTGCGTGGACTGGTGAAGACCAATTTTAACGCAGATCTTCATGAGGCCATTTGTAACCTGGCTCTTCATTGAGGGAGACAAGCATGGGTTGAGTGGACTGGTGAAGACCAATTTTAACACAGATCTTCATGAGGAGAGACAAGCATGGGTTGCTGAAGACTGTTTCAAACATGGATCTTCACTGGGGTGAGACTTTCTGACACACTAGACTTGAACAGATGAACAGGTACAATACATACATGGGTTGAGTGGACTGGTGAAGACCAATTTTTACAATACATACACATCTCTTCAGGGGCTCCCAGTAGAACATGAGACTGCACCTAGGGTTCTCCTCCTGCAATATATATAACACAGACTTAATCTCACGTCACATCAGCACTGTATTCCAAAAAAAAAAAGGTAAACAATACAACATTATTCAAATTGTGATTTGTACATCTTAAAGGGGTACGGGTGGCCCTGTCATCACTGCACTGCAATTTAAAGTACAGAGTTGCTTCCCTTAGGTGGGCCAGAATCCTATGATCATGGTTTAGAATTCCAGAGTCTCTCCCTTAAGTCCAATGGATTAAATAGCTATGCAATTGAATAACTTCTGAGCACGCTGAGTGAGAGAAATGTTGTGCTCCGTTAGAGATAGAAGCGATGGAGGTGGTGACACCAGTCTAGTTGCAAATGGAGTCAGTGTATTCATAAAAATAGAACCAGATGTTCTGATAACATTTCGAGGTTTGTCAGCACCAAATCCACAATCATGGGATTCACAAAAGCGGTAAATGTCTGCATCAAGCTTTCCTTAACACCACAGAAATTTTGTTTAGAGCAGCTTTGAACACAACTCACTGCAACCTTAATTACCCAATGATATAAAAAAAATTCAAATTGTTGTGTCCTAGGTATTCATATTTTATGACAAAGTTCTTAGAATGTGTCCTACCAGTTCTTTTGCCTTCCTGCTCTGGTAGTTTGTGAAGAAGGTGAAGCCCTCTGTGCTGAAACCTTTGAGTAAGACCATTCTGACCGATGGCGCACCATTCCTGAGGAAGTATGGAATTATTTTTTCAAGTTTGGCTGGATATGTAATGCCACAACGGCAGCCTGTAAGTATTGTTTGTTTGTTTGTTGTTTAACGCCACACTCAGCAATATTCTAGCTATATGATGGCAGTTTGTAAATAATGGAGTCTGTAAGTCACAGACAGATCACAGAGCTCAAGATAAGCTTTTGGTGTTGTGGGTATTTTACCCATGCATTTTAAAATCATTGGGTATCAGTAATTCTATCTGCGTATTCAAATTTCTGTTACCCACTAGTTTTTACACATGTGGGTATTTAAGTTAAATATTTAAAAACACTATTCATCTAGTCCCTGCAAACTGGTGTTGTGTGGGTTCGAGAGCTTTATAGGACTCAAAAATACCACGATACTTCCACAAGAAAGTGTGATGGCAAATGATCACGATGATGTCATCGTGGAGTTTGGCAAGGTTGACGGAATGCCCGTTTATAATTTAAAAATAAGTTGCTGATTTGCTAATCGAATACGCAGGGTTACTTCACAATATTTTGATGATACGCACAAGTTTTATTTTTGTAGCGTATCTGTAATGTTCGTTGCCTATTTGATACGCTTGGATTATATTTTACTGTGTATTTCTGCATTTCTGATGCATTTCTGACACGCAGATACGCAGCTTATCTGGAGCTCTGAGATCAGGTAAATACTAGGGCTGGGACGGGTAACTCGAGTACCCGGTTCGGGTGGGTACTGAGTAGGACCCGGGTACCCACAGGACTACCCGGACCCGTGGTTAGTCACGTGATATATTGTTTCATGACAAAAATGCACTATACAACTACATGGTTACACGATAATTTTAAGTCTCTATTGTTCATATTTCTTTATGACTATGAACACATTCCTTCTGACTTATTTAAGGATTGACTGTGTATTTTTTTCGGTTCATTGAGGTATGAATCGAAAAGCCGATATGCAAACTGTATGAATCCGCGTAGCGGATTCTTACAAAAGTTTGCACATCGGCTTTTCGATTCATACCTCAATGAACCGAAAAAAATATACAGTCAATGCTTATAATTAAATTCGACAACGTAAAACATGTTTTATCTACAATAGTTTAACCCAAAACAGTTGCATATAGCAAAACAGACAAAAATGACGACATTGATAAACATTCCAGGTGTAGGAATACATACAGTGGCCTGACATGAATCAGGTGATCGTTTAATTTATGCACATAACTTGACACGCCTACACAGTCAGTAGCCAATCAACGGAGAGTGGGATTAAAACAATGTTCATTTGACCTGTCAATTAAGGCAAGAGGCGAAAAGAACTGCAACAGTCAGACTGTAACGAACCGGAAGAAATATGTCCGAGAGAAGGCGGCAGTTTCAAATAGCATGGTCATTTACTGCGTGATTCAAACATTACTTCCCTGATTACGGTAAATCACAGTTGGAGAAATGCTAGTTATAAATGAAACCCGAAGACATGAAAGTTGAACCGGGGCGAGCGGGAATAAAACAGGCGAGCGAGCCTGCACGTTTGCTGTTTCATTCATTCTCGGCCATCGGTTTCAAAGGGTAGTTTGGACAATGAATATGCATGAAAGTCGCTAAATGTCCTGTGCATGACGATACACGTGATCAGAAAGGGAATTCCCTCGACTGTAATATTGGGATTCCCCGACATTCCGAAGTAATAAAAGTAGTGCGCCGCGGTGGGCGTGGCTTAATTTTTTACGTTCATTGGGAAATGAATGCAATAACACGTGACCAATTCAGCTAATCAGAATGCAGGAATTTCCATGAACACAACGAAAATTTAATTATATATGTTTGAACAAAGCTAAAACTTGAGTCAACTTCAGTGTATGCATGACCACATCGTTTTATACGTGTATCTAGATACATTCTGCCAGGGCTACTGTCAAGCTATTCCCAATCGGACATTTTGTACCTATCTCTCGTCACCAACAGCGGGTACCCGGGTAGGGTTGGGTAATAGGGGTGTGGGTACCCGGGTAGTAAATTTGGACTCGTCCCAGCCCTAAGATCCCAGCCCTAGTAGGTCAACATTAAAATGCAAGAGATAAAAAAAAGTTTAAACCCTTCCATTTCAGAGTTTTCTTTAAAAAGATTACCATGTCCACATTTACATTTACCCACTGGTTGGACACTCAGCCAACAAGATGAAAATGCATGATTTTAAAAAAACCAGTATGCCAGTAATTTCCACATGTACTGTGATACGTTTTCATTACAATTTCATTAAATCAGATCTAAGTTCTCGCTGCAGCTAAACAAAGATCTGAGGACATCCCATTACGGGTCACGTCAGAATGACCTTATGCGAACTTTGACCGACCACTGAAATGACTAACCAGAAGTCGACATCAGTCAATTAGAAAGCAGCTTTCTCAAGCTTTACGGCACCCTGGCGACTTCCATTTCAGACTATGCTTGAAAAATATCTTGTCACGGTACTCGATTAAAAATTTGAAAATTGAACAAACAAACATTCTGGAATGTCTAATATGTGTTGGAGATAGTATGGCAGTGCTTCCCACGTACTGTGCAACTCCTCTTTCATTCAAATGTTTCTCCCATGGAAGCGAGATATAGACGATGATTTCGACGGAATCAGTCGTACGGTCTGTAACTGTCGTTCGGAATACCCCATGTTAAAGTTTGCATGATCAGAAAACACATTCCGACTGTCACTTTCATGATCTGGTAAGCGACGCTTAGATTGGTCGGATGAAAGGTCGTTCTGACATGACCCGTAATGGGGTGTCCTCAAATCTTTGTTTAGCGATAGCGAGAACTAAGATGTGATTTTAATGAGATTGTATTCATTAATATTTCAAATCACTGTATACCGGTAATACCAGGCACCTTGGTATGATCTTTTACTTATTGCCAATTTTTGTTAGCGCTATAGCCTGACCTTGCAGCAGTAGCCAGTGACATGGCATTTGCCTCTATCCCATCTACTGCGCTGGCCTCGTCAAACCAATGGCGAAACTGTTCGAATGGCTCCTTGGCTACCAGATGCTGGACATCAAATAATTCTTTTTGAGTTCGGTATGGCTTTCTCATTCCTGGAATCAAAACAGCAAATTATCGTGTACTATTAAAAGGTAAAGAGTCTGTGTAAGGTCGTTGTATCTCTAAAAGATAAACTTAGTTTGAAAAAGAGACGTAAACAAACTCCAAACATATGCAATTCATGATAAGGCTAAAAAAAATAATAGTCTTGGCTCTCGGGCACCACTCGCATCATCATAAAGTCTGCTGCACGTTTTGTTTTTAATTCCATTTAAAAAATAATTAAAAAATCCTAATACTTAAACACAAAGCACACAAAAAATTGAAAAAATGAAACATGCAATGATCTTTATGATAATGTGGGCAGTGCTGGAAAGTGAGAACCAAGACCATTATGTTTTTTAGCCTATTACTGATGGCTCGATTATGCTGATTTAGACACGATGAGGAGCATTACCTCACTCTAACCAGAGCTCCAGATAAGCTGCGTATCTGCATAAAATATGCATCAGAAATGCAGAAATACGCAGTAAAATAAACTCCAAACGTATCAACATTACAGATAAGCTACAAAAATAAAACTTGTGCGTATCATCAAAATATTGTGCAGTAACCCTGCGTATTCGATTAGCAAATCAGCAACTTATTTTGAAATTATAAACGGGCATTCCGTACATTGCCAAACTCCTCGATGACAGTTACATCACGATCATTTGACATCACACTTTCTTGGGGAAGTACCGTGGTATTTTTGAGTCCTATAAAGCTCTCGAACCCGCACGACACCAATTTGCAGGGACTAGATGAATAGTCTTTTTAAATATTTAACTTAAATACCCAAATGTGTAAAAACTAGTGGGTAACAGAAATTTGAATACCCAGACAGAATTACTGATACCTAATGATTTTAAAATGCATGGGTAAATTACCCACAACACCAAAAGCTTATCTGGAGCTCTGCTATACCCCCTCAACGGGTATACTGTCATATACACTCTACAAGCTAGCAAGCTGTCACTGTCTGTGGAACTTTCAACATTTCCTTCAAGTTCAAATTTCATACCCAAAACTTTGCTCAACCCTACATTCTACATCCTGTCGGTGCATCCATTCATCCGTCACATTTTGTTTCCTGAGCATAACTCAGAAAACTGCTCAATATCTTACTGCATAACTTTGCATATGAATCAAACACATATGCTATACTGGTGCCTTTTGCTGTTTTGGTATAAAAAAATATTTTTTGGTTTGTCCAGTGTCTTTGGTAAGAAACGGGACTTAGATTCAGCATTTGTTCCATAGCCGGAAACCGCATGATATGTCATTATGAAACTTTGCGTATGTTCACAACACATGCTGAACTGGTGCCTTTTGATATTTCTAAACATGCTAAACTGAACATTTTTTGTTTCCTTGGCAACAAACTGGATTTCCACACAGATATACGTAGCATTTGTTTCTGGAGACTGGAAACTGATTAATATTACATTATGAAACTTTGTACATATGTATCAAACACATACTGAACTACTGCCTTTTTGCAGTTTCCTTGGCAACAAGATGGCCTTATCCCAAATACAGGTTACTTTCATTACCATGATTACTAGAGCGTAACTTCGCAAGTCATCAGATGATGCCAAACACCCCCCCAGCCCCCACAATAGCAAAAGGCACCACTTCAGACCCTGGTTTATACATGTATTTACAGGCCCCTGTCACATAGCTGGAATATTGCATCGTGCGACATTAAAAAACAATACTACCATGAATTTGGAATTTACTCGATTCTGATTGGTCAATCAGATGCTATTAAATCAAATGAACCACCTCTGATTGAAACAGATGGTTTGACGGCCGCATCACCCGGAAGCTAATATTCATAGAATAGTACTATTTTCAGTCATTGTTGGTAGGCATATTTAAATAATTATATCTACAATTACAGGTTACAAAATACACAGATGCGGTTACTACAATATATATATGTGTGGCAATACATTTCGTGCAGAAAACACGATAGAAATCTACAAAGGGAATGTATTTACGTTTTGGAGACAACAGAGAGCTTGGAAATTTGGCGCTTTTCTATATACGACTGTGACGTCATATCATCTTTTGCATCACAATGAGAGATATGATGTCATAATGGTGACGTGCGATGTAGAGCGAAAGCCTTGCAAAGCTTGCTTTGTTTTCTTTAGGGATGCCCACCTCATGTTAGCTTACCAAGTTGCCGTGCTTATATGCTTTCAATGCCTGTCATGTGTTCGAGTGAAGTATTACAGTGTAAACAAACTGCTTGAGTATATACAGCACAATATTTTGTTCGGTGATTTCGTAATTCAGATCAGTATATTTGCTAACTCCAAAGAGTTCGTGTTTTATTTAGTCATGGTAGAATGGAGATAAATATACTGTGTTTTCAGTGTAGAGCTAGGTTACCTGTAGATTTAACCGTGCTAAATTGAATTTGGAACCGAACGCACAGCGTGAGGTTTCAAATGTTAAATTTAGCGTGGTTAAATCTACAGGTAACTGTAGTGTTTTAGTAACATATAACCAGTCACTCGCTTTATCCATACAAGGGGCGGTCGGGTAGCCTAGAGGTTAAAGCGTTCCCTCGTCACGCCAAAGACCCGGGTTCGAATCCCGACATGGGTACAATGTGTGAAGCCCATTTCTGGTGTCCCCCGCCGTGATATTGCTGGAATATTGCTAAAAGCGGCGTAAAACCATACTCACTCACTCACTTATCCATACAATGTATCTAGATAAATGAGTGTGCATGTGTAACAGTGCCGGAAGGGTGTGTGTTGTGCACTAGCAGACCACATGGCTGCCGACTGCACTTGACTGAGTGTATTTACATGTAATGAGATAATACACCCTTTCCCCGGAAAGCCGAGTGTTTGTTGTAGCTACCAAAGTTATCACAGTAACCTAGCTCTACATTGAAAACACAGTATGTTTATCTCCTAAACAAACAAACATGTACCAAGCATTCATGAAACCCCTTTCACGGTTTTCAAGTTATGGTCTGGAAAAAAAAATATGGACAGACAGACAGACCAGGTAAATACTAGGGCTGGGACGGGTAACTCGGGTACCCGGTTCGGGTGGGTACTGAGTAGGACCCGGGTACCCATAGGACTTCACGTGATATATTGTTTAATGACAAAAATTATCTAGAACTCTACACTAGTACACTACAAGTCACTAATGGTTGCATTTCTTTCTGACTGTGCACCCACTCCTTCCGATTTTTCATGTGGTTGAAAAAGATATAACTTATTCAACTTCAGTGTATGAATGACCAGATCTCAATACGTATCACAAAATGTTTTGCCAGGGCTATGCTAACAATGTTCCCAATCTGACATTTTGAGACATCTCCTGATACCTACAGTGGGTACCCGGGTATGGTCGGGTAAAAGGGGGTTGGGTATACCGGGGTAGTAAATTTGGACTCGTCCCAGCCCAAGTAAATACTAGGGCTGCAACGAATACACTATGAGGCGAATACGATTCATATCACGAATATAAGGTAACGAATAATATTAATTCACAATTACAATAACAAGTCAGCAGTTTATGTATTATTTATTATATTCAGTGAAAAAATAACATCATAATTTATTTGACATGGTTTGTTAATTATTAATAAAATATACATTTAAATTATATACTGCACTTATCCAGGTACTAGTATCTGCTCAAATGCGACAATGACCAGTGAAAACAATACTATCAAATTTAATATTATTAGAGTGTTGTCATTGAAAGAAATCTATGCATATAATATGTAGTTATTGATATTTTTAGGTACAGGGTATGTAAATATACATGATAGCATATTCATAAATATTCTATTCTAGTGGCCATGAATAACGAATTCAATTCATGAATTGTTACGGTTTGATTCACTGAATACGCGAGTGAATCGTAACAGCCCTAGTAAATACTATATCCCCCACATTATATGCCAGGGGGATAAATATCAGATGGGTTGTAGTGTTCATTTCTGGATCATATATCCATAAATTTCTTCATGTATTATACTTAAAACTTTATACTCATTTTACCCATATTAACAGAGCACTGAAATTGTCATGCTATTTTGGATTTTCTACGAAAAGATCAACGCAGTTGTCAGAGAACCGTTACCATTATATAATTACCCAATTAAGAAGAATAACACTTGACTACCGATGGTATTCGATTGGCGTCGTCTATCTATCAACGGTTCTAGATATAAAAATCTTGTGAACAATTTTATAAATTAAAACATGAGGAACAAACACGTCGATGAATCTGTAACATGTACAGCAGCTGCTGGTAGCGCTAATATGTCACGTACAGCCATTCATATTGTGACAATTTCAAATGTGGGTCACCATCACCATATTTAGTCACGTCGCATTGATAATACTGACTGAGTATGGTTCTACGCCGCTTTTAACAATATTCCAGCAATAACACGGCGGGGGACACCAGAAATGGGCTTCACACATTGTACCCATGTCGGGAATCGAACCCGGGTCTTCGGCGTGACGAGCGAACGGTTTAACCACTAGGCTACTCGACCGCCACCATTGATAATACACGGACACACTGAGAAGCACAATACACAAGCCCCCGCGTCTGACACTCAAAACGCCTTCCTGTTTTCATCAATTGTTAGGCATACGATTTACCTGTCCTAAACCTAGGCATAATTCAGGTGGCATATCAGCTTAGATATATCAGTCATTACCTGAAATATCCCCTGACATGTTTCGTGTTTGGAGGTAGGAGGTCTTGTGCAAATTGGTGAGACCAACTTTAATCAGACGTCGTGCCACTGCACTCATGCAGCTGAATTATGAAACTCCTGTCACGTGCGAGATACCGAAGTTCAAGTTTCCGGATGTTTACAAATTTCAGCGCATGCGTTATATAAGCTTCCGTTATAGTTGTTTGTACGGTTTGACATGCGACTATTTATATTCAATTAAGTTATCCGATTGCGTTTCTTGTGGCAGAGGTGGTTTGTGCATCCTCACTTTCCAAGAAATATGCTATGATATTATCTATAAGAGCACGGATATAAGTGAAATTATTTTCAGTACTTCTTCATGAGCATTATAGCTATATTGCTCCATTGTTTCATTGTTTGCGAAGAAGGGGTCCAAAGCAATGTCACGTCAAATGAAAGCATTGTCGCAAATTATAGTAGATGACGTCATCCATTGTTTATAACGTTTTGAGAATTTCATTTGACGTCGTGCAAATAATTATTGAGCTGATGACAACAAAATACTGAAAAGACAATTTTTCATCTGGATTTAAGAGGGAAACGAAAAAATTATTCGCTGTAGATGCTGGGTGTCCTTCAAAATATTTGTTGTGCTAAAACGTTTTGTTTTTTGGCTCTTCCCAGAGAAGCAGTAACCGAACAAAACATACTGCCTCTACTCTCACCAAATGGACACCCGCCCTTCTACCCCTGTTTTTTAAAGATCGGTCCCTAAACCAATATCAGTTCTCCTATTCAGGAATATTGTAAGATGTCAGTTTGAACGGGCGCTGGAAACACCAGGAAATCTAATTTTTATTTCAACATTTTCTCAGAAAAAGAAACTGCGGGTAACATAATACGACAATCTCATTGAAATCAGGTCTAGGTTCTCTCTGCCGCTAAACAAAGTTTTGTTTAACAGTAGCGAAGACTAAGATCTGTTTAAAATATGACTGCGTAAACAAAAACATTCAAGCGACGACAAATTACAGAGTATCTGTCCCTCGTGAATTTGTGTTGAAAGCACAACATGTATTCGACCCGTGAAGATTCCGGGGTAGAATAGGTCTTCAGCAACCCATGCTTGCCGTAAAAGGTGACTATGCTTGTCGTAAAAGGCGACTAACGGGATCGGGTGGTCAGTCTCGCTGATTTGGTTGAAGCATGTCATCGATCCCAATGGCGTGGATCGATGCTCATGATATTCATCACTGGATTGTCTGGTTGACTCGATTATTTACAGACCGCCGGCATATAGCTGAGTGTGGCGTTAAACAACAAACCAACCAACACAACATGTATTCACTTGAAAGACTCGAAACTTACAAGAGTTGCTTGCAACTAAAGGTTTTTCCCTTTCCTGTTCTATCATTAGGGTTTGGTCATCTTGTGACTCATACTGAAACAGATAGATGGCAAACACGCACAAACACAAAGACACGGGCACAGAGAGAGAGAGAGAGAGAGATAAATACACAGACACACACACATGCACACAGACATGCCACATGCAGAGCCACATACACGCACATATACACACACAGACACACGCACATACACGCACATATACACACACATGCACACAAACATATGCCACATGCAGAGCCACATACACGCACATATACACACACAGACACACGCACATACACGCACATATACACACACATGCACACGCACATACACGCACATATACACACACATGCACACAGACATATGCCACATGCAGAGACACATAAACGCACATATACACACACAGACACACGCACATATACACACACATGCACACAGACATATGCCACATGCAGAGACACATACACGCACATATACACACACAGACACACGCACATACACACACATGCACACAGACATATGCCACATGCAGAGACACATAAACGCACATATACACACACAGACACACGCACATACACGCACATATACACACACATGCACACAGACATATGCCACATGCAGAGACACATACACGCACATATACACACACAGACACACGCACATACACGCACATATACACACACAGACACACGCACATACACGCACATATACACACACAGACACACGCACATACACGTCATCTTCCCGAGGGACGGGAGTTAACTGACTGTAAAAAAGTGGAGACTGGACTTTTATGGTCAGTTAACACTGTTGCTTCGAGAAGATGCACACACATAGACACATACATTCACACATACAAACTAACACATATACATATGCACACAAACACACACATAAATACTGACACTAACATACACACACATGCAGACACACCTACACAGACACACAAACGCACACTAACACACACATGCATGCGCACAAACACATACATGCATACTGACACATACGTGCACACTAAAACACACATGCACACATACGTTTTTATTTGTTTTGTTTTGTGTTTTTGTTTAAAGCCGCACTCAGCAATATTCCAGCTATATAACGACGGTCTGTAAATAATCAAGACTGGACCATACAATCCAGTGATTGAAATCATGAGCATCGATCAACACAATTGGGAACGATGACATGTATCAACCAAGTCAGCGAGCCTGACCACCCGATCCCGTTAGTCGCCGCTTACGACAAGCATAGTCGCCTTTAACGGCAAGCATGGGTTGCTGAAGACCTATATTCTACCCCGGATCTTCACATTTTTTAAATATCTGTACACACACACACACACACACACACACACACACACACACACACCAAGAAACATATACACTCCTGCACACACCTTTCACAAATCCTGGATCCGCCAAAGGTACATCAGGTTTCAGGCAAGTTGGAGCAGGGAGCCCACCGATTTATTATTATATTTCAACAACTTTTACTTTTTCATCTGTTTAACGCCCTCCAACCGCAGGCCAACATCGACATAATTATGACGATATATGGCAGAGTATTTGCTGCGAAAGCAAATATGGGATTATTATAATTTTATATTTCAGATACCAGATTTGACGTAATAAGCGCCCAGGGCGCTCTCAAAATTAGAAATAGGGGGCTCTTATTAAAATATAATTTTGGTGGGAAAAACAGATCTTAATTTTCATGGTTTATGCTAACAGCCTCAAAATGAAACAAAAGAAAAGTCTGTGCGTATTATACACGACAGATACATTTTCCAAAAATTAATTGCCCATAATTAAGGGTGCATATAACACACGAATGCGCATTATACACGAATAAATAAGCCTTGTGTACATTGATCAATCGGAAGGGGTGCTAATTGGGATTGTTCACTTCTAATATATTAGCAAATATCGCCGTGGGCGTTTATTAGAGCGCGGGCGCTAATTACGTCGAATACGGTATATGCTTTTCAGTTTGTTTGTTTTTACACGTCTCTCGAAAAGTTTCCGAATCAGTGCCATTGATGACGTGGGACAATTGGACAGGGCCCTTGCTACACCCCACCCCAAATTCACACCCCCACGATGTAGCCTATGTTCGCTCCTCACCCCACCCCCATCCCCTCTGAGAAATGCTCCCAGTCCACCGGGAAATAAAGGCATGCGAATTTTAACTGCAGTCATTGTCGATTTTATAGAAAATACTTTGAACGTGAAAAACCTGTTAGCCGATATTTTGCCGCCAATATGATATGAGGCCAGAGTTCGTCAAAAACGAGTCATCTGTTGTTGACTTGGCGTATTAGTTGTTCTACAAGTAGCCCATGTATTTTTCACGTACACTGCGCATGCGCTTCAGAAAACCCCGCCAAACTCGTTCCACGTGGGTGATTCAGTCGACGAGTGTAACGTAATAACTGGTGTTCAGTCATGGCACAGCTGGTAAGATATAGCGTTTTTCTGCACAGTATTTGTAAATAGTGCTATTCGGGGGCTTATTATCATGTTTGTAGAGTGTGTTATTATATATTTTTTTCAAATATGGAACCATACAGAGGAGACTTGACCCATATCCATCTGTGTTGTCAATGCATGGTGATTGATTTTGTGGTAATGTCATATCAGAAATTTATTTTTGATGGCTAGTGCTTTAAATATTCAAAGTAGTTTGCAACATAAAGAGAATATATGTAGTTAACATCAATAAATAAGTGAACGCCAAATTGCCAGGTTAGTAAATAGCCTAGTTCCTTTACCTCGACTCGAAACAAAAGCAATCGTCATATGGCGGGAATAAATGTCATTCTCAGGAAGTGAGTGACAGCCGACTCAGAAATGCACGTTTGTTGATTGCATGTTTGTAGTTGGAGAAACACACTTTAACCGATTGAAATATGTGTGATTTGGGGAAATTCTATGGATAATTAGATGGACAACTGTGTCCAGACACAAATTTTGTTAATTTGGCATAATCAGCCACAAATAGTTTTTGAAACATGCTAGAGGATGCGCCTGGCCACACTTTTTTAAAACTACTGTTATCCTTCCAACGAGTATTTTTGGTAAATTGTCTGTATCCTGTCTAAAATGTTGTTAATAGCTAGATCTATTATCATGAGCATGACAAAAATTTGTACTTGAAATAATATATCCTTGTGACAATGGCTGTGACTAGTACAAATTTAATACATGGGTACCAGACCCCAAATTACCCGACCCTACCCGGGTAGACTCGACCCACTGTAGGCCTTACGAATTGGGTATAAAAGTCTGATTTGGAATTGTTTTACGGCACCCCGGCAAAAAATATTTAGATACGAGTATCAGACGATCAGATTATGTGTTCACTGAAGTTGACTAAAGCTTTATCTTTACTCAAACATATACAAGTCAAAATGAATGTGTGTATCATCAGAAAGAAATGAGCTATAGTGAGTTTTTGTCATTAAACAAAATAACACATGACTAACGACGTGTCTGGGTTGTACTATGGGTATCCGGGTCCAACTCAGGACCCACCCAGCCCGAGTTACGCGTCCCAGCCCTACTCGTGTCGTGACATGGAATTTGTAAAGTGGATCACTTTAGAAAAGTCAGTGGATGTTCATGGTAATATTTCTAAATTCAATTTCTTTAATGTCTCATATCTAAACTTATTAATGGCAACATTGCAACAAACCAGGGACAGCTTATTGCGTTAATTGACATAGACTGTGGCTCTCGTCTCACACATCTTGCATGCCTTCTTTTCGCAGACCAGAGCTCAAGATAAGCTCTTGGTGTTGTGGGTATTTTACCCATGCATTTTAAAATCATTGGGTATCAGTAATTCTATCTGGGTATTCAAATTTCTGTTACCCACTAGTTTTTACACATATGGGTTTTTAAGTTAAATATTTAAAAAGACTATTCATCTAGCCCCTGCAAACTGGTGTCGTGTGGGTTCGAGAGCTTTATAGGACTAAAAAATACCACGATACTTCCACAAGAAAGTGTGATGGCAAATGATCATGATGTAACTGTCATCGTGGAGTTTGGCAAGGTTGACGGAATGCCCGTTTATAATTTCAAAATAAGTTGCTGAATTGCTAATCGAATATGCAGGGTTACTTCACAATATTTTGATGATACACACAAGTTTTATTTTTGTAGCGTATCTATAATGTTCGTTGCGTATTTGATACACTTGGATTTGATTTTACCGCGTATTTCTGCATTTCTGATGCGTATTTTATGCAGATACGCAGCTTATCTGGAGCTTTGTCAGACCCTCCTATCTATTTGAATAAAAGGCATTGAATGGGTTTTAAATGAAGGTGTATTGGTATTTATATGCAAACGAAGAAACAAGATCATATTTAACATCGGTCGTAAGGAGAATACGGGTACAGACGCAATGGGAAACGAATAACTTGGGCTGTATCAGTCAAAAGCCGATTGTAGTTGATTGACAACGCCTATTCTGCAAACAATGGTCAGGTAAACAAATAAGCGACAAGCAAAGGAATTTCTTCTGGTCATGCTGACTTAAAACATCTTGACTATAGGTATAAAGCATAAAATCCATGACATTGAGCAATATGCATGACCCGTGAAGATCCGGGGTAGAATAGGTCTTCAGCAACCCATGCTTGCTGTAAAAGGCGACTATGCTTGTTGTAAGAGGCAACTAACAGGATCGGGGGGGTCAGGCTAACTGACTTGGTTGATGCATGTCATCGTTCCCAATTGCGTGGATTGATGCGCATTATGTCAGACATTGGATTGTCTGGTCCAGACTTGATTATTTTCAGACTGCTGTCATATAGCTGGAATATTGATGAGTGCGGCGTTATACAACGAACAAACCGAATTTGTTATCTAATGTGGCAGAAGTGTTTCCTCGTATCAATTAATGCAAATAAATGGGCATTAGTCGGATAGGGTCTTTAAACCGGTTGCCGGCAATCTTGGCAACTGTGTGGTGGCCAACACATGCACATCAGGATCTGGTAACAGTATATATTGATAAAATACATATAAATTATTGTAGTTGTCACATGCCAATCAGCCAGACAAATTCCTTACTGCTGACATTGACTGACATATTTTATTTTTGCCCCTGTTATATCAACAATTATTGGGCAAATACTAGATCTTGCTCAAAGATGTAAACAGTGAAAGAAATTATGAGTGAAGTAATTAATCTAACTCTATGATTCATAAGCTTTCCTGTGCGTGCACATCGTCCCGATTATGTTTCTAGGTTCAGGACCATACCCGTGCTTGTGGCTTTCACCGAAGTGGTAAACGTCTGAGACCTGCATCACTTCGGGCTTTCCTCCCACATAAAGCTGACACGCCGTGATATAACTGGAATACTGTTAAAAGTGGCGCTAATCCCAACTCACGCACTCACTCACTCAAGCTGGTGAGTTAGATACTCTATGTTGTGCTAGTTTGTTAAAATACACATAAGTGTCACATTTAACAGTTTTACATTTGGGAATTAAATATTAAACATCATCATCATCAGATCATATGAAGACTTACAATTCATTTATTAACTTAACTATGTCAAGTGTATTCCTCAACTTTTAAAATTTATTTTTTGTCAAATCTTGTGTGTCAGTTGCCCCAGCAACCTTTGCTAGTTGTAATGTAAGAGGCGACCAAATGGATCAGGCATGGATCACAATATTGATCACTGGATTGTCGGGTTCAGACTTGATTATTTACTCGCTGTCGTCGTACAGCTGGAATATTGCTGAGTGCAGCATTAAACAACAAACAAAACCTTGAGTTTACATGATGGATATTCTTCCTAATCATTTATGTCCCCATATTTCGCATCCTCAACATGCCCAAAAGATGGGTTTAATTATTTAATTTATTTTTAAAGATTGGTGGGATTTTCGTATAGCTGGATTATTGCAGAGTGTGGGGTTTATCAAACACTAAAAATATGTCAGTTGTATTCCTTATCTTCTTTATTTATTTTGATGTCATTACTGCATTCAAGTTAAGCCAGACCGCCGTCATATAGCTGGAATATTGCTGAGTGCGGCGTTAAACAACAAAACAAACAAAATCAAGGTAAGTCACTGATACCAGTTTGCCGTCTCCTTTCAGGCAAAGAAATTGGTATCGGAGTATGAGGCACTCCGCAACAAGAACTTGGCTGACAATCAGGCTGTGGTGAGGATTGTGTTTCCAGAATAATGTTTCCAGAATAATGTTACCATAGTTACTAGTCATGGCATTTGTTGTTTGATATTTTCCAGTCAGTGTTCCATTTTGGGCCAAATATTTGCATTTTCAGGTAACCATGGCAACATGGACCAAACAGGCCTGGGATGGCTGTTTGGGTTGTTTTTTTGTAAAATATTTTGTTTAATAATAATAAACACAGATGTCCGACTCTTGTTTTCGACTGATGTTGCTATAAATCTGTTAATCATTGGCTTCAAAAACATTTTAGTAGCTTTTAATATGTTAATATTGTTATGATTTCTCTTTCAGTTGGCAAAATTGATGGAAGATTTAAAGAAAAGCTTTCCACAAAAACCGCCACCAAGGGTAAGGTGTTATGTGGAGAAGGAGACATTATATATAGGGATCTGATATTTACCAGAGTTAGAAATTGGCACTAGTCCTATTGTCCGTGCCAAAATGCACAGTAGTTAAGGTATCCTAAGGCAAATGTAAGGACCAGTAGAAATTTTTCTTTTAAGGGTTTTACTATATGTTATCATTGTAAGGACGAGTGGACTAAAACTGTTAGTTTCTATCGCTGTTTTTTAGTATCAATGCATGTGCAGTGCTTTTAGTTGTGGGGAAATAAAGGGAGATGTGATCGAGATGGAACACCCAATCTCATTAAAATCAGATCTTAGTTCTCGCTACCGCTAAACAAAGATCTGAGGACATCCCATTAGGGGTCACGTCAGAACGACCTTTCATCCGACCAATGAGAGCGTCGCTTACCAGATCATGAAAGTTTTGTTTAGGTTTCAAATTTGTAATCGAGAATTTGTCAAAATATGTTTCGAAGCATAGTTGCCAATTTGAAATTAGTGCCGTAAAGCATGAAAAAGCTGCCTTCTGATTGGTCATTCCATTGGTCGGTCAAAGTTCGCGCAAGGTCGGTCTGACGTGACCTGTAATGGGATGTCCTCAGATCTTTGTTTAGCGGTGGCGAGAACTAAGGTCTGATTTTAATGAGATTGATGGAACACCTTTCAGGGATTTATCGACATTTTCAGAGACTTATATATACGACCCAAATTTTGCACAAATGTTGGTAACAATTCCCACAGTGGAATTCATGTTTCTGAATTTGTTATGGCTCAGTAGAGCTAAACTGGGCCGAGGGGCGGTTGTATAGCATAGTGGTTAAAGTATTCGCTCGTCACGCTGAAGACCTGGGTTTGATTCCCGACATGGGTACAATGTGTGAAGCCCATTTCTGGTGTCCCCAGTCGTGATATTGCTGGAATATTGCTAAAAGCGGCGTAAAACCATACTCACTCACTCACTATTTCACTGGGCCGATAAAGAGGAAGGGGCTTTGTTGTACATTTTCGCATTGAATAGAATATCAAAATACTTGTGAATTTAAATTAAAAGAATTCAAGAAAACAATTTCTACTAAAAGAAAATCCCAATTTTTGATAGGGCTGGCTATCTATACAGATCATAGAGATCAATAATTAACTATATATTGATCAATATTCAATAAATATCGGTGAAGTAACTTTGAGCAAATATGCAAAAAAGAGTCCAAAAGAAATCAACATATTTTACTCCACCGCTGAGTGGTGACACATTTATGCAGAGATTACTTTGTGGACATTTGAGATATGACAAAAGCAGTTACTTTCACTCTTCAGCAATTGACAACAAGCCTGTTTTTGTTAAATCTAATCTTTTATTTCATCAAAATGGCTTATGTAAGATGTTATTGATGACACAATCCATAATTGTTAATATTCTCATCGACGATAATTCCGATTATTGATCTTTTTTGCCAGCCCTTATTTTTTGTCAACCGACCTGGATAATCATTCCTATTGTATTCTTCAGAAGCCACGTACCTCCAGGAAGAGCATCAGCGAGGGTCCCATCAGGCGGAACCCCTCTCGCCATGCTAGGAGTACCTTCAGCCTTGATCCTCCCCGCACACGGGCCCGCAGGGGATCCGTGTCATCAACAGTATCTTCTGCATCATCTTCAACATCACCGACATCGTCACCAGAGGTGAGAGGAAATTGCTCTCTCAAACTTGCCATTGGTCACTATTGTTGTCTCACTTAATTTGTAAGGGTGAAACGATACACCGATATTCTGATGCATGGCGATACTTGACCCACGATACGATATACGATAAACGTAGGCCCATTTATCGATACGCCACGATACGGAACGCAAATCTCAAGTACAGCGTTTCCTCGCTATTGTGCCTTTCAATAAACCACAAACTTGGTTACAGCGGGCGGTAACGCATGGCTCCCCAAAACGTACTTACATTTTTAATAAGCTAAGGTTTTACACCGACAGATGTTTTTCCCCCATCTCAAAAAACATAATCAGCTGATCCATGCAAGCACATAACAATGGAATTACCTGTCAGCAAATCCGAACTGAAGTACGCAATTGAATACCATTATCATACTATCTTGTTATTAAAACGTGTTCATTGTATATCTGGACTTGTGTTTGTAATATATTTTAATAGTTTTTTTCAAATTTTCATTTTATATTGTTTTCATTAAGTTATGTGAAATCGTGTATGAAGAGATACAGCAACCACGGTCAGATTACAGCTTTTGACGCATTGAAGCGAACTTAAGTTGCTAGAGAATGGATACATATATTAAAAATGCTATACTTTGACTCGTTAAAAGTCATATTTATGGCAATTTGGCTAATATATGTCAACATAACGTTTTCGCAATCCAAATACATGTAGCTCGGGAAGTCCCTAGGGTGACTGGTCAATTTGTTCCATGCGTAAAAATATCCTGCAACAGAAATCACCAGTACCAAATGCTACACTTGTGGTTCTTATAATTATAAATATATATATAGTAAAAGCTGCAACTAAGGGAACACGATATTGGAATATATTATTCCTGAAAAAACAATAATTTCAGATACAATTTCTTCGACCATTGCATCAAAATTCTTAGACATTGTATCACTGGTGGAGCACATTAATTATTTTCTGGTGTTTGAACTTTGAATTGTTTTTAAGGAAAGTTAGAGAAAGTTCCACTTTGAAGCTGAACAACTTCAGCAGTCTTGTTATTATAAAATAATTTTGACTGTTCCGAAATCATGAAAGGTTCAATCTTGACATGCTTTAAGTCTTGTTTTTTATCATTGCGTATCGAGATACGTATCGTATCGTGACCAGAATATCGAGATGCGTAGTGTGACCTTCCTGTATCGTTGCAGCCCTATTAATTTGTTGTCCTCTCAGGAATTCCGGTGCAGAATAAGTTACCAGTACCCACATATTGTTTTAAGAATTGACTGACCCCTGTGGGATTCCTCGTAAAGAATAGGTCCCCAGCAACTTGATGGATTGGGTGGTCAGGTTTAGTGTCTTGGTAGGTAGGTGTCCTCGTAACCCTACAACTCTGCTCACGGTAGGGGCGGGCGAGCGGGTAGCCTAGTGGTTAAAGCATTCGCTTGTCACCTGGGTTTAATTCCAAACATGGGTACAATGTGCGAAGAGCCTTTCTTGTGTCTCCCGCCGTGATATTGCTGGAATATTGCTGAAAGCGGCGTAAAACCAGACTCACTCACTGCTCACAGTATCGATCACTGGGTTGTCTGGTCCAGACTTGTTTATTTACAGGCGATTGTCATACAGCTGGAATGTTGCCAAGTCCTGCGTAAACAACCAACAATTAGATTATTGATGTGACAACGTGAATTGTTGCTTCAGATGCAGGTTAAATGTTTACCACCATATATTTTTATCCCGCGGCATTTAACGGGTCGGGGGTATAGTCGACACCTCGCCTGTCAGTAATAATTTTGTTTCTGGAGAAAAACTCGAAAAACGCTCAAATATCTTTCAACAATACTTGGCAGGGCCCACTTGCACAAAGCAATCTTAAAGTACTCATGGAAATCAAATGAAAAAACCCCTGTTTTGCTGGATTTATTAATCGACACAAAGCATTACGTAGATGTAAATACGAAATAACAAAACAACTGGAAAAGTACTAGTCTAGATTTGCTAGTTTTATCTCAGTGCTCAATACAAAATGTACTTTACAGGAGGTAATTTGTAGGCACTTTCAACATTCAAAAATATAACTAAGTCCAAATTGACATGGCAGAAACAGGCTATAGGTATTATGCAAATTAGCCTGGAAAAACATTGTCAAAACAACAATAAAAATAACAGCTATGTTTATGTACACAATAATAATGACATGTAAGTTGGTGTTTGAGAAGGGAATATGTTACTTTTACTTTCCGATATTTTGATGATGATTCACTATCCCACAATGCCACTCACAAATAACTAACCACTAACAAATCACATGTGCGTGGGTTTCAAGCACCTGTTTTCACCTGTCGTCAAGGTGTCATAGGTCATGGACATTCACCTTGATCTACTTACACCTGGTTATGCTCAGTTTCACAATAGTCTGTTTTGTTCATATTTTTGCACACTTTGACGTGTAAAAAGACATAAAAACCTTTGATACGCCGTATTTGTGCCAAGGCCCAATTAGTACTCATTGAGTTGTTTGCATATTTATATATTTTGTATATTAACTGCGTTTATGTAAAATCTGAGATCGAAAAAACAGTTTTTTATCCATTTCAGTGAGTACTTTAGAGCTAAGACTATTGTAAGCCTATGCTAAAGTATGGGAGTTATGATCATCTTAGCGCTAAGATCGCTTTGTGCAAGTGGGCCCAGATATGTGTTCCCTCGCTATTGTGCTCTTCAATATAGCGCTAACTTGGTTACCATATTCACCACCATCTCAGCATGCTCAGAAGAGACTTACAATTGACGGAGTGTCATGTAAAATGTTCTTCCTGTTTTTTTTCAGAAAATGGTTGTGAGATTTGGCTTTTTCCGCAAAGCTGATCGTCTGGATGGAGACAGTGATGAGTTTGATTCCAATATGGACGAGGTTTGTGAGACTCATGTATTGTTTTGTGTTGTAACAGACCGCCTCCATGGTCTTGTGGTAGAGCATCTGCCTGGAGAGTGGAAGGCCTGGGGTTCGATCCCCGGACAAATGTTACCAAAAGACGTTATAAGATGGTACTTGTTGTTATCCTGTCTGGCGCTTAGCATTAAGAGGCTAAAACAAGGACTGGTTGGCTCGGAGTCGAATACCATGTCTGATTAGGGTATTCATGTTAAACTGCGGCATGGTATCACAGCGAGCTAGCACTATAACTCAGCATCAGTCCGGACTGGTGCACGCACGCACGCACATCGCTATAAAAGTGCAATAATCTTGGACATGTTAAACCCAATTTCACCTTGTGATGTGACAGAATCTGATCTGAAAATAACGGTGTCAGTCTGTCCCAAAGACAGTTGAGTCGGCCGAACCTTAGTTTTCTCTGATTCCTCTCCGATTTTAAAACACTAACAAAAACAACTACCGTATTCGACGTATTAGCGCCCCGCTCTAATAAGCGCCCACGGCGAGATTTGCTGATATATTGGCTAGTAGAAAATCCCAATTAGCACCCCTTCCGACCCCTATTCGCATATAATACGCACCGCTTCATTCCCCTATTCGCGTATAATAAGCACTCGTGTACTTTATGCACCCTTTATTATTGGCAATTAAATTCTGGAAACATATCTGTGGTACATAAACATTTCAGGCTGCCATCATAAACCACGAAATTTATCTTTCAACTCTGTTTTTTTCACCAAAATAATATTCTAATAAGAGCCCCCTATTTCTAATTTTGAGAGCGCCCTGGGCGCTTATTACGTCGAATACGGTATGTCCATGATCCAGTGTACATTCTAAGTTTGTATGATGGCCTACAACCCACTTTAATGAAGATGTATGCTAATTAGTATATTGGGTACACAGGTAAATTTTACGTTATATCTGCCAATGATTGTGATTCTGTTAACAAGCAAGAATGCTGCAATTTTCAACACAATGGCAAAATCTTTATGAATTAGAACCACATTCACACTTTCGATGTGCCCCTTGAAGATCCGGGGTAGAATAGGACTTCAGCAAGCATGCTTGCCGTAAAAGGCTGTTATGCTTGTCGTAAGAGGCGACTAACAGGATCGGGTGGTCAGGCTCGCTGACTTCGTTGATGCATGTCATCGTATCCCAATTGCGTGAATCGATGCTCATGATGTCAATCACTGTATTGTGTGGTCCAGACTCGATTATTTACAGCTTGAATATTGCTGAGTGCGGCATCAAACAACAAACAAACAAACACTAATTGGGGATGGCCGGATCAGTAGACAAACAATCTGTACTGGCCGATTATTTATAGACCTCCGTCATACAGCTTGAATATTGCTGAGTGCGGCGTTAAACAACAAACAAACATTCGATGTTCTCTCATATGACGTAATCTTTCAGGACGAGCTTCCGGCCCCCGTGAGAAGGCCTCGAATTGTTGTCGAGGAGAAAGCAGCAGAAGACATCACCGACGAGGACCTTGACCTTGTGGCCATGTTTGTCAGTGATAAGAAGTATGATAGTTTTTACGTAAGTAAGAGAAAACAAACAGGTGTGTGTGTGTGTGTGATAAATAGTTGGTAAGTCAAACACTTGCCCGAGGAGTAGTCGGCCAGTTATTGTATGGTATGTTGTTGAATGTAGAACACATTCAAATTGCTTCAACAGGGAATGGGTGGCATTGTTGTGTAAAGCGCTGTGTAGAGTTGCGTTCCTTAGTCGGCCAGAAACATACGATCATGGATTCTCATGGTTTTACACGACTAACAAATGTGCGTCAAGTACGCACAAATGTTGATCATGGATGCAGAAAAAGAATATACTGCATCCCATATTACCAACATATTACTTACAGCTTATCAAGAGCAGTTATGGTCGTCTGTCTTTTTATCCATCAATCGCTGTCCACATGATCATTGATTCATTCCAGGCTCAAAAGTAATTATTAAACCAGACACTACACTTCAGCATTTCATTACTTTACAGGACCCTTGTATTGCCTGCAATGAGCCTTTAACTTAATTATTGGGTGTCCCCCATCTTCCCGAGGCAAGAGAGTTAACTGACTTTAAAAGTCCAGTTTCCACCCTTGCCGAACTAGGATGGAATTACTGGGCTCGATCGTAGCGCCACCAGTGGCTATAACCAGTTATGTCCCTTCTAAGCCTCTCCTATGGACCAATCAGATTCCACCTCTTGTATCAGTTGCGTTTGCTTCACACAAAATGGTGGCCCTGAATCAGGATGATCTGATTGATAATCAAGATCTATAGATCTAACATTGCGAAATGCATCAAATCGCGTGAGCACCTTGATTAAAAACATGAAAAGATTTGGAAAATATCAGCTGACAACGAGTTGGCGGTGCACATGCTTTTCAAATCCGGCAATCGACCGAAATCTGCACGACAGTTTACGAAACGGATTTCAATTTTGGTGCGTGATTTTGATTGGACTATGCATGGACTCGTTAGTCCAGCCGAAATGTAACTCCATAATACCAGTCTAGTTCGGCAAGGGTGGAAACTGGACTTTTATAGTCAGTTAACTCCCTTGCCTCGGGGAGATGGGTGTCCACTGGACCAATTTTGTAAGTCAAGGTCAAACCCTGGGTTCAAATCCCAGTTTGTCCCGATTGTGTTTCTGGGTGTGTCAACACCAAGTCTCTCCTTGAACCAGAGTCGTATCTTTCAAATTTAAGATTCAAACACCACTGCAATACCTTCATACGCTTTAGACTTAGTCTGAATTATTTAAAAGTGAATGAAGGAAGGTATTTAAATAGTGAAAAGCCACTAAGAATTTGCCCTGTCTGTAACCTCGGTGTTGAAGATGAATTTCATTTTGTGTTAATTTGCCCTGTATTTAAGAAAATAAGAATGGAATATCTACCGCATGGATATAGATAGATATATCTATATCGCATGGTCATGTTCATGTCTTTCAACTAACTTTGTATGTGTGTTGTCAAACATAAAATATATCGTTCAACTACGGGGGCACGGGTGGCCCAGTTGTCTAAGGCGCCGCGATTCACTGTGCAGAATTGCTACCTTGAACATGCCAGAAACCTATGATTGTGGGTTCGAATCCTGGTTCGCCGTGATTGTTTCTAGGTTTGTCAGCACCATACCCGTGCTCGTTGGTTTCACCATAGTTGGAAACGTCTGAGACCTGCATCACTTCGGGCTTTGCTCCCACATTAAGCTGACACGCCATGATATAACTGGAATACTGTTAAAAGCGGCGTTAAACCCAACTCACTCACTCGTTCAACTACAAGTATCTTTATACATTCATCATGTTTTTATGTTGCGTCAGTTGTTGTCTTTATACTCCATATACTTCAATATTTGTTAATATATCTGTATGTCTGTTATTCACTTGTATTTAGGCCAATGGCCTTTTTTCATTCAATAAACCATTGAATTGAATTCAGACCTGCATTACTTCAGGCTTTCCTCCCACACCAAGCTGACATGTAGACCGCCTCTGTTTAAGGTGGAAATGGTTATGTCTTTTTCACAGAATTTGCTGCAGAACTTTGCAATTTTAGCGCAGAAGTTTGGTAATTTTACCTCAGAATTTTGATAAATTCACAACAGAATTCGTCTGGGACTGTCATATAAACTGTCAGTCACTGGATTGGCTGTTGTCATGTATACGTAGGATATTGCGTAGTGAGGGGTTCAGCAGAAAACAAATCAAAAATGTTTTTATATTACCCTGGTAATGAAGTGTCCTTGAATATATTTGTTTTGTTGAGTCCCTTAAAGTATGCGTTATTCCTTCAGGGGTCGTCGTGTCATCAGTGTAGACAGAAGACGCAGGACATGAAGACGGTGTGCAGGTCTGGCAAGTGTTTCGGAGTCCGCGGACAGGTACTATTCAAGACTGAGTCACTGTTTAATAAACTGCAATGTTTGTGTGCTGTGGTATATACCACATATTGCGTCCCCAAATTTTTCCAGAGCATAACTCAAAAACTGTTAAATTTGATGTTTAGCATTTTCAGAGATTTTTATTGTTTGATTCCATGACAACAAATTGGATTTAAGTTTTAATATAGGGTGGGTTCACTTATGGAGTAAAACAAATAAACTGTTAAATATTTCCTTGCCAAACATTGCATGTCTATATATAAAGCACATACTGAACTGGTGACATTTGATATTAAGGAGTTTTGGAAATGTTTATTTGAGAATTTCCATTGCAGATATTTTGACATGGGCAAAGAGAAATGTTGGGTCAGTTACCTGGTTTGGGACATCGACTCTCTTTCTCGCCTGTAGGGAGAAGACTGAGTCTTGGGACTTGTTAGTTGTTTGTTGTTGTCAACATACTTTGGGACCCATGAAGATTCCCGGGTAGAATAGGTCTTCAGCAGCCCATGCTTGCTGTAAAACACGACTATGCTTGTCGTAACAGGCGACTAACGGGATCGGGTGGTCAAGCTCGCTGACTTGGTTGATGCATGTCATCGTATCCCAATTGCGTGGATCGATGCTCATGTCAATCAGTGGATTGTCTGGTCCAGACTCGATTATTTACAGACCGCCGTCATATAGCTGGAATATTGCTGAGTGCGGCGTTAAACAACAAACCAACCAACATACTTCTGTTTTTGTTCACAATGTGGAATACGGCACATTGGCCCAGTTATGTAAACGTCGCATTTCACTGTACTGAGATTCCCTGGAGCACACCAAAACCAATAATTGTGGGCTTGACTCGCGGTTCATCCTGATTGGTTCAAGGTTTATCAGCACCATATCCGATCCTTGTGGTATTATCAAAGTGATAAAAACCTGACTTGCATCACTTCATGCTTTCCTCCCACATTAAGCTGACACTCCGTGATATAACTGTTAAAAGCAGTGTCACACCAAACACACTCACTTAGTGCTAAGGACCCATGAAAGTCTGGGGTAGAATAGGTCTTCAGCAACCCATTCTTGTCGTAAGAGGCGAATATGCTTGTCGTAAAAGGCGACAAACGGGATCGGGGGGGTCAGGCTAGCTGACTTGGTTGATGCATGTCATGGATCCCAATTGCGTGGATCGATGCTCATGAGGTCAATCACTGTATTATCTGGTCCAGTTTCCACCTTTGCCGAACTAGGCTGGTATTATGGAGTTTGGCTGGACTAACGAGTCTTTGCATAGTCCAATCAAAATCGCGCACCGAAATCGAAATCCGTTTCGTAAACTGTCGTGCAGATTTCGGTCGATTGCAGGATATGCAAAGGATGTGCACCGCCAGCTTGTCAGCAGATATTTTCCAAATCTTTTCATGTTTTTAATCAAGGTGCTCACGTGATTTGATGCATTTCGCGATGTAAGACCCGTTTTATCACAAAATAGACTTTGATTATCGATCAGATCGTCCTGACTGGGCGCCACCATATTGTGTGAAGCAAACGCAAGTCATACGAGAGGTGGAATCTGATTGATCCATAGGAGAGGCTTAGACGGGACATAACTGGTAATAGCCACTGGTGGCGCTACGATCCAGCCCAGTAATTCCAGCCTTGTTCGGCAAGGGTGGAAGCTTGACTTTTAAAGTCAGTTAACACTCTTGCCTCAGGAAGATGTAATATAACTGGAATGCTGTTAAAAGCAGCATCACACCAAACACACTCACTTAGTGCTAAGTGTCTAATCACATACCCTATATTGTCATCAGGGACAATTACAGTGCATCTTGTGTTTGATCAATTGGTGCACCTTATTGATGTCAAGACTTCTGTTTCAGTTCTGTGGACCTTGTCTGAGGAATAGATATGGGGAAGATGCTAAAGAAGCTTTGAAAAACCCTGTAAGTACATGTTACATTTACATGTATGGTTCGGGCACGGGTGGCCCAGTCGTCTAAGGTGCTGTGATTCGCTGTGCAGAGTGCGTCCCTTGGGCATGCCAGAAACCTATGGTTGTGGGTTCGAATCCCGGTTCGCCCCGATTATGTTTCTAGGTTGTCAGCACCATACCCGTGCTCGTGGGTTTCACCGAAGTGGCAAACGTCTGACACCTGCATCACTTCGGGCTTTCCTCCCACATTAAGCTGACACGCCTTGATATAACTGGAATACTGTTAAAAGCGGAGTTAAACCAAACTCTCTCACTCACTTAAATGTATGGTTATAATACCCACCGCGAAGTAGGGCGAGAAATATTGGAACAGATTCTGTCCGTCCGTCCGTCCGTCCGGTTCTCAAAGAGGGCAAATTTTCTCAAAAACTATTTACATTTTACACACTGTTACTGGTCATGATCTCAAATGAGTTCGGAAATCGGTGTCAAAATTAAATTTTAACAGAGTTATTGCCCTTGCTCAGTATACTGTGTCTGAGTGGGGTATTCATGTTAAACTGCTACGTGGTATCTCAGTGAGCTAGCACTATAAATCGGCATCAGTCCGGACTAGTGCACGCACGCACGCACATATATGCACGTCGCTATATAAGTGCAATAATCTTGGACGCAACGTTAAACCCCATTTCACCTCACCTCACCTCACCTCATGTTATTCACTGATCCATTCACTCAGTAAATGTACTCTCCCATCTATAGAGCTGGATGTGTCCTCCATGCCGAGGGATCTGCAACTGTAGTTTTTGTCGAAAGAAGGCCGGCAAGTCCTGCACGGGAATCCTCATTCATCTAGCCAGGGAGAACGGTTACAGTGACGTCAACGCTTATTTACAAAGGTATTTAGATTGTTACATGACCAAAAAGGAAACATGTGCATTTAACCCTTTCACTTTCCAAGGCTATGTTTCTCTGTTATTATCCCCTGCCCCAACAAAGTCAGTGGGGGATATAGAAACGAGCCCTCTCTGTCTGTCTGTCCATCCAGCCATTTCATTCCGTTTTCGTAGCAGAACTTGGATACAATAGGAGATAACTTTACCAAACTGACTGGTTGATGCATGTCATCGTGTTCCTATTGCGTGGGGCGGTCGGGTAGCCTAGTGGTTAAAGCGTTCGCTCGTTAGCCGAAGACCCAGGTTTGATTCCAGACATGGGTACAATGTGCCGCCCATTTCTGTTATTGTTCGAATATTGCAAAAAGCGGGGTAAAACCATACTCCCTCACTCCAATTGTGTGGATTGATGCTGATAATGTCAATCACTGAAATGTCTGGTACAGAGTCGATTATTAACAGACAGTCGTCATATAGCATGAATATTGTTGAGAGCGGCGTTAAATAACAAACAAACACCTTGTGGCCGCCAAATGACAGATGAGGTACAGTATCAGTCATTGTCTTAGTAAGTAGTTTCGGAAAGTGTTGACGTACAGCTTGACATCTGCCTTATCTCTTTCAGTTTCAGGAAATAATACTCACAAGAAAACAAGATGGAGAGGCAGCTATGAGGGTCAATGAATGTGTTAACTTCTGTGTTCCTGATGCGAGACTCATGTTGGAAATATTGTGTATGATGAAAGATGTGACAAGCACTCACTAACTGATATTCTGCACACTACCATGGGCGGATACAGAGCGGGGATGCGCACCCCCCCTTTTTATTTCGAAAAAAATCTTTATTTCTGTATAAATTACCACCAAAGACAATAAATACATCTTAATTGTGCACCCCCCCTTTTCAAAAAAGCTGTATCTGCCCATGACTTCACAAGACATCTTAAATACCACCACATTCAAGAATATATGTAGACATTCGTGTCTCCGTGGTGTTAGTTACAAATAGATAAATTATCAATATTGGTTGTCATAGTAACAACCAAATATGATTTTTCAATCTTGCTATTTTCACTCAAGAATGATGTCAGGATTTTGCTGAGGACAAATGGCATTCTGACAGACATTCTTGAACACATCAGCGATTTTTCATATTTGGCCATGAAGCCCATTTCTGTGTTTTTCCAGCCATATTACTGAAATATTGAAAGTGGTGTAAAACAATACTCACTCATTCGGTTAAATCAATAATGTCATCGAACATGCTCATGTATACCAATTTGAAAGAATTGTATTTGAAAATGTGGGCCTTTTTTCAAATTTAGGGGCTAAAGGCACAAGCACCCTAGCATTATGGATGTTTTTTGTAACGTGAAGATCTGGGTTAGAATAGGTCTTCAGCAACCCATGCTTGCCGTAAAAGGCGACTGCTTGTCGTAAGAGGCGACTAACGGGATTGGCTGGTCAGGCTCACTGACTTGGTTGGAGCATGTCATCGATCCCAACTGCGTGGATCGATGTTCATGTTAATCACTGGATTGTCTGGTCCAGACTCGATTATTCACAGACCGCTGTCATATAGCTGGAATATTGCTGAGTGCGGCGTTAAACAACAAACCAAACCAAAACCTCTTGTAACCATGGTAACAAAGAACCATTTGCTCATTTTCCCCCACACATCCCTGCTTCTTGCAGCACTGTCTCTAGTGAGGGAGCAACTCCATGATAACTTCATCACTCACTGTGGAATGTCACATTTTTGATCATATGCTATATTTTCTTAGAAAGTTTGTTGTTTAAAACTGTTACTCGTTACTTCTATCGCCAAAAGTGTTTTTGTCCACTGCCGCCATTGCTCTCTGCATTGTCCACAAGTGGGAATGTTTCCTAATTGTTTTTATCATGTTGATCTTTTACACATAACAATATGGCATGTGTTTTGTTGAACAAGGTGTTTGGTCTTCTGGCTAAGAAAATGTAAGCGAGTGTTTCATTCTCACTTTCTTGGTTTTAGAATTGTCCTATGGACTATTGGTAGTCGAGATTTTAGTTCTACAGAATTTGCTGAAAGATAAGAATTTGATATGAACCACACAGTGAGTGAGGTGGCACTGTGGGGAGAGTGGTAGCTTGCTCACACACAGTGCTGGTTCTAATCTCAACATTCACATTGACCCAAGCCCCATACTGAGTTCCGTCAGACAATTTCAGATTGGCATGCACACTGACATTTTGAAATAATTCTGTGAATGTAACAGTTTGAAAAAGTTGGGGAAAAAACCCGACAAAATTTTTTATCCATGTGCTGGAATATGTGCTACTCAAAGAAGTTAAACTACACCCGATTCTTTCGTATTGCTACAGTTACTATGTCATGGCATAACTAGACCTATAGTAATATGAAATAATCAAGTGTTGTCAAGGATGGAAACCGTCCAAGTCACACGCATCTAAAGTGGCCATGTCTTGCATTCAGTTTGAGCGTTTTTCACATGCTACATAAAATTATTATCGAGGCTTACTTTGCTTGTTAGTTTGATTGATGAAATTTGGTATGTGTAGTTAGTAGTGGGGCTCAACTTATATGTTTCGTTTTTTGGTGATATGAAATTTGACCTTGATTTGACTTCACGCTATCAGTAAGATGAGTAGCCTCCTGAAGCTTGGACAGGAATGGAGACTGTGTGACTGTAGTCAGGAAGACCAACCCCTATGACCTTACTCCATGGCAATCACTTGTTGTAGGGCACTCTGTTAGCTTTTAGATTCCATTATCTTTTTTTATTGTTGATATATTGTGAATAAATATTTTCTTACATTATTTGTTTTCGTGTTGTCACTTTAAGACCAAGTTTCAAATTATTTTAGGAATATTTTGGCATTTTCATTGCTGCTTTATCATCATCCCAGGCCACGAAGTGGGATTGGGGATATAGGAACGGTTCTCAATGGTGTAAGCGGGTATCAAATTCTCAGTTACTCAGAAATTGGTCTGTATGATCAATTTTGAAACATGTATGTGAATAATTTAGCGCTTGTTTTTAAATTTGGTGTGGTGGTTTTATCAACTGACATAACTGAAGGCTCTGCCCAGGAGGTTAAAGTACGGAAAAATAATTGTCCCCCTGTGTGGCACCTAATTCCTATCATAATCGATGTAACTAACATCAACCAGTGTTTTTAAGCCAACTCATTGTTGAATGTTTTAATATTGTGCACAACCACCAATAGGTAATCAATCTCATTAAATTGATTCAAATCTTAGTTCTCGCTACTGCTAAACAAAGATCTGAGGACATCCCATTAGGGGTCACGACAGACCGACCTTGCGCGAACTTTGACTGACCGATAGAAGGACTGACAAGAAGTCGACATTAGCCAATCAGAAGGCAGCTTTCTAGTGCTTTACGGCACTAATTTCAAATTGGCGACTACGCTTCGAAACATATTTTGACAAATTCTCGATTACAATTTTGAAACCTGAACAAAAGAACATTCTGGAATGGCCTTCATTGTATGGATTCAGTCGTGAAACCCGTAACTATCGTTCGGAATATCCCATGTTAAAGCTTTCGAGGTTGCATTATCAGAATTCACATTCCGAATGTCACTTTCATGATCTGGTAAGCGACGCTCTGATTGGTCCGATGAAAGGTCGTTCAGACGTGGGATGTCCTCAGATCTTTGTTTGGCGGTAGCGAGAACTAAGATCTGATTTTAATGAGATTGATAGGTAATGAGATGGAAGTAGATCCTGTTGGGATGTCGTGCAGGAAGCTGAGGTACTGTATGTCCCCACGGTCCCAAGCGAGGTGGCCTAGCTTTGGTTACTGGTGGCCTATAGCCCGTGTTTTAAACTGTATGATTGATATTGTGCCCAAATGTGTTTGAAATGTTTTTAAATATGACTTCGCATAAATGACACTTGTGAATATATCAACTTGGTCTCGTCGCTATTTGGCTGAAATAATGCTGATGCAACGTTAAATTTTAACTCACTCAAAGAGGTATTTTTCTTTCAAAAACTATTTGAGTTAGAGAATTTAAATTTTGCGCTCTGATATTACTGGTCATAAAATTGGTTTCTTAAATTCATTTCCGTGCTTTCAAATTAGTGCATACTGCATGAAATAGGGATAAGCTTTCTTAGAAACTACTGAAATTATACGAATGAAAGTTTGCATGATAATATAATAAGAGGTTCTTGTCAAGACAGTTCCCAAACTGGTGCTGTAAATTCTTCTTTCTTTTTCCCCCCCAGAGTTACTTCCCTTGCTACATGTCTTAGCAAGCTCCTCACAGCGATAGTACGTTCGTGGAGCTCTCTATATACTATCGCTGCCACCAGTCTAAACTCCCCACTGAACAACCATGCTTGGAGTTGAACTCGCAACCGAATGACCGTTATGTTTACAAACAAGTGACGACTGTCGTGACGCCGAATACACTTATTGCTGCCAAATTACTTTCTGCGTTTGTCAATTTGAATTTGTTTCATTAAAACCATCGTGTTATTTATATAGTAAGAATGTAAGGGAGAAGTTTGTTGATTTTCCGTTAGTCTGCAATCTCGAACCAACCTGATTATCAAAACAACAAAGTAAATTCACCTGGAAAACATGGTCAGTCGTAAACCTTTTCAAAATCAATATGATGGCATTCCCAAAGACATAAACAAAAGTATAAACGTTACTACATATGGGGTTAGAGGGCAAATGTCAAGATTCTTGTAATGGCCGCGATGTTACCGAGAGTGTAAAGGTGTCACGCGCTGGGAAGGAGCTTGATGTCTTAGATTTTGAGCATACACAGTTACGTCCCTCCATTCATGTTATTTTACAAAGTGCATAGTGACTGAATGGAGACAAAGTCAGCTCGTCTAAGATTTTTATCAAGTTCGAGGACTGGTGATGATTCCCACACGGAAAAGGCCCCCAACAAGCTTTGCTGGTCATAAGGGGTGACAAAATGGATCGGCTGGTCAGGCTCGGTGGCTCATGGCTGGCTGACTTGGTTGGTGCATGTGATTGTATCCCAATTGCGTGGATCGATGCTTATGATGTCAATCGCAGGATTGTCTGGTCAAGACTCCATTATTTACAGACCGCCGTCATATAGCTGGAATATTGCTGGGTGCGGCGTTAAACAAGAAACACATTACCAGCAGTCAATACAGCCCGAACAGTGCAATGGGGCGGGTTTCGATTCTGCAATAGACTGCATTCTCACAGCTACAAACGAGATCTGATCTGTGCGACTGATTTGATAATCAGCAGTATTGCTACTTCTGCAGAAGTATTTTCACGTTCTTCGAGACACTGCATCTATATTAAAATGGAATGATAAGTCTACAAAGAGACATTTCACGGGAAAATGACAAAGAATGCCACAATAGTATGCTGGAGACCCGAACATTCTGAAGATACAGAAACTAAAGTTCAGCATCTATTTTTTTTTCAAACTTCGCACTAAATATAAACGTTTTAGCCGTCCCCACTACCGCTGGGTCACCTCATTCAAGAAGTCAAACTGTACACAAAAGGATAGTTTCTTAAACAACTTTTTCCTGTGATGGGAATAAAAATAACAGATCTTGTTGGGTGCGGCCTTTCATAGCCGTGTACCATATTGGTTTGTTTGCTTTACGCCGCACACAGCAATATTCCAGCTTTATGACGGCGGTCTGGACCAGACAATCCAGTGATTAATGTCATGAGCATCGATCCACGCCATTGGGATCAACCAAGTCAGCGAGCCTGACCAACCGATCCAGTTAGTCGCCTTTTCCGGCATGCATGTGTACCATTGACATTTAGGCAATTCCTGATTATTATTTTGCAATTTATAATTCTCATTTGGAGCCAAACGGACTGTAGCTCACATTCACCAGTAAGCCCCCGATAACGGGTTCCGGCGTGCAAAACTGACCATTACCTGTACCCGATGGTACCGTGGGTGGTTTTCGTTTGTCTGAGGTCAGCCACGTGTGGGTGGAACGATTCTTATTCAGCCAGGGTTCAAGGTACAGTACACCACGGTTAAAACGAATTCAAAAGGGACCACTAATTTTTGTTAAGCATATATACAACAAATGGCCTTAACTAAGTACGTCATAGCGGCAAGTCCGTAATATGCGTGTACGTTATAAACAAAGTTTACTGTAAATTGTATTGAAGCCCTGACTGCGATGGTCATGACTGGAGCGGAGATGGTTTTCGATTCACTGCACGTGGTCACATCTCGTGGAGACTAATGTAGTACGGGAAACATGAATTGTGCCTTGTTTCCTACCGAGTTCTAGTCGGGGGTACCTTCTGGTCATGAAGCTTGTACACTGTACGCCTAATCACCCCTATGCCAAAGCTGTTTCGTGTCCTTTTACGTCCCGGTTTTGTTTGAGACGACCCGACCCTTTTTCTTTTTTTTTTATCACAAAGTTGGTGTGAAAGCCCCAGAGTTTGGTCAGTTCGGCAATACACCCTATCTTAAATAAATGGTGTAATGCGTCATGGAAACATATGCAGCGTCCTTGTGTTTCTTTTTATAAGACATCCAAAAATGTCTCCTAGTGACTTGTTCTTTGGGGATTATTAAGGAGGACTACATTATCACAATCAACAACGATGTCGCTTGCGCATATTTCTTTAGTCCGTTCAGACTTCTCGAATTTGACTTAACGAAAACAGATATCTGAACTTGCTAAGAAAAAAATTGTCGATAGGACTCCTTGTGACTGAAATACTTCGTACCACAGTTGTCGTTTAACGCCGCACTCGGCAATATTCCAGCTATATGGCGGCGGTCTGTAAAAAATCGAGTCTGGACCAGACAATCCAGTGACATCACTAGTATGGATCCACACTTTGGGATACGATGACAAACCACAGGTAGGACAATCGATAATTACTTGATATTGCAACAGCCCGATACATTTTATCGGTTTTAACGGACAATTTTGTTTGTTTCTTGCAGTTGTAAATGTTTTAAAATTTATTTTGACAAGAAAATCCCACTCGGAATATCTTTCAAAATAAACCTATCTTTAGAGGATGCGGAATAAGGGGACATAAGATTGGAGGTAGAACACCAATCATGTAAACTCAAGGTTTTGTTTGGTGTTGAACGCTGCACTCGGCGATATTCAAGCTATATGATGGCGGTCTGTATATAATCGAGCCTGGACCAAAAAATCCAGTGATTGACATGAGCATCGATCAACGCTATTGGGATACGATGACATGCATCAACCAAGTCAGCGAGCCTGATCACCCGATCCCGCTAATCGCCTCTAGCGAAAGGCATGGGATGCTGAACTATTCTAATCCGGATCTTCACAGGTGTATTACCATGTATATCTAAGAGTACATTTGGTATACAATTCAGGCAGTACAAGAGAAGCTATCTGGATGTACAAAACAGGATCTTTGAGCAGAAAGCCGACAGCTGTTCAACACGGCCATGTTTGACATTCAATTGCAAATTGCAAATAGTCATTTGTTTTACTATTATTCCTCCATTTGCGAGGATTTACTTGGAAGTAAAACCTCGTTCGCGGTGTACCTCTTCTCGGTAAAATCCCATAAGATGTTTTACTTGTTTTATTTTGGCAACCATTTCAGCAAGTGTACATTGGCAGGAGTCAACCACTACAGGTTTATGGGCGAGGAAATACAAATGTGTTAAGAGTTATGCTATGGAATAGAGTCCTTTAAAGATTGTAATCTTGTCATTGAAAACGGAACAAAACCAGTTTTCCAAAATTTCGAAATGTTCCAGTAAATAGCATAAGGCACCATTTAATGGCGAGACTGATTTCTGCAAGTTTTGTTCATGAAATAAGGTCTTTAAGTTACATCCAGAAACAAATCCTACCCTCAGGATTATTGGAACCCAATTCCAAGGACGGGCAGCACCCGTTCTTACATTCCAATTCCAGTCAAAACTGAATTTAGTTCAACAAATCAATTTTATTGCGAAACTAATGTAAAATATAGAAAGTTGTATAAGAACAATGCAAGACAAATATAACATTTGAACAGGTAACATAACAAATATTACCCGCCATTGCACGCTGGGTTGTGCCAAATGGATAAATCAGTTACGTCACTAGCTTAGGTACATTGATGTCTCGTACTGCCCTCGTATTGTGTTCGCCATCTTTGTCAGGCTCTTCAACATGCCCGCCATCGTCTTCAGCTGTTGCCCTAACAACGAGTCGCCGCTAGAAGATTCACCTGCAAGGTCACATCCTGACAAGAGTTCGCTTCTTGTATTCAGCAGCAGCATGTACACAGCGAAGAGATCCATGGCTGAAACAAGGTTTATTTCGAAGCTTAAACAAAATACCAGTTACGTTACTGCTGGTCGCCGATATTGCGTGTGGTTTGTTTACCGCTACACTAAGCAATATTTCAACTCTTTGATGGCGGCCTGTATTGTTGTTGGTTTGTTGTTTAAGGCCCCAATCAGCAATATTCTGGCTATATGAAGGCGGTCTTTAATCGATTCTGGACCAGACAATCCAGTGATTGATATCATGAGCATCGATCCACGCAATTTGGTTGGATGCCATGCATCAACCAAGTCAGCGAGCCTGACCACCCGATCCCGTTAGTCGCCATTTACGGCAAGCATGGGTTGCTGAAGATCAATTCTACCCCGGATCTTCCCGGGTCGCGGCCTGTATTGGATATCGTGAGCAGGGTAGGGTGACATTGTTATAATGGCCGTGTAATTTATTGTTAAACAATGATTGTAACCTTACTACACTCTTTCTGTTGAGATTCAGTTGAAGTTCATGGCATTGCATTTGGACAATGATTATTTGCCAGGAATGTAGTACTATTTGATGCAAGCAGTGGTGAGGAAGCTATTATATTGAGATGTTTGAATTTTACGTAAACTTCCGGAATAGCAACGGTTATGTCAAGCGTTATAGAAACATGTAGAATATTCCGTGATGTTCAAGTGACACTGGACAGGCATTGTTGATTGTATACAGTTCGTTGGTTGTTTATTGGTTTCACGCTTAATTCTTTTAGGTACAGATTTCTGGATAAACATTGTTTTCAATTTGGGAATCGAAACGTAACACGCTATCAACCAAGATACCGAGCCGGTCCACCAGATCTATTTAGCCGCCTCTTACGACAAAGATGTATGCTGTGGACCTATTATAACAAGGCATCCCATGGGATGTTTCGTGTGGTACCAACAGGAGTGACCGAGAATGTGGTTTACACGCCTGTATGGGTGTAAGACAGTAAGTAGTGGCGACCCCTCAAAAGACCTAAGAAAACCTAGCAAGATTTTACTTCTGCGCCTCGGGTCGCTGTGGACGCTCACTCTGACGCAGATAAAAAAACGAAACATTTAATAGTCCTGGTGTCCTCAAAACTTCAAACACCAAGAAAGTCAAATGTAGCCATTTTAAAAAAAAAAAATTAAAATGGGATTCTGAAGAACCGACCTTCTTTATCGTCATCAGTCGTCTGTTTGATGAGATGAAGCAGCTGGTCATCTGGAGTCAGTTGAGACTGGTCCAAATCCTGTCGACACGAATAGGCCATTATAGAACATAGGTGTTAATGTTGCAAAATGGAGGCATCACGTGAGTGTTTGGGGATGGCATGTTTATCTCAATATGATAATTTCGTTTACGGTTTTACGTCTTAAACCATGTTTTTGACTACCATGCGACTACCCCCAATACATACTAAATTTGGTAAACATTGTCTTTCCGCAGTAAATGAGCGCAGTCGCCTTTCTCGACCGAAAATAGATCAAGCCGCATTCGGCTCCCTCAAAACTTTCAAAATAAGTGTCATTGCGGTAAACTTTCTAACAAATGTTATGCATTTCAGGGTTTAAATGAAAATAAAAATTCAACTGACAATAAGTCAACTTTAGTGCTGGACCAAATGTGAATGATGTAAGCAATTGTTTAAAAGAAGAAATACCTACTTTATATTCAATTACCAATAAGGCAATATTTCATTCACCCACATGTCCCATACTTTTCAGAAAACGCTTACAAATAGACCACGGGATATACTAAGCGTTAAGCATGCAAAAACCACGCACCTGTAACTTCACTGGAAACAGCACAGTTTGGTTCAGGCGGTCCACACTCGCCAGGAACTGGAAGGAGACATGGGATTCGTGTGTAAAGGCTGGATATTTAGCCAAGTTCCTTACACCAGTAACCAAATAGCCTGCCAATTTACTAATTTTAGAATAGGGTTTTGGGGATTACGGCACTGGTCCCACGGGTCCCATAGCAACAGCTTTTAGCCAATAGCCTGGGGCTATGGGGTCACATGACAGGGGCCAGTGCCACCGTGGGACCCCTAAACGTTTTAACAGCCTCTTTCTGCCTGACACCAACATCGCCAGCTAGACCTAGATTTTGTTTTAGGTAAGAGCACCAGTTTCTCTATATGGCAACTATAGGTCTATTGTATGCAATTATGGTATGGTCCAGTACATAGTTATAACATTTTAGGACTAAGAATCATGTGCTGCGTTTAATTTCATTAAGTCAAGCAAATTTCTAAACAAGCGTTTGGCCACTGTCCAAGTCATTATTGCTGTGCCAACTGGCAAACGTTGCTCATCTGACGGTCCAAAAGTGCACTCAATGGCAATAATGAATTTTCTTGTTTGAAAATAGCTTTCGTAAGATACCTCACTAGCTCATTGCTAAATTCAAAACTCTAATTATTCCAAATTCTTTCGTCTGATAAATGCACTTGTTGCTGACAGAAATCTGTTGCAAGTTTATTTTAAATTAACAAGTGGCTATCACTGGTCATTGCTTCCCAAGCCATGCGCTCAGTTAAAACACCCTGGTGCCATCTGGAAGTAATTAGTGGCTGACCCCTCTCTGACAACTCTTGACCTGTGCGCTGGGCAGCACAACATTAAATTGGGCTATCCTCGGCACTCTCCGGCTCTCTTCCGGTTGCATTACAAAATGGCCGCACCGGATGTAAACAAGGCATGGCTCCGTCGTCTGCTTCATGTTTACCTTAACACAGTTTGGCCTACTATACATTAATGTCATCCTATCCTATATGTCTGTAAAGTAAAAGTAACACATACTAGCGAATATATATGGCATAATTTATCAGGCAATTCGATATTAGTGTACATTCCAAACTTTGGCTATTTCCTGCAAATGGTAACTTTCTCATTCTCTTGGCGTCTTGCGTTACGCAATCCTACATGACGACAACATTGATGCTTAGCATCGACCAATATCTAAATATGTAAATAACCCATTTTATTAAATATCAATCCAGTCCTTTTTAAAATATGTATAGTATTTCTACATTGTCGGATTGGTGGTATTAAGTATATTTCACTACGTTTTCCAACTATGATGTGATAGGAAGTCACCTTGTATTCAATAATATAATGTATTATATTAAATGGCCAATAATTTGCCTGCAATTTGAGTGATATATATATTATGTAATATCCATTTATTACATTCCTTTTTAATATGTTTGCTTAAATTGGGCATTCATTCTGGGTAGCCTCAAGTGGCTTACCTACTGGGTGTATTGATCTACTGTTGGAGCTAGCCCAATATGGACCAGTACGATCATCCAACAGGCAGTCATACCCCACTCCTCTTAGCCACCTTTCTAGTACAGGCCAGGTGTCCTGTCGTGGTTATCAGTATTGCGTGTTTAAACCGGTTTTATATACATGCATATCATACTCCAAGTGCGCTGGGATAAATATTCCCTCATTTGGGGTTTAAATGTATGTTTCCAAAATCCCCATTAGCCGCCGTTAAAGTGACTTTCACCTCACGTCAGGTGGGATCTTATATGTATCCTATATGGTAGAAAGGATGTGATGATTATTTTGGGGGATTATTAGTTAATATCATTTCTGTAAACAATCATTGGGGTTGTGTGTTTATTTATGCACATATGCTTTTGCATAGTCTTTAACAACATCGTTTTCTCCTATAAGTATTATCATCACATCCCGAATATCACTTGGATTATTGTTAATTCTTTTAAATATATTTTATAAGCCCTTTCTGCCTGCACTGCCTGGAAACCAACATCGCCCGCTAGATCTGTTCATTTTGTTTAAGGCGTCTTCCAGACTCTGAAGCCAGGATTTGCACCTGTAACTGTTTGATACTTCAATATACTATTACTGTCTCTTTGTGTTGTGTCATCTTTGACTGGAGTACTTCGCACAGTCAACACACTTACCGATCCCTTTTCCGCGAGACGAAATTGTTACGTAACCGTGGTGATTTCACAGGTCTTACACGTGAAATAATTAAGTCAAATATTTGTACTAATTGGAAATCTGGTATTTCTAACGTCTTGTATTGAAATTGTTTTATAACAGCTTAACATTTGTTTGTTCTTTAACGCCGCACTCAGCAATAGTCCACCTATATGACGGCGGTCTGTAAGTAATCGAGTCTGGACAATCCAGTGATTGATAACATGAGCATCCATCCACACAATTGGGATCGATGACATGCATGAACCAAGTCAGCGAGCCTGACCAGCCGACCCGTTAGTTACCTCTTACGACAAGCAGAGTCGCCTTAGTCTGAAAATAATCGAGTCTGGACCAGACAGTCCAAGCATGGGTTGCCGAAGACTTATTCTACCCCGGATCTTCACGGGTCGACTTAACAGATGAAATGGGATATATATGTCTGTGTGAACCGATGCTCATGTACGCATCAGATGTGACGTCATAGATCCATTTCCTGCAAACGGTAACTTTCTTGTTCTCTTTGCGTCTTGCGTTACGCAATCCTACATGATGACAAGAGGCTTAGCATTGAACAATATCTAAATATGTAAATAACCCATTTTATTAAATATCAATCCAGTCCTTTTAAATATGTAGTATTTCTACATTGTCGGATTGGTGGTATAAAGTATATTTCACTGCGTTTTGCCACTTGATGTGATAGTAAAGTCACCTTGTATTCAATAACATTATATTATATGGCCAATAATTTGACTGCAATTTGAGTATATACATTATGTAATATCCATTTATTACATTCCTTTTTAATATGTTTGTTTAAATTGGGCATTTATTCTGGGTAGCCTCAAGTGGCTTACCTACTAGGTGTATTGATCTACTGTTGGAGCTAGCCCCATATGGACCAGTACGATCATCCAACAGGCAGTCATACCCCACTCCTCTTAGCCACCTTTTAGTACAGGCCAGGTGTCCTGTCGTGGTTATCAGTATTGCGGGTTAAAACTGGTTTTATATACATGCATATCATACTCCAAGTGCGCTGGGATAAATATTCCCTCATTTTGGGTTTAAATGTATGTTTCCAAAATCCCCATTAGCCGCCGTTAAAGTGACTTTCACCTCACGTCAGGTGGGATCTTATACGTATCCTATATGGTAGAAAGGATGTGATGATTATTTTGGGGGATTATTAGTTAATATCATTTCTGTAAACAATCATTGGGGTTGTGTGTTTATTTATGCACATATGCTTTTTGGTATCAACAATGCGTTTGCATAGTCTTTAACAACATCGTTTTCTCCTATAAGTATTATCATCACATCCCGAATATATTTTATAAGCCCTTTCCGCCTGCACTGCCTGGACACCAACATCGCCAGCTAGATCTGTTCATTTTGTTTAACGCGTCTTCCAGACTCTGCAGCCAGGATTTGCACCTGTAACTGTTTGATACTTCAATATACTATTACTGTCTTTTTGTGTTGTGTCATCTTTGACTGGAGTACTTCGCACTTCGTACCCACCCTTTTCCGCGAGACGAAATTGTTACGTAACCGTGGTGATTTCACAGGTCTTACACGTTAAATAATTAAGTCAAATATTTGTACTAATTGGAAATTTGTGGTATTTCTGACTTCTTGTATTGAAATTGTTTTATAACAGCTTAACATTTGTTTGTTCTTTAACGCCGCACTCAGCAATATTCCACCTATATGACGGCGGTCTGTAAGTAATCGAGTCTGGACAATCCAGTGATTTATAACATGAGCATCGATCCACACAATTGGGATCGATGACAAGCATCAACCAAGTCAGCGAGCCTGACCACCCGATCCCGTTAGTTACCTCTTACGACAAGCATAGTTGCCTTAGTCTGTAAATAATCGAGTCTGGACCAGACAGTCCAAGCATGGGTTGCCTAAGACCTTTTCTACCCCGGATCTTCACGGGTCAACCTAACAGATGAAATGGGATATATATGTCTGTGTGAACCGATGCTCATGTACACATCAGATGTGACGTCATAGATCCATGACAGATGCACCATTTGTCTCGTGCAGGATTAGCATGTAAAGTTTGGAAATCACGTGCAGCATATCGTGATAAGAATAAAGACACTCTGTGGTAACACTTGACTGTTATTCGTCATACATTGGTACACATTGGAAACATCTCTTCTTGACGTACATTCTTCTTTATCTTTATATGGTACGCGGTTTTTTTTGCGGCGAGTATATTATTACATAAACGTTTAGTGTTTGTCAACTTTTTACTCTTCGCCTATTCAAGAGATAAGCGCCGTCAAAGTTCACTATCGATGACGTATTTGGAAGTAAGGAAGCGACTGGTATATAGATTATTATTATATTTTATTTATAGCCAATCGGAGATGTAGAAGCGTGCTTAAGTCCACAGTGTCAACAACATTCCTTTACAGGTCACGCCAGGGCGACATTTCATCCGACCAATCAGAGCGTCTTACGAGATCGCAAAAGTGAAAGTCCGAATGCATGATTAGAAAACAGTATAGAAAAGGTTAACACGGTGCATTCTGAAAGACAGTTACAAACTGCACAAGAACACTTGAAACGGAAGACAGGTCATAGCATGTTGGAAATACAGCCGTACAATGTAGAACATCAATTAGACAATCCAGAATTGTTTGGTGTTGGGTCCTAACCAGATACAAGGGCGGTCAGGTAGCCTAGTGGTTAAATTCACAATATAACTACATGGTTACACGATAATTCTAAGTCTCTAATGTTCGCATTCCTTCATGACTACGAACACGTTCCTTCTGACTTATATGTTTGAACAAAGTCAGTCAACTTCAGTGTATGCATGACAACATCGTTTTGTACATGTATCTAGTTACATTCTGCCAGGGCTACTGTCACACTATTCCCAATCTGACATTATGTACCTTTCTCTTGACACCAACAGCGGGTACCGGGCAGGGTCAGGTAATATGGGTGTGGGTACCCGGGTAGTAAAATTGGACTCGTCCCAGCCCTAATGGGTACAATGTGTGAAGCCCATTTCCTGTGTCCCCCGCCGTGATATCGCAGGAATATTGATTAAAGCGGCATAAAATCAAACTCACTCACCTAACCAAATATAAAGGGCGTTGGGGATATGAATCAAGACCAAACCTAGTTACGCGAGATACATTTAGCATCGCCATAGACTTGCATTAAGTTATACCCTGGATCCAGTTCCTTGTGGAATTGTGCCCTAGCACGGACCTAAAGAATAAGGTAAGACCTCCGCCCCTATAATCACTCACATATGTATATAAGTAAAGAATAAACTCCGAAGACGCGTCAATAGTTGTGCACGGGGTTCGGTCCGAGGCGCGTCAGCGCCGAAGGCCAAACCTCGTGCACAACTATTGGAAATACAGCCTGGTCTGAGGCGCGTTGGAACACCAATGCCACCCTCCTCCGTATCATCCACAGGTGGTCTGACTGTTTTCGGCCCGCTGGAAATTTGTCTTGAGCGGAACGGATCCAAACTGACATTTAAAATGTAACCCTAGATAAATAAAGTTTGCCCAAGTGAGAAAAAAACCAAACAACAATATGCACACTCCCGACTTTGTTATGTCTTTTCGAATAGCTCGTCAATAGTACAGAACTATTGAAGAGCTATTGAAACTAGTGACGAATTGTTGAAACTATTGACGAGCATTCCAGAAACTAATGACGCGTAATTTAGGTTTAATTAAAAGGATTGAGCCGCAATGCATACATATATAACTTTGGGAGGGAGGATAAGGACGGAAGTCTTTCCAAAATAGGTTATGCCCCATTCATAGACAATAGGCCGAATTTCAGTGGTCTCATGACATACAGACTCAATTCAAACCATGCCTTGACCAGGTTTTCACCTACTCGCATTCCTCACTATTATACCACAAGATCATCGCACGTGTCTGCTTGTACCTTGTTTAACCAAAATGATTTTTTACAATACTCACCTCTCGCATAACTGCGAGGAATCCAGTGCTCGAGGTGAAAATGTTTGGAATGTGCTTTGAAGTCATCGTTAGGACGTAGTTTGTCTTGCTTGGCTGTCAATGAACAGGGACAAGTGCGCCGCTGTTTGGGCGCCGGGGAGTTTTGTAGCAACATAAACATGAAATGCACGCATACCAGACGAGTCTATTATCAGTAGGGGTATTGATGTAAACACGCACATGTAAGCATTCTTGGTCAATTATGAACTGTATATATAATGATATACTTTCTTGAAATGTTTTTTCATCGAGTGTGGTAGTTGTGTTTTTGTTCGGGTTTGGGGTTGTAGAAACGTGGTAACCGGCTTGATAACCCGAGCTGTCACTACAAATACCCAAACATAATGGGCTCGTCTAAAGACAAAAATCAATAAATGTTTTATTTCAACGTACAGCTGCTTAATGTATCGCACAAACATGAAGTGCACGTTTTTATTTAGCTCTTGCAACAAATACACAATTGCAATTATATCATTATTTAAAGTCAAACTATGTATAGGAGAATGTCCGAATTCTCGCGATTAATTTCGCACGTTAAGCTTGTTCGGGGCCGTAAGGCCGAGAACAAGTTTCACGTGCGAAAATAATCGCGAGATTTCGGACTTTCTATGAAGAGAGTCACTGGGCTCCTTTTTATTATAATTTTATTAAGATAACTGAACAACTGTTTTTTTATGTACGATATGTTCAATTCAGAGACTAAATGTTAGTCTATAAACTAATCTTCAAGTGATATTCACTATACTATGCTATATAGGAGGGTGACCGCTCTTGTTTCACAATGGGAGGGAAACCTTTCAAGGAAAACTATGGGACGATTTACTACCAATACTCAAACTATTGGAGTGTCAGCAAAATGATGGCAACTATCCAACTGTCATTGAAGTTCACGTAACTTTGTTTTAACTACAAATCACAGCCAATGTAATTACGTTAACTTGATTTACGGATTTTCACACAAAAAATATTAAGGCAGAAAAAAGATAAATTTCACTTTCGAAATTATAACAAATTGACTAAACTCTTCACACCGTACCGTATGTATCTTACAGTGGTTAATTTGGGGGTAATACTTCCCTTTCACTTGAGGTGAGGGGCGGTGCGGCAGCCAAGTGGTTTAAGTGTTCGCTCGTCGCGCCGAAGATCAGGGTTCAATTCCCCACATGGGTACAATGTGTGAACCTCATTTCTGGTGTCCCGGGCCGTGATATTGCTGGGATATTGATAAAGGCGGCGCAAAACAATTCTCACTCACTCACTCACTTGAGGTGAAATAAGTGCTGAAGCGGGTGGAGAGAACAGTCGAAATATCAATGTACCAGGAAAGTTCAGATAAAAGGTTTCTGAACACGGTTATGTCCCTTGGGATTTATCAACTGTTAAAAATGGGATTTATTAACTGTTAAAAAATATCTGGTGTGTCTACCATGTGAGGCGATACACGTATTAACATGAGGAATATGGACAAAGTTTTACAAAAAAAATTATCACGTTAAATGCCACATATTTAGAATAGGAAATTGTGAAATAAGAGAATATTACAACTAACGGATCAGGTTCCATTATTTTTAACCTGCTAAGGTTTTGGTTTTGGTTTGTTGTTTTACGCCGCACTCAGCAATATTCCAGCTATATGACAGCGGTCTGTAAGTAATCGAGTCTGGACCAGACAATCCAGTGATTGATATCATGAACATCGATCCACGCAGTTGGGATCGATGACATGCTTCAACCAAGTCAGCGAGCCTGACCACCCGATCCCGTTAGTCGCCTCTTACGACAAGCATAGTCTCGTTTTACGGCAAGCATGGGTTGCTGAAGACCTATTCCACCCCGGATCTTCACGGGTCTAATCTGCCAAGGGTCAAACCGATAACGCTCATCGGATAGGGCCAGCATCTCTCAATGTGCTCGTTAGATAACGAGGAAACGAATGTAAGGCGTTAATACCTTTATCTGTATCTAAGGCTGTTTATCATTCACCCTTATCAAATCACTCATACCACGTATACATTCGTGGCAAACTAGCAGCTGGTAACTATTTTTTCTAACTAAACTTCACTGATAAACACCTTTATCATTAATCGGTCAAACTAAATTACATAATTCTGTCTAGATAGCGCTAGTAAAGTTCACAGTAACAACTTTAAGGTCGAAGGGGCCGTTGTCGGCACGGGTACTACAGATATGTACCCCAGGTACGTTTCTGTATGCAGAAATGTACCCTAGCAAAAGTTAGAATACAGAAACGTACCTGGTACCCTAAACGACGGACGAGGCTATATTCCCAAACCCGAAACCGAAACCGGTTCATAATGTAGTTCCGGTTCACCTGATGACGAGTGCATGTGTGCATCGCGGAATATTGCCGGAATATTAGATTAATGTACGAACATCACTGTGCGTGATCATGTCCTATATGATATGCTGGAATGCATCTCATACAACAGTATGGCAATACAGCCATGTTCAATTTAACCGCGGTTTGGCACACCGATAGTGACGAATACCTAAAGAACCGGTTACGCTCATCCTACGGTATGTTTCTGTATTTTGAATTTGGCTTGGGTACATTTCTGTATACAGAAACGTACCTGGCTCGGGTACATTTCTGTATACAGAAACGTACCTGGGGTACATTTCAGTAGTGAATGAGTATGGTTTTACGTCGCTTTTAGAAATATTCCAGCAATATCACGGCGGGGGACACCAGAAATGGGCTTCACACATTTGTACCCATGTCGGGAATCGAACCCGGGTCTTCGGCGTGACGAGCGAACGCTTTAACCACTAGGCTACGCGGCTGCCCCACATTTCAGTAGAACATGACTGTGCCGACAACGACCCCTTCAGTGTAAATGAGGATATCTGTAGTAACCAGAATAGGTATAAATACGGACGACAGACAGTCACAATTCACAAATCATTCTGACTGTTTATTCAATCAGGGCCGCGTCCCACAGAGCGATCTTAGTGCCACGTTGATCGTAAGCCTATGATAAAGTATGGGAGTTACGACCAACGTAGCACTAAGATCGCTTTGTGGAACGGGTTCCTGGTCTTGTGTTTTTGTGTGGGTTGGTCGTGTACAGGGGTATCCCTGCTAAGCGAGTTGATTCCCCTTTAATACATGCATGACACCTTGATGGCACACTGTTGATTAACTTGCGTGTGGTTGCCCTTGGTGGCGTCCGCCATTCCACTTGAAGCGCTACCCCAAGCTTGGCCTTGTTTACGGCGCTGGGTCTCTTGCGTACACTCTCAGCCAGGGCCCCGTTCCACAAAGCGATCTTAGCGCTATGAGTGTCGTAAGTTTATGTTAAAGTATGGGAGTTACGATCATCTGACCGCTACGATCGCTTTGTGGAACAAGGCCCTGAGAACATACCACAAATGCTCTATTGGGGACGTGTTAGGGGACTTAGCGGGCCTGTCCAATGTCCGTATGCTTTTTCGTCGAAGATAATCGGTGACGACCTGGGCACGATGTGGTCAAGCATTGTCAACTTACAGTTCATAACTTCTGCCGATTATTCTAGCAATGGAAAAAACGGGAGTACACATAATTTGGCCAACACATCGCTGGCCAGTCAAATGTCCATTCACAATATTTGTTTGTTTGTTGTTTAACGCCGTACTCAGCAATATTCCAGCTATATGACGGCGGTCTGTAAATAATCAAGTCTGGACCAGACGATCCAGTGATTGACATGAGCATCGATCCACGCAATTGGGATACGATGACATGCATCAACCAAGTCAGCGAGCCTGACCACCCGATCCCGTTAGTACAAGCATAGTCGCCTTTTACGGCAAGCATTGGTTGAGCATCGTCCACGCAGTTGGGATACAATGGCATTAACCAAGTCAGCGAGTCTGACCAATGCAGGTTCAGACGTTTAGCACTTCCGTGAACCCCACGACAGGGGTATGGTGCTGAAAAACCATACAATATTCAAGATATAGTGAGTGAATGAGTGAGTATCGTTTAACCCCGCGCTCAGTAATATTCCAGCTACGTGACGGCGGTCAGTAAATAATCGAGTCTGGGCCAGACAGTCCAGTGATTGACACCATGAGCATTATCCACGCAATTGGGATACAATGGCATTAACCAAGTCAGCGAGTCTGACCATCCGATCCCGTTAGTTGCCGTTTAGGACACACATAGTCGCCTTTTACGACAAGCATGGGTTGCTGAAGACCTATTCTACCCCGGATCTTCACGGGTCATGTATCAACCAAGTCAGCGAGCCTGACCACCCGATCACCCGTTAGAAGCCCTACAGGCGCATACACAATAGCTTCTGTGTGCACGCGTGTATATATATTTAGGCATAAATAGAGGTCATTATATGGTAGTTTTCATATCATACCCATATCAACCCTCGACCCCTACTTCAGACAGGGGGCCGAAATGGGGGTCAAGTGAGTGAGTTGGGTTTAACGCCGCTTTTAACATTATTCCAGTTATATCGCGGCGTGTCAGCTTAATGTGGGAGGAAAGCCTGAAGTGATGCAGGTCTCCGACGTTTACCACTTCGGTTAAACCCACGAGCACGGGTATGGTGCTGACAAACCTAGACACATAATCGGGGCGAACCGGGATTCGAACCCACAATCATAGGTTTCTGGCTTGCCCAAGGGACGCAACTCTGCACAGCGAATCGCGGCGCCTTAGACGACTTGGCCACCCGTGCCCCCAATGGGGGTCGAGGGTTGATATGTGGTATGATAGGAAAACTACCGTATTATAATAACCCATTTACCATATACCGTAACATCAAATTGTAAAAAGTATCCATTCTTAAAACATCTCTAAATTCCGTGTATATCCGTTAAAACATGTTCACCTTGTTTGAAAGACACAGTGACGGGCAGACGACGCACCAAGGGAGGTAACTCTAATTTCTTACCACCCGGGCTGATATCGATCGCCAATTCAAAATACATATATGGATGTATATATGTCGCATATTAAAGAAAATAGACATTTATAGTGAGTAGAGCGATGTGATATTGCGAGACAGTAACATATTCATATAAACAGTTAGAACAATTTTTTTAAAACATCAAACTTGAATTTTATCATAATGAGAAGCATACATTCATCATTTACGATAAAACATTTTAAAACACATTTCCGTGAAGTTTCCTAAATTTTGTAGTAAGTTTAATTTATTGTTGGGTGTAAGCAATTGCTGGTTTATTCAGACATTTTGTAATTCATCATTAGCTCTGTATTTAAGTGACCTCATTCACGACCTTGCTGCACGTGGACATGCTGCACGTGCACCTCGCTGTTCACTCAGTTGCTGTGCTCCCCTCAGAGTACGGACAATTTTAATACAATTATTTATATGAATATGTCTTTAACAACTTTTCATACTGACATTTTTAAGATGTGAGGTGGTGCAGGGTGTTTATTAACTTTTATGTCACTTTTCAAACATCACTTCTCCTTTATGTAAAAACATATGATTTATGCTGCGTCAAACAGGATGTAGCACTCGAAGCGTGTCTGTGCAGCTGAGCAGGTCGCTATTTCGCTGGGATCTTTTGACTGACTGACTGATATAGGAGATTTAACGTGCGCTTTCCGACTGTAGCGTATTTAGCACACGGGCCTGGCCGGACCATTTAGTGTATTGCGAAAAGGGTTCAAGTGGTGTGTGCAACCCAAGAGGGGGCTATTAGGGGTTGCTTATATTGAATTTTTGGAATTTTTAAATTTGGAATAAATGCCGAGGTGGATGGAGGAGGGAACCGGGTGAGGTGGGTGTTTGTATGTTAATTGGATTTTGGATTGGTAGATTAATGAGTTTTTAGATGCGCTTAATTAGATCTGTTTTGATTAGGAATACGCCTAGGGCCTTGAAGTTTTCTAGTTTATATGGGATCTATTCACGTAATCGTGTATTTATACTACCCGCCGTGACCCACAACCAACCCTGCGTGACTGAAGTGCTTTGTTCACACCGTGTAGCCAGCAAGTCACCCTTCTGCAAGGTTTAATGAACTATACAGCGGATAGGTCGACAGCCTGGTTCCCCGGGTATGTTGCGCTGGCGCTAGTGTAGTGCCAGCGCAGCATACCCAGGGAGCCAGGCTGATAGGTCTATACTATGCTTTGTTCTAAACAACTTCCGGTCCTTCTACTTTCGTTTTAGATTGCACCATATCTAGTATCGTTTAAACATACCACTGGATGAATACATGTCGTACATTGTGGCTCACACATAGAAAGGTAAATTTGTATTACACTTAGCCGTATGCCTGCTGTTTGATTATATGGGTCTACGCACGCTTCAATTACCATAAGTACATGTACACTTCCTAGTTTGGGCGCAGCGAAGCTATGGCAACCGCATGGTCGCGTGCTAGACTTTTGCTGGATGCGTTCACTGCAGCCATTAACATTTCTGTGTGACGCTTGAATTGGCACGGTCACATTTCACCAGCGATAGTCTACCCCATGTATTTCCACGTACATATATATTATCCATCTCTTACGTCTGTGTACAACTATATACCATAACAACATGCCTATGGATATATGGTATTGTCTGGCAGTTCGATTGTACGATTCCGTCAATATCGACTCCATTAACAAAAATATAGGTCGTGTTTGTGATGACGACACTGTTCGCCTCAAGTGGATCTATAAATATATACACATGTAAGCGTGGCTGTGGGCCTAGATGTAGGTCTACTGCAGTTAACACAACATAGTGCTGTGGTCCCATTATTTTACACTGACGGGATCGGGTGGTATGCATGTATGTGTGTGTATCTTTTTGTGTGCACGTGAGTGTGTATGTGTGTTTGTGTGTGTGTGAGTTTGTAGAAGGGGGAGGGTGTGTGTGTGCTGAGAGAGACAGGATGTTTTCAGAGATTTGGCATGAAAATATATTCTTTCAAAGGATTTTATCAAAAACAATTTTTTTTTACCATCTTCTCTCATTTCTTCAAACTTGTTCAGGACGGCGCAGCTAGCGGTTGTGTGTTTCGCTCACCGTGCTGAACATCCCGGTTCCTATACAGGGGTCTGAGACCTGCATCACTTCGGGCTTTCCTCCCACATTTAGCTGACACGCCGCGATAACTGGAATACTGTTAAAAGCGGCGTTAAACTCACTCACTCACTCACTCCTATACAGGGAATGAAGTTCATCCTTTCTGTCTCGCGCCGTGAAGCTGATGACATTGCTGGAGGCGCTCGCGTTAACCAGGTCACCGAGTCGCGGGGATAAGTTCATATGATCCCCAAAACATGACGTGGCTTCAGTTTCTGTGCACTTCACTTTCCAATGTTCAACTTTCACAGCCTGTGATAGAAGTACGTTACGACCAATACGACCCGTGAAGATCCGGGGTAGAATAGGTCTTCAGCAACCCATGCTTGCCGTAAAAGGCAACTATGCTTGTCGCAAGAGGCGGCTAACGGGATCGGGTGGTCAGGGTCGCTGACTTGGTTGATGCATGTCATCGTATCCCAATTGCGTGGATCGATGCTCATGTTATCAGTCACTGGATTGTCTGGTCAAGACTCGATTATATACAGATCGCCGTCATATAGCTGGATTATTGCTGAGTGCGGCGTTAACAACAAACAAATAAACAAGCAATACAGTACTATCAAGCCCAAAGTCCATTCATACATTGTGAATTCGTGGCGAAAAGTCATGATGGTAATTGTGTAATGTGTTTTTAAATGTTTGACGTCTGTATCTGAGTTTTATCAATTGTCTTACAGAATGGCCACGTCACCGTCAGTTGAATGGCGCCAGAAAGGCAATGACGTTTATAAAACCGTCACTGATGGACTTAGCCCCGTGATACAGAAAGAGCGCCTCAACAGCGCGCTCAACTACTACCAAAGAGCGTTGAATGCGGCGGCGACCCCGAATGAAAGATCATCGGCTGCCAAGAACCTTGCTAAAGCATGCTGGAAAATGGCCCCTGTCGTAAAGGCAAGAGACGAGAAACCGGAGATCATCCGATTCTACTTCAAGGAGGCACTGAAATATTTCCGTGATGCAAGATCGGCCAGTAAAGATCAGAAGCTATCCTGGCTGGAAGATCTTCTGACGTCCGCCATTATGTGCTGGACAGAGTTCCTGGGGTACATGGATAACGCCGACATAGAAACACGGATCCGCGAGCTGCATGTAGCAGTTGACTACGTCATCGATGACGTCACACGAGCTGAGGCGTACCTGGAGATAGCCGGTCACTATTTCCATGCGGGGATATCGGCACTTCAGGAGCGCGAGTACAAGAAAAGTCTGAGTCTGCTCAAAGATTGCTGTTTCCCCTTGAACGAGGCGAAGCGGCTCGGCACATCGTCGTCTGGCGTGCTGGAGGGGGTGGAGCACCTGGAGAGGGACTTCTTCGTGCAGATGTGCATCACGGAGTCCATCAAAGCACGCGTTACCGGTAAGGTGAAACTGATGATGATTTGGTTGGTTTGTTGGTTGGTTGTTTAACGCCGCACTCAGCAATATTCCAGCTATATGACGGCGGTCTGTAAATAATCGAGTCTTGACCATTAAGTGGTATTTGGCTTCTCAAACACATGTGATTAAACCTATTGAAGTCGTTCCTATTTAAAACAAGATATATTCGTTTGGTCTTACAATTACCCATGAAACAATAGAAAAAAATCTATTGAATGAAAATAGTATCCCGGGTCTGTACTATTGTAGCTTTGGGACTGATCATGTTATAAAATGGGAATAACCTCTGTTGGAGGCAGGATTCTATTTTTGGCACTTCTCCAAGAAATTTGAATTTAGTTTCTGATATCAAATTCCTGTGTCCCGATTTCTGAACATTATTCTTTTTCCTGGCAAGTTTATAGAATGATTTTATACTGCTATTTCCTTTTAATCTCAAACGACACAGGCTAGCGCTTGTTTACATGCTGCCGTCGCAAGGCAGGAGTACTGCTGCTCAATCACAGGAAACAAACACGTGCTTTTTATGCTAATTGTGTGAATGGCAGGTGCTATGGGTTTTGCAGGATATGCGTACCCTTGTTTTAGTGTTATCACTGATTTTCAGTAATCCATTCATATAATTTTCACTAGTCTTCTATTGTACAGTTTACGCCAAAAGGAATCTGTTTCGTCGGATAAGCTATACTGGTTATTCTCCGGCGTTGATGTCTCATATTCGCAATAGATTATGATACCTGCACCTACATAAACATTTCGGATGTTGTTGTTGTTTGTTTGTTGTTTAACGCCGTACTCTGCAATATTCCAGCTATATAACGGCGGTCTGTAAATAATCGAGTGCAGACAAAACAATCCAGTGATTAATATCATGAGCATCGATCCACGCAATAGGGATCGATGACACTTCGTATGTATCACATTAAAGTTAAGTTATGAGAGGATTTATACATATTTCTGACCCACGTGTCGTTTTGTGCCAATGCTTTGTGGCAGGTGACGAACTCTTGTCGTGTGTGATCCGTGACGAAGAGGTGCTGAACATTGACATGGTGTGGGAGATCACAGACTGGTACAGGACGGTGAGCAGTTTCACGTGTAGACAAATCAGCCCTCAATACCTTAGTGAGTGAGTGAGTTGGGATTAACGCCGCCTTAAACAGTATTTCAGTTCTATCACGGCGTATCAGTTTAATGTGGGAGGAAAGCCCGAAGTGATGCAGGTCTCAGACGTTTACCACTTCGGTGAGACCCACGAGTACGGGTATGGTGCTGACAAACCTAGAAACATGATCAGGGCGAACCGAGATTCGGACTCACAATCATAGGTTTCTGGCGTGCCCGAGGGACGCAACTCTGAACACTGAATTGCCGCGCCTTAGAAGACACCTTAGACTTGTTGGTGGATAGTGAGTGAGTATGGTTTTACGCCGCTTTTAGCAATATTCCAGCAACATCACGGCGGGGGACACCACTCCAGAAATGGGCTTCAATCATTGTACCCATGGCTGAAATCGAGCCCGGGTCTTCGGCGTGACGAACGAACGCTTTAACCACTAGGCTGCCGGACCGCCCCCGTTGGTGGATAGACTGATTAGTGATTGGGAATGGTATGAGTGAGTGATTTGGTTAAACGCTGCTGTGAACAGTATTCTGTTATTTTACGGCGTGTCAACTTCATGTGGAAAACGTCGACATATATCCTTTGGTGAAATCCACGGTCATGGTGCTGTCGAACCGATTACCTTGATCTTTGACCTTTGACCTTGGGTTTGAATTTAGAATTAATTGACATGAATTTAGAATTCAAACCCAAGATCATTGACATCTTCGATAATCCAAGGAACAAAGCGTCCCAGAAGCTATTCCAGCGACATCGACGGCAAAAACATTGTTTGTCATCGCGATAGGCGTACACTCTGACCATTAGGCTTTTCCATAAGACTTTAGTATCGACCTTCAAGAAAACTATCTTTCCAGTGTCATCGCAGCCCGATTTTCGGATCGTTGCTCACGAAGTATCACGTACGTCCGTCACAGGACGTCATATTGCTGAGAAAATATTGTAAGAATATTGTAAAAATAAAACGACGAAAATTTCAAAATCGCATTCCTGAACAACAACGCATAGAAAGCCACAACTACTGTTAATGACCAGCATTAATTTGATTATTTCTTTTGTGCGGTAGTCCGTTATAATTAACTTTTAGTTATCTCCCTTGTGTTGATTATTATGGAGAGGATTGCATGTCGCCGTTGATTTCGCATGCCAGTCACGAAGAAAAACAAAGTAATGATGGGTAAAACACAATCACAACTCAATCTCAAAGCCCATTTGTGTATTTCTCGTCGATTGCAGCGGATTAAATTATCTCAAGACACTAATACGTCTTTGTTCTCTCACGAACAAAAGGGTTTTCTTCATGTGCGCGAAAACTGAACCCCTTGCAACATTCAAACACAGTTGATTCCTCTCATTTAGCACAGAAGTGTTGGAACTTTCAGTTATCCTTTAAAGATGGAATCTACAAAAGGTGGGCCACCAAAACTGTCACTTAATGCTGAATTTGATTCTAAACACTTGCGAAGCACTCGTTCTGAGCCTGGTTTGCCAAGACGGTCTAGTAGATCGACAAAGGGAATTCATCCCGATAGATACGAGTTTAACACAGAAAAACAAGACTTGAAGTATGCTAGGAGTGGTTATGCTGCTCGTTTGACGGCAATTATTAATACGGCAAGGTCTCAAATTACGGAAAATAGGTCGAAACGTTCATGTAAATCAGTCTAAGCAAATTGCTGAAATGCAGGCCACACAAGTCAAGCAGGAAGCAACACACAGAAAGGATATGGCAGATTTGGAGGTGAAAATGCGTGAAGACATGCTTGAAATAGGTAGTAATGTGGCTGATAGGAAAACTCATTTTCAGGAACATGGAAAACAGGAATATATTCAGAAGTGGTTGGAAGCATCTGATGGTGCTGTCAAGTGTAGTAACGTGGATCAACAAAACCCTCATTCAGAAGCACTTACCCCAAGTATGAAAGAAACACTCAGATCACAACCAACACAACTCAACATACATGTTCCCAGTTTCGAGGTATCTCGACCTCCTGTCACTGTGCAAAACCGTCAACCATACGAACCGATTGACGCATGGCTAGATCACCTCATTCTTGGACAAGAAACGATATCCGAGGTGAATTCTTCAGATAAAGATCACCTAACTCATGCTCTTATCAAGCTAGAGAGCGAGCGCAATCTGCCTAAGATTGACTTACCGAAGTTTAGTGGTAAAGCTATTGAATGGCCTTGTTTCATCGAGCGGTTTCATGCGCAAGTACATACTCGACCCGGAATATTTGATGTTCGGCGAATGGACTTACTTCAGTCTCGTTTGGAAGGGGATGCAAAACACCTTGTGCAACGGCTAGGATCTTCAGGTCGCAACTATGCTTTAGCACTACAAGAGTTAAAGCGTGCCTTCGGCCATCGTATCAAGGTCGCAAGAGCTTTCTTGGAAAGAGTGACCTCAGGATCGATGATTGCAAGTCACGACCCATCATCTCTTCGAAAGTTCTACGTTACTATTCGGGACTGCATTACAACACTTGAGCAATTTCAGTATTTGTCTGAATTACACAGCCCAGATATGGTGCTCAGAATTGCAAGACGTTTACCAAATGACAAAATCACAAAATGGAATGAGTTTGTGCGACACATCACAAGAACTAGAGAACCCAACCTGTATGATCTCAACAATTGGCTAAGAGACAGGGTAGATGCAGATTTCAACCCATATGCCATTGCATTCGCTGCTCATACATCAACCCAAAGGAAATTGTCTAAACATAACGGATCTTCAGGGTACAAGGGACCTGAAAGACAAAGCACAGTATATGCTACGACGGTTTCCATGACTGACATACAAAACAGTAAGACTCCGCTTGCTCGAAAAGGTTCAGTCAAGCAATATGACAGTCGTTCAAAGTTACCATGCCCAATGTGTAAACAGCCTCATTATCTATATCACTGTCCACTGTTTTCAAACAAGCCTGTTCCTGAACGAAGTACTGTCGTCACTGAGAATAAGCTTTGTTTCAACTGCTTGAAACCCTCTCACACAGCAGATAAGTGTTTCTCTTTGATGGCATGCCGAGAACCAGGATGTGGCAAGAGACATCACACAATGTTGCATCGAAATAATCCAGAAACAGTTGAAGCAATAAACAAGAAGATGCAGTCATTTGGAAACACAGTGTTCTTTCAGATTGTGCCAATTCTTGCGCATGGACAGAGTGGTAGAGTTATGAAAACGTTTGCATTGTTAGATTCTGCCAGCGATGTCACCTTGATTCATGATGAGTTTGTGCAGGATTTTGGAATCAAAGGAGAACGGCAAACTCTTAAGATGAAAACATGTAATAGTATAACTACAGAGCCATCAAGCAGAGTTTCCCTTAACATTACATCAGCAAATATGCTTGATGCCTCCAACATTCATGTAAAAGAAGCATGGACAGTCAAATCCAATGCTTTTGATTGCCGACCTCAGTGCGTGAATCCAGACTGGAAGCATATCAAACACCTAGACATACCCTCAGTTGAACCAGCACAAATCAAGATGTTGATTGGCTTAAACATTCCTGAGGCACACTTGCAAGTTGAAGTCATTGAGGGACAAAAAGATGAACCAGTTGCTGTTCGCACTGCCCTGGGATGGTCACTCATGGGGGTGGCAAGTTGTGAAAGTAGTGCTGCTCAGGAAGTCCAAGCCAGTGTCAATCTCACAATTACACGCGATCTGGAAATACACGAGAGTGTTGAGCGATTCTGGAAAACTGAGTCCTTTGGAGCTGCGTATGACAAGAAGCAATCATCGTCCATTGATGATCGAAAAGCAGAACACATCCTGAAAGAGACTACCTGTTTAGTGGATGGACATTACCAAGTTGGTATGCTCTGGAAAAAGGCGGATTGCATTCTCCCGAACAACTATGCTGCTGCGGAGAAACGATTCAAGCTCTTGGCAAAGAGACTAATGCATGATAAAGATTTCGGGATCATGTACAGCAACACTCTGAATGGCTATATATCAAATGGTCATGCACGAAAACTCATGCAGGAGGAAATAGCCAGTGTTTCACCACGAACGTGGTATATACCGCACCATGGAGTCACAAGCCCAAATAAGTCTGGCAAGGTGAGGGTAGTTTTTGATGCGGCTGCAGCGTATGCCGGAACATCATTAAATGACAATCTGTTGAGTGGCCCAGATTTAGTGAATAACTTGTTTGGAGTGATTCAGAGGTTCAGGTTATATCAAATTGCCCTCATGGCTGATGTGGAAGGCATGTTCCACCAAGTAAGAGTTTTTGAACATGACTCAGACTCACTAAGATTCTTATGGAAAGCCGACAACCAGCAACCTGGTCCACCTGATGTCTACAAAATGATTGTCCACATCTTTGGAGCCACCGATTCATGTTCTTGTGCATGTTATGCACTCCAGCAAACTGCTCGCGACAACGCAAATGAATTTCATCCATCAGTGATCAAGGCTGTTTCGAGAGACTTCTACGTTGACGATCTGGTGAAGTCAGTTGAAACTGTAGCTGAAGCGATCCAGATGACACAGGACCTACCAAATCTGATGCAAAAGGGTGGTTTTCATTTACATAAGTGGGTCTCAAACTCAGAGAAAGTCCTTGCTGTCATTCCTGAAAGTCAAAAAGCAAATCAGCCTAAAGACTTTGATTTAGATGAACAACCCCTGCAACGTGCTCTAGGACTGCGCTGGAATGTTGAACAGGACTGCTTTACATTCAATCCCACACATAGGGATGTGACAAACACTAAAAGAGCTGTAGTCAGTACTGTTTGTTCAATATTCGATCCATGCGGATATCTTGCTCCATTCACCATCCGCGCCAAATTTATGATCCAAGAAATATGGCGACGTGGTCTCGATTGGGATGATACACTTCCAATAGATATCCAAGCAAAATGGGAAGTATGGCACAGCGAGCTGGAACAGTTACACGATTTCAATTTACCCAGGCATCACCTGCTGTTCTCGTCACAGTTTGATCATGTAGAAGTGCATGTATTTGCTGACTCTTCAGAGAAAGGATACGGTGCTGTAGCATATCTTCGGTACTTGCTTAATTCCGGGACAAACACATGCTCATTCCTGGCTGCAAAGACTCATATTGCACCATTAACTCCACAGTTGACGATACCCAGGCTGGAACTTCAAGGGGCAGTTTTAGCAATCCGTTTGTGGGTTGTGCTGAAAAAAGAGCTGGACCTGAAAATAGAAAGAGTTGTGTTCTGGACAGATTCGAATACTGTGCTACAATATCTGAACAATGAAACGAAACGCTTCAAGCCATTCGTAGCCAACAGAGTGTCGGAAATCCTTGACTCAAGCGACTGTAAGCAGTGGCGTCATGTTGCAAGTGTGGACAATCCAGCTGACCACTCATGCATGCAGCCTAACACAATCTCATCCATGGTTTCATGGACCAGAATTCCTCTGGTCATCTGAAGACAACTGGCCTTTACATGAGATTCCAGGACACCTGGGAATGACCCAGAAATCAAAGGCAAATGTGTGATGAAGAGTCTTGTCAAACGAGATCAATCAGCTCCTGACTTACAAGGCCTCAAGCTGTCGGGCATCTTGGATCCAGCTGACTTTTCATCTTGGCAACGACTTGTCGGCCTGTCGGCATGGACTTTAAGAGCAGTTCGAAACTTTCTGTCAACACTGAAACACAGAGAACTGAAACCAAATCGCAACAAAACAATGACAGTGAGGGAGCGAACAGAGGTCGAGTATCACTTGATTGAAGAAACACAGAGGGAAGCGTTCCCTGAGGAATTTGCTAATCTTGAAGCAGGTCAGGGGCTCTCAGCGAAATCAAAACTCTTTCCGTTGTCTCCGACATTTGACGGTAGATTAATCAGAGTTGGAGGAAGACTGCGCAAAGCTCAGATTCCCAATGAAGCCAAGTATCAGATAATCATGCCTGGCAATCACCCAGTGACTCACCTGATCATGGAAGATATGCATATCAAGTCTGCACATTGTGGCCAAGAGCATATGATAGCACTTGTCAGACAACAATATTGGCCAGTCAATGCAAGGAAAATAGCCAAACAAGTTCTACGCAGTTGCCGTGATTGCCACCGAAGACGAGCAAAGCCCACCATTGTCAATATGGCAGATGTGCCTATATGTCGGATTAGTGCTTTTGAAGGCGTGTTTGCTCATACAGGAGTTGATTATTTCGGTCCACTGATGGTGAAGGAACGTAGAAGCACAGTGAAGAGGTGGGGCTGTCTATTTACATGTCTCTCAACAAGAGCCGTCCACATTGAGCTTGCAAATTCACTTGAGACAGATGAATTTTTGTTGGTTCTTCGGAGTTTCATAGGACGTCGTGGACATCCTGGTCATCTTTATAGTGAAAACGGCACTAATTTCCGCAGTGCAGACAATGAACTGTATCAATGTTTGCAGAACATCCAGCAAACCAAAATTGCTGACTACCTCACCCCGATGAAGATTGAATGGCATTTTAATCCCCCTCTCAGTCCTCACTTTGGTGGAGCGTGGGAAAGGTTAGTGCGTTCTGTCAAAGCCGCCTTGAGGTCAGTCCTGAAAAATCTCCGTGTTCGAGAAACTGTTCTTCGAGTTGCCTTGATCGAAGTTGAAGCTGTCTTGAACAGCAGGCCACTGACCTACAACAGTACTTGCACAAAGTGAACACAGAGCTCAGATTTCCTATGAACATTCATCTAGATATATTGATTATCATTTTCTTTACTTGGACATTTAGGTTATTAATGGTAGCAAATGCTTTTGACCCTGTCAGGGGGGTGGCTATGTTAATGACCAGCATTAATTTGATTATTTCTTTTGTGCGGTAGTCCGTTATAATTAACTTTAAGTTATCTCCCTTGTGTTGATTATTATGGAGAGGATTGCATGTCGCCGTTGATTTCGCATGCCAGTCACGAAGAAAAACAAAGTAATGATGGGTAAAACACAATCACAACTCAATCTCAAAGCCCATTTGTGTATTTCTCGTCGATTGCAGCGGATTAAATTATCTCAAGACACTAATACGTCTTTGTTCTCTCACGAACAACTACTAGTTTTGCGCGGTTTTGACAATATTAAGAACCAAGTTGTTCAAAGCATTTTGAATTGCACTTAACTTCATTGTCATAAGCGTTGTTACTTTTAAAATAGAACTCCTATTTTTATTTAACTGACTGCAGATGTTTGTCACCATAATGTGAGGTATTAGATTATTTCTTCATAATTAGTGAGTGAGTATGGTTTTACGCCGCTTTTAGCAATATTCCAGCAACATCACGGCGGGGGACACCAGAAATGGGCTTCACACATTGTACCCATGTCGGGAATCGAACCCGGGTCTTCAGCGTGACGAGCGAACGCTTTAACCACTCGGCTACCCGACCGCCCCTCTTCATAATTAAGTCGAGCCACAGAGTCATGTTGCTATTTAGTTTTTTAGGGTCATGAGAAAACACCAACGTAAGGACCTTCAGAGTGTTGCTGTAAGTTTGTTTGTTTGTTTGTTTGTTTGTTTGTTTGTTGACGCCGCACTCAGCACTATTCCAGCTATATGACGGCGGTCTGTAAAATAATCGAGTATGAACCAGACAATCCAGTGATTGACATCATGAGCATGGATCCACGCAATCAAGTCAGCGAGCCTGACCACCCGATCCCGTTAGTCGCCTCTTACGACAAGCATAGTCGCCTTTTACGACAAGCATGGGTTGCTGACGACCTATTCTACCCCAGATCTTCACGGGTCCCGTTAAATATGTAATAAGAAACACACGTCTTAAGAATGTAATAGGTCTTAGATATTATAATGAATATATTGTCAGCAAGCGTTGCTAACTGTCCATCTATTCGTACACACCGTAACCAATATCATGCATATATTTAAGAATTAAAGGACGCTGGGGAGTGTTATATTGTACGATAAAAAACGCCCACGAGCCGTTTACTTCTGATATGAGGTGTCAACATTATTAATCTTATTATAATCCCAAAATATAAGAAATGTAAGTGAACGACTCACATATAAACTTAAAGCTGGTGTTTTGTTCTCAGGCGATTATGCTGACGCGAGAGAGTGACTTAGAGATGGAGGCAATTGCCCACTCCCGTCTGGGGCGAGTCTATGACCAGGTGTTGATGATGAAAGACAAAGCTAAGGAAAACTTCAACAGATGTCTGCATCTCGCCAACCTCATGGTGCCAAGGACATTCCATAGTGAAGGTGGGTGGAGAACTGTTCACATTTTTTGGTCATTGCTTCCATGGAATATGAATATGCCATTAAGTTCCGATAGCACGAAATATATAATTATACTCACCGCCAAAGGAAACGCGAATACCATACTTGTTGGTTAATAAATGAAGACTTTATGTTGCATGAACCGACGCTCATGAATGCAGCACGCGACGTCATAGCACCATGACTCGAGATGCACCATTTGGCTCGTGCAGGATTAGCGGGCAAAGTTTGGAAATCACGTGCAGCGTATCGTGATTTGAATAAAGAGACTGTGGTAACACTCGACTGATTGCTAGTTTTGTCATTAATTTGTACACATTGGAAACAGCTCTTCTTAAGGTACTTACTTCTATATATGTTTCTGTGGGTCGCGTTTCTTTTCGCGGTAAGTATAAATGGAGAGTATTTCCCAACGGGGATGCACTTACAATTCTGGGCGTGGATTTGGTGGATATTTTGTTGTTGTTTTGTTTGTTGTTTAACTCAGCAATATTCCAGCTATATGACAGCGGTCTGTACATAATCGAGTCTGGGCCAGAAAATGTAGTGAATGGTATCATGAACATCGATCCACGCAATTGGGGATACCAAGTATTAAAAAACAAAAGGCCTGATAGATTGATACATTATAGCCGTCGCCATTCATTTCCTGTTTTTGGGGCGGTCGGGTAGCCTAGTGGTTAAAGTGTTCGCTCGTCATGCCGAAGACCCGGGTTCGATTCCCGACATGGGTACAATGTGTGAAGCCCATCTCTGGTGTCCCCCGCCGTGATATTGCTGGAATATTGCTAAAAGCGGCGTAAAACCATACTCACTCACTCACTCAATTCCTGTTTTACCTCAGATTGGCTCATCTACGCCAAATCAGCCCTACGACGCTACCAACAACAAACTGTCAGGGAGGAGGAGATAGCCAAACAGGAGGAGAGGGCCAAGGTCAACGACGAAATCAAGGACGATCTAACGAAGATCAACTCAACCTTTGAGAAGTCGACTAAGATGGAGTTTTTGGAGTTTCTGTACAAGACCTACCCTCCCACAAACTCCACCTATAAGAAGGAAGCCCTCCCAGACAATCCCGACATAAAGGGGGTAAATAAGGTGTACTGCAAGGCCGTGACGCACTACCACCCCGATAAAGTGGATGTGGAGAAGCATGGGCTCAAGTGGAAAGTGCTGAGCGGAGAGATCACCAAGCTGCTCACAATGAGCTATGAAGATATGAAGTAGAAGGGGCGGTGGGGTAGTCTAGTGGATACAGCGTTCGCTCGTTACGCTGAAGACTCCGGTTGGATTCCCCACATGGGTACTATGTGTGAAGCCAATTTCTCCGCCGTAATTGTGCTTGAATATTGCTAAAAGCGGCGTAAAACCCAACTCACTCACTAACTCTGAAGTAGATGAAGTCGTTACACAAGTTAACATCACTCACAGAATTCCAAGATGTTTCAAATCTAGATTTGTACATGTATACTCATTTGATAATTGTGTTGTGACGAGTCCGTTATACATGTTTGTTTGTTTGTTTGTTTGTTTGTTTGTTTGTTGTTTAACGCCGCACTCAGCAATATTCCAGCTATATGACGGTGGTCTGTAAATAATCGAGTCTGGGCCAGACAATCCAGTGATTTACATCATGAGCATCGATCCACGCAATTGGGATCGATGACATGCATCAACCAAGTCAGTGAGTCTGACCACCCGATCCCGTTAGTCGCCTCTACCGACAAGCATAGTCGCCTTTGACGGCAAGTATGGGTTGCTGAAGACCTATTCTACCCCGGATCTTCACGGGTCCTGTTAAATATGTAATAAGAAACACACGTCTTAAGAATGTAATAGATCTTAGATTATATAATGAATATATTGTCAGCAAGCGTTGCTAACTGTCCATCTATTCGTACACACCGTATCCAATATCATGCATTTATTTAAGAATTAAAGGACGCTGGGGAGTGTTATATTGTACGATAAACAACGAGCCGTTTACTTCTGATATGAGGTGTCAACATTATTAATATTATTATAATATCAAAATATATATAAAAAAAAGATTTTTTCAGGATTTAAACATAATTACCCGTATTTAAGTAATGGTGAAACCATACATACAATCCAATCTCAGCAATGTTGGGATGTCCATTTTATGAAAGGGGGTTAAGTTTGGTATTACCTGAATATTCAAACAATTCTCACGTTGATTATCTTTTCTTCAAATACCGATTTCCCTATCTCGCCAACTTTCGGATGCGACCGTCTGGCCATTGCGTTTATCTGCGTTGCCCAGCTACATCTAGGGGAAACAATTCACTTCTCTCTCAGATTGACCTGATGTATGTGAGTACATGCTGGTCAGTGTTTGTCTTCAGCCATGTTCTGTGTCTTTATCAATTTAAATCAAAACGTGATTAAGATCCGGGTTAGAATAGTTCTTTAGCAACCCATGCTTATCATAAGAGGCGACTGATAGGATCGGGTGGTCAGGCTCGCTGACTTGGTTGTTGTATATCACCGTATGCTCATTAAACCAATCACCGGATTGTCTAGACTCGATTATTTACTGACCGCCGTCATATACTAGTACATGTAGCTGGAGTATTGCTGAGTGGGGCGTTCAACAACAAACAAATAAACAAATCATGATCAGAGACATTTGTTGGTTTGTATTTACAATATATGTGTAATAAATGTGTAATAAATGTTGAGACGTTTCGTGTGGATAGCTTGTTTTGGAGAAACACTTTCGGTTCTGTTCCTCGCAATGTCTGGAAAAACAGCGACATATTTCAACATTAATAAACATATTTCTAATGTCACCCATTTATGAAGCAGCCATCGATACTGTGACATAACCACAGTCGTAATAGGGGGCACGGGTGACCCAGTCGTCTAAGGCGTCGTGATTCGCAGAGTTGCGTCCCTTGGGCACGCCAGAAACCTATGATTGTAGGTTCGAATCCCGGTTCGCCCCGATTATGTTTCTAGGTTTGTCAGCACCATACTCGTGCTCGTGGGTTTCACCAAAGTGGTAAACGTCTAAGACCTGCATCACTTCGGGCTTTCCTCCCACATTTAGCTGACACGCCGCGATAACTGGAATACTGTTAAAAGCCGCGTTTAACCCGACTCACTCACTCACAGTAATATACATGTAGATACGAGTGAGAGTTTTGTAACGCTGCATCAGCATCGAGTTCAGGACTAAGACTCCCCTTGAGTACAGCTTTTTTTAAGTGTTTGTCTTTAATATGCAGGGGTAAAAGGCTACTGCATTTCTCCCATCTTCCCGAGGCAAGAGAGTTAACTGACTTTAAAAGTCCAGTTTCCACCCTTGCCGAACTAGGCTGGTATTAGTGGGCTTGATCGTAGCGCCACCAGTGGCTTTTACCAGTGATGTCCCTTCTAAGCCTCTTCTATGGACCAATCAGATTCCACCTCTCGTATCACTTGCGTTTGCTTCGCACAAAATGGTGGCGCCCAGCCAGGACGATCTGATTGATAATTAAGCTCTAAATGTGATAAAACGAGTCTCACATTGCGAAATTCATCAAATCACGTGAGCACCTTGATTAAAAACATGAAAAGATTTGGAAAATATCTGCTGACAACGATTTGGTGGTGCACATGTTTTGCAAATCCTGCAATCGATCGAAATCTGCACGACAGTTTCCGAACCGGGTTTCGATTTCGGTGCGCGATTTTGATTGGACTACGCATAGACTCGTTAGTCCAGCCAAAAAGTAACTCCATAATACCAGCCTAGTTCGGCAAGGGTGGAAACTGGACTTATATAGTCAGTTACCTCCCTTGCCTCGGGAAGATGAATTTCTCCTTACATACATTATTATTCTTTCAAAGCGTACACATGCGTCTCAACTTAGACCATTCCTTAGTTCTAAACTTCCGTCATTGCGTACACCTAAACATTCCGTCACACCATCATCCGTTGCGTATGTCTAAACTCCCGTCACTTCGTCCATCATTGCGTACGTCTAAATATCCGTCACACCGTCATTGCGTACGTCTAAACTTCCGCCATTCAATACGTCTAAACATTCCGTCACACCATCAGTCCTTGCGTACGTCTAAACTCCTGTCACTTCGCCCATCATTGCGTACGTCTAAATATCCGTCACATCGTCATTGCGTACGTCTAAACTTCCGCCATTAAATACGTCTAAACATTCCGTCACACCATCAGTCATTGTGGACATCTACACTCCCGTCACCTTCGACACACTGTCCATAACTGCGAACATCTAAATTCCGTTTCACTTTCCGTCAATGGGACCGCCTCCGTGGTCTAGTGGTAGAGCGTCCGCCCGGAGAGCGGAAGGTCCGGGGTTCATACCCGACCGCGTCATACCGAAAGACGTTAAAAGATGGTACTTGTTGTTACCCTGTCTGGCGCTCGGCATGAAGGGACTAAAACAAGGACTGGTCGGCTCGGAGTCAGTATACTGTTTCTGAGTGGGGTATTCATGTTAAACTGCGGCATGGTATCTCAGTGAGCTAGCACTATAAATCGGCATCAGTCCGGACTAGTACAAGCAGCCACACACACACACGTGCATGCACGTCGCTATATAAGTGCAATAATCTTGGACGCGACGTTAAACCCCATTTCACCTCACCTCACCTTTCCGTCAATGCGTATATCTAAATTCCATCAGCCCTTCCGTTATAGCGTACGTCTCAACTTCCACCAATGAATACGTCTAAACATTCCGTCAAACCATCAGTCATTGCGTACGTCTAAGCTCCCGTCACGCCGTAGCCGTCATTCCAGCCTAGGTCGGCAAGGGTGGAAACTGGACTTTCATAGTCAGTGAAATCCCTTGCCTCGGGAAGAAGGGCACTGAGTTTTCCGGCGCAACAAACAAAGATGACTATTTATGTTTGCACTATCCATAGTTTATATCACAGAGAACAGCACTATAACATAAAAATTAAAAACTTTATTAACATTCCAACCAAACAGACTACACACTACAAAAACTCTGATAACTCTGAAATGTGATAATTCACACAACATATGGCCACGAAACAACAAAACTGAATGAAATCAAAATAAAATAATACTGGGATCAATGGTAACGATAGAACATCACCACCACTTAATGCTCCACTCGGTGGAGACGCTACTGTTCGGTCAAAAATGACGCTCTTATATTATCTATCTTTCTACTGGTTTATAGTTTTTCCTTTGGCATAGGGGCGGTCGGGTAGCCTAGTGGTTAAAGCGTTCGCTCGTCACGCCGAAGACCCGTGTTCGATTCCCGACATGGGTACAATGTGTGAAGCCCATTTCTGGTGTCCCCCGCCGTGATATTGCTGGAATATTGCTAAAAGCGGCGTAAAACCATACTCACTCACTCCTTTGGCATGACTAGCAGTGAAGTTCAGAGAGACAGTAGCTGTCTCCCCAGTTACAGTGGTCTATTCATTGCCCAGGTTGGGATTGTGGCCATGCATCATATTGTGCCCCTGGCCCGGGAACATGGACATCATGGGCTGTGTCTGTAAACCTGTATTGTATGGGGACAACTGTTGATACGCCCCAGACATCTGGTACATATCAGCCCGGGGCACGCCTTGCATTCCAAACATATCAAACTGCTGACCACCATGAGACATGTGAGAGTAACCTCCCTTCATCGGATCGTATACGTCACTTCCGGGCATCCCTGGCATTCCTGGCAACCTTCCAATCTGCATGTGCTGGCTGTCAAGGTAACTGACTCCGGGGTCGGGGGTGTAGGGAGAGTATGTACTTGAAGGTGGTGTGTATGGTAGCGATTCTGTTGACTTGGGTCGTAATTCGTTCAGCAGTTGTGCATTACCTCCCCTGCTGGACTGGTCAATCATAGGCTGAACGATCCTCCTTCGTGCGTTGATGAACCAGTTGTTGACCTGGAGAATAGTCAGACCCGTTTCCTGTGCCAGCTGCTTCTTCTGATCCTCCGTCGGATAGGGATGGGATAGGTGTTGGAACAGCCAAGCCCGCATTACATTTGTGGCTCCTTTGGGGAATATCCCCCGTTTCTGCTGCCGCTTGGTCGACCGATTCTCGACTGGATTCTCCTCCTCCCCGTCTGTGCACTCCCCAGACCCAACGCTGTTGTCTAACGTCTCACCGGCTTCGCTGTTACCGTCCTGAGCGTTAGAAGCAGACGACAGAGGCGTACTCCGTGACCTTGGCCTTGAGTCGTCTGCTTGACTGTACCCAGTGATGTTGGAAGGTCCTGGGGTTGGACCACGGGAATTGGAATCAGTTTCAATTTTGATCGCCCTGGATGAGGTAGAGCTCTTTGAGTCGTCGTTCCCACCCTCATTGTCTTCCATCCCTAAGTCAATGGGCATCTTCCCCTTCAAACAGCTGATGTAACGGCTGCAGAAGTTGTCGCACAGCTCTTGAACCTTCTCAAGCTCCAGTAAATGAAACCGTAACACCTGCGTGGCTTGAATCATGACGCTGTCAAGTTCGTGGTTGTCAGTGAACAGCGGCTTATCGGATTTGGACAGAACCTGTTTGGCAAACACGTCAATGTCTTCAGTGAAGGAGTCGGAGGAGCACACCCCTCCTCCTGCTACACGAGGTGAGCACGTGGCAAGCTCACACTTCTCAAACACCACAGACAGGAGAGGGAAGAGTGTGTGGGAGTAGATAGCATCCTTATCCTCTTTCAGGTCTTCATCTATGGGAGGGAGCGTCATTGCCCCGGGGAAGGAACTGCTGGGAGTGAAGGGAGGGTATTGGTGTATCGGTTGGGGGTGGTGCGGTAAGCCTGAGGGGTGGGGCAAGCCCTGACCCGGAAGAGATAGATGAGGGTCCGGGTACAGAGATGCTACTTCAAGATTTGTGTATTGTAGAAGGTCAGGGTCACCTGGCTTCGTGTGGGTCATATTATCTAGATCCATTGCGGGTGAAGAATTCAGGGATCACTGTTTCACCGCTCTTGTAATTCAGTCTGATTGCGATGCTTGTCTGTTCACACGGACTGTCCTGGGTCTCTGCAATAATACAATTATTATATTCATAAAATATATAATAATGTATTTAAAACCAAACGACCTCCAAATCATCATCTCATTCGGTGGCAGTGTTTTCTAAGATGCATAAGCTACCCTTATCAGTGTAACGTTTCAGTCAATTGATTTGTATACTTTGAGGTGGACAACCTGTTTTCTCACATTAACTCATTCCTATCAGCGCGATGTGCTTTCGCGTGTCTCGGGTCAGTCAGCATGAATTATTTTGAAAAATAGTTTTTCTTTTCAAATTTGTTTTATTTTTTTAACTGGTTCATATATAGCTTAAATATCTTTGAATAAATACTAGGTACAAGTAGAATGTATCGGAAATATACTGCCTTATTAAATATGTACAGAAAGCGCTTTTCAAATAGAAAACAAATAAACAGGAATTTTATGACATCAATATGAAGTTTTAAAATTAACTTTCTACCAATATATATATTGGAACAGGGGTAACTGAACTTTTCCATGTTCTTTTATATCATATGTTACTTAGTTATGTTTTTTTCTGTTAACAATTTAAGTTTTTCAAAAGTTTCTTTTTCGAAAAGAAATCAAATGAAGTAAAAAAAAACAATCCGCACTTCATATTTGGAAATTAAATCCACAAAATCACTAGAAATACACACTTACCTTAGTTTAAGATATAATCCAAATATCCAGTGAGGGTAAGTTGTTATTTGTTGGAAGATGAAGTTATTAGTGATTCTCTAGTCCGCGCCCTTCGTCTATATACCGACTCGTCATTAGCCTGACAATGGTCGTCACATGATGCGCATCCCCGCCAGCGATGTAGCGAACGGTTCGATTATCGGCGTTATAAAATAATTAAGAAGATGTCAGGAGCACAAAAGATTTTAGTAAGATTTAGGAAGTAGGATAATCACGATAAATAAACGATCAATTGTCTTTACCCAATTGGGATTGATTGAAAAGATTTGGCATTTGCGATTTGTGGCACGTTTACTGTTGGTGAATCACTACGTGTTGACATTGGGAGCTTAAGCAAGGGTCGAGTTTTAACGCTGGTCCTTAATTTGTGTTACGGAGAACAATAAAAATGCTACTGAAAATCTCTTTTTTTTTTATCTAACTGAAAAGAAAATGATAGATTTTTTTTCGAATTGATAGATAATTAAAAAATATTTTTTTGCCCAACCCCTTCTTCAGTCTGTCATTTTAATATCTTGTGACATAAACAAACCTAGATATATTTTACACATTCTGGGTTATCATTGTATTATTTTCAATATTTATTTTAAAAGGTATATTCAAAAACTGTTTGACATTATGATAAGTATAACTTGCCATACAATGATGTCTTATTATATCATGTTGTGTAAAATAAAGTCAATTTCATATAAAAAATGTATACATCAAAGTAACGTCATAGATACCTACACCCGTGAAGATCAGGGTTGGAAATGATTTACAGCAACCCATGCTTGTCGTAAGTCGACTATGATGATGATGATAATGATGATGATGATTATGACGTTGGATATTTACCGAGCGCTTCCGGAGGTGCCGATTTCTCACTCCGAGCATACCAAGAAAAATCAAATCGGAAGGAATAATTTACAAAAAAATGTTTAATTTGCAAATATATGCAAAGAATAGAAAGGGTGATAGGGAAGTTATGGAATACTGTAAGGGACATTCTCGCGATCTCGCCTTCTCGTGTTTTTGGCATTTTTAACTCGTTTCCAAAGGAGGAGATCGCAAGAATGTCCCTTACAGTATACCATAGGAAGTAGTTGATAACACAAAAGTAATAGGGTTATTTTGGAATAGGGGCATAAAAAGAAGTTGACTTGATTGATGTGAAGGGCCATTTTTGGTTACTATTGTTTTTTAATGGGTCGGACATTTTATGAGGCGACTAACGGGATCGGGTGGTGGTCATGCTCGCTGACTTGGTTGATGCATGTCATTGCGTAGATCAATGCTCATTACGGCAATCACTGCATTGTCTGGCCGAAACTCGATCAGTTACAGACTGCCGTCATTCAGCTTCAACAAACACCCCCCCCCCCCCCCCCCCCCCCCAAACCAAACCCAGATACCTACATGGACATCCAAAGGGCTGAAATGGTACATAGTGAGAGGTTAAGCAGGGATGCTGTTTAACTCACAGGTTTGACTCACAAGTTTAACTCACAAGTTTGACTCACAGATTACACCGATAACAACCAATTACTCCATGACGCCCCGGTCGGCTATCCAAGAACCCATTATTCATATTTGGTTATAATTCAGGTTGAATTCCGTGACAGACGCTGAGGATATCCATATATTATTGTGGTCCTAACCAGCCTTCGGATAGTGAGTAAGTAAGTTGGGATTAACGCCGCTTTTAACAGTATTCCAGTAATATCACGACGTATCAGCTTTAAGTGGGAGGAAAGCCCGAAGTGATTCAGATTAAGACGTTCAGCACTTTCGTGAAACCCACGACACAGGTATGGTGCTGACAAACCTAGAAATATGATCGGAGTTGAACACACAATCATATGTTTCTGGTGTGCCCAACAGACGCACAGAGAATTTTGGCACCCCACGACAACCCTACATTCATTGTGCACAATCCGAAGGCTATATTGTTTCTTTTGGATTTATGAGTAATAAATAAAATAAAAAGAAATATATAATCATATCACATATCAAGTATGTTTTATTAATTCGATCTGCTATTATTCATAAAAAAGCACGTTGAACCATTTCCCCAAGATACTATCTACAGAGCGAACCATTACCTCGCGAACACTGAAGCGAAGAAAAAAAATCAACTATACCCGTAAATATATATTTTATATTTTAATATAAATAGATAAAACATGTATGTTGGTGTTTAATTCTCAAAATTTTAATGCAACATGTTAATGTATATAATTCTGATCAGCATAACTCGTATTCCCCTATTTCTTTTATAACGATAGGTGTAAAATGTCAGAATAATTTATACACTCTTCGACCTATCCAACAACCAGATTCGCTCTAATCTTTATGGGATTAAAGCGATATTCATAACATTACGTGTTTATACATGACAAGCGATTAGTACTTAATTCATTCTGACAGTCACATTGAAGGGGAATGGGGTTTTAACATTCTCGACCGGGGCCATATATGATCTGACGCGAGCCCCGAAACTGTATAATGAAGCAGCATGGAATGACACGGTCCTGCCCGAGGGCTCTCATTGGTTAATATACTGCTCCACACAACAGAATCCTCCCTGGCTGTGATTTGAAATGATTTTCGCGGGTGCACGGTGTCACTTCATGCTTCGTGAACCGTTTCACACCGTATTGTTTACTTTCGACTAACTTATGTGAATCTTTTAAACAATGCCAACAAATGGCCTTTATTGTTTTGTCGCCAATGTTTTTAGACTTCCCCACATCTTGTGTACTCTGTACCGCGATCCTATTTAGTTGTTTGTTTGTTTGTTGTTTAACGTCTCACTCAGCAATATTCCAGCTGTATGACGGCGGTCTGTAAATAATCGAGTCCGGACCAGACACACCAGTGACTGACAATCATGAGCATCGATCCACGCAATTGGGATACGATGACATGCATCAACCAAGTCAGCGAGCTTGACCACCCGATCCCGTTTAGTCGCCTCTTACGGCAGGCATGGGTTGCTGAAGACCTATTCTGCTGTACGACTATTTGTTGTAGTCATCATGAAGATGATGATCATGAATGGAATACACACAACAAAAGAATAACGTTGTGACATGTTCACTGTCACCAATGATCACTGATATGACCCCTATTTTCCCAACATCAAGGCATGTAAGTGTTCATTACTATATGAAGCGCCAGTAAAATCATTGATACAATGCGGCATCTAAATGACATATTTGTTTAGTTTGTCCCTTGTCGCACTCAACAATATTCAAGGTATAGTGAGTATGGTTTAACGCCGCTTTTAGCAATATTCAAGCTATGTGACGGCGGTCAGTAAATAATCTAGTCTGGGCCAGACATGAGCATTATCCACGCAGTTGGGATACAATGGCATTAACCAAGTCAGCGAGTCTGACCATCCGATCCCGTTAGTTGCCGTTTAGGACAAACATAGTCGCCTTTTACGGCAAGCATGGGTTGCTGAAGACCTTTCCTAACCCGGATCTTCACGGGTCCCGTGTATACACAGCTGTGGAACATATCGAGTTAACAGAGTTGCGGGAAAGTGTATGCAGCTTTCTAAACAAACAGACATAACATTATGATTATCATGACTAGTTTGAACTCTTTTAGACAAAACAATAGCAATCATTTGTAGGTAATATTATTTATTCAAAAGTAAACAATATAGTGTTAAAGGATTCACGAAGCATGAAATAACGTCACGCCCTCTAAATTATAAATCAAAGCTGGAGGAGGGTCAGATTAGCGCAGGAGAGCCTTTGGGCAGCTGACTGCCATCCCCTTTGCTTCGCTACGCATGATCGGGGCTTGTGTCAGATTTTCATATCGCCCTGGTCTAGGATTTTGAAACATTGACACGCCGTCAATGTGACTGTTAGAAGCAATTAAGTACTAATCGCTTGTCAGGTTTAATCACGTAATGAATATTGCCTTAATCCCACTTTTAAGAGGATTTGTGTTTATGTTGTAAAAGGCTGAATCTGGAATGATGCTCTTGTTCGAAGCGATTCTGCAACATCGAATGAAAGATCTTTTGGCACTATATTTTATCATTCCTTGTTATTAATAATATTATAGGTAAGGTGAAATGGGATTTAACTGTCGAGCTTAACATGGATATCCCACTCAGACCCAATGTACAGGCTCCAAACCACCCACCCCTTATTTTATTCCCTAAATGACGAACGCCAAGCAGGAAAAAAATAAATACCGTTTTTTAAGACCCGGCCGTGGATCGAACCCAGTGACCAGCGTTGGCCGCTCTCCGGGCAGACGCTCTATCCACTAGACCACGGAGGAATACTAGGAATACAGTTAAAAGCGGCGTTAAACCCAACTCACTCACTCACTAGACTTATTATTTTAATGTTATGCTAACGAACATACATTTTAGTCTAGACAAGTGTATATTTTATGGAAAAACTATTTGGTATTCACACTAATTAACTCATGAGAATTCCTGATTCAAATAGCTCGCTGACATCCTAGGTTCAATGGGTCAGGCTCGGTGCCGGTCATCTTTCCCAGATGACCTCGGAACTTTCTCATGATATCAATCACTGGATTGTTTTGTCCAGACTCGATCATTTACAGACCGCCGTCATATAGCGTGAAAATTGCTGAGTGTGGTGTTAACAAACAAACTCAGTGAGCGGTATATTCTACCACCACGAATGAGTGAGTATGGTTTTACGCCGCTTATCGCAATATTCCAGCAATATCACGGCGGGGTACACCAGAAATGGCCTTTACACATTGTACCCGTGTCGAGAATCGAACCCGGGTCTTCGGCGCGACGAGCGAGCGCTTCAACCACTGGGCTACCCGACCGCCCTCTACACCATGAGAAAAATATAAAGGACATGTATGTGTCTCGTATTACACTTGCTAGTGCATTCGTTGAGGAAGGGCTTTACATCTCTGTGATGTAGCGTATATACTTCACGATACTCGCTGGCAGATCTAACAAGTTTTATTCAAGACCTTCAAACACCCCCATGTTGTTTTACTCGCCAA